AATTCGATAACAATATATATCGATCGATAGACGTGTGGTGCGATAGAAAAAAAACGGGTCGATAAAAAGTTCGATAGAAAAACACAGTTTCCCTTTCTTTTTCATCATAGCCTATCATGTAGCTTTTACTACAGTCATTACTTCCTCCCAACCAATCACAAACGCAGACCCAGGTACGCTACGGCACCAAGCCCAGCCCCTATCAAACCACAACAGACAGCACGTGTATTAGAAAAAATGATACAGCAAGGAGAAGCGGAGGACATTGTCCCGAAAAAAGGTTTCAGTAGTTCACCAGCATGGCAATGTTTTGGTTTTTAGAAGTCTGACAAAAAGCGAACAGCGGTCGTTTGCAAAATTTGCAGAGAATTAGTAAAAACGAAGTCTGGTAACACAACCAACTTGTTTTACCATCTAAACCGATCGCACCCGCAGGAGTACGAGCTGTGTCGGCCGCGCCGCGGCTCCACGTCATCGTCGGAGGAATACTCTGGAACCGCTGCCAGCACCAGCACAAAGCATGTGAAGCAGACCAAACTGGACTTCGTTTCTTAACAAAAATACGACAAAGCGTCCAAGCGGCATAAGGACATCACCCATGCAGTAACATGCTCCATAGCGAGGGACATACTGCCAATAACTACCGTTGAAAAGCCTGGCTTCGACCAGCTTCTAGCCACTCTCGACCCGCGATATGAAGTCGGCCGCAAGTATTTCTCAAACACAGCGCTTCAGGCATGAAAATGGGTCAGGGGTTGAAACGGTGAGAAGGGTGCGGAGGAAATACGTTCCGGTGTAGCTTCTTAAAGTGGAAGAAAATGAGCTCATATTTTACAAAGACGCGAGTATTTGGATCATGGCTACTAGCAGGGGGTGCATTCGGCAGGGGTGCATTCTACGACACAACACCGGCGTGGATAAGTCCTGCTTCTCGTGCTTAGTTTGTGTATTAAGTCAATCACATGACAATTAAAAAAAAATAAATCTCCCGACCCCGGGAGAAATATTTCAGTGTTCAGACACCAGGCTGTGGGCAGTTTCCCACACAGTTAAAACTGGTAGTATGCTATTCCCACCTAAAGCTATTCTGTTTATTTATATATATGTTTATTTTCATCAAAAGACTATTTAAATATTTATTTATCAAATTTTCTGGTCACTTTAGTCTTTATGTTTGTCAGTATTTACTGACGTCACTCAGGCCACTTAAGTTGATTTCGCTTTTTTTTAGTTCTTTTTTAAAAAACTTTCAGTTGTGGTAAAATAAAAAAGGTGGTTGAATAAAGGTTTGAATTTGAATTCAGTGCTTTTGTGTTCTTTATTAAAGTAGGTCATTGAGCAATAGCATAAAACATCCAGGGCTGCTATTAAAATATATGTTAAATAATTATAACAATTATATCGATAATTATCGATATCGATCAATATGATTTATTTTTTATCGATATGCTTTTTTTCTATATCGTCCAGGCCTACTTTATACACTTGAAAGTGAATTTAGTCTGTCATAAGTTTTATTAAAATTGTGATCAAACCAAAAAAGATCATTTTAAGTTTGTTTTATACATCAGTTATGGTATCTATGAGCTACAACATTAGGTCAAAAACCTAACATAAAAGTCCACCATTTTAGCTTAGAGGACTAATAAAGTCATAATAGTAGTTCAGGGGTAAGTTGAGCCAGTGGCTCAACTGAGAAAGTAAAGGAGTCTGATGAGAAGATCAGAGTTTTAGTTCAGATTGTTGAAATGTTTTACTTTTTCTTTTCAAAAATACAGCTGTGAATGTTCTGAATCACTTAAAGACATTCTCATATTAAAATGGCTTTTTACAAAACAGCTTTTTAGCAGTTATATGCAATAATAATGATAAAAGGAATTATTGTACCAGTTGAATAGCGTATAATAGATAAAAATACACATGAATGTGAAGAAGTGACTGTTATTTAGGGAGAGAAAGGGTGAGGGAAGGCTGGGGTGGAGAGTGGGGAGGCAGTACGTATACCGCTCAACTTACCCCGCTCCTATAGTCAACTTACCCCATACACAGAGTAAGTTGATCATAGGAGACCACTTTTTTTGGCATGCTATATTATCAAGACATTTATGTTCATACTCATTCTGGTTTGCAGGGATGCACAACATCTTGAAATATATGCAGATACACTAGTTAGAGACAAAACTATGATTGCCTTGATGTAGTGATACGAAATATGAAAAATGGCTCATTCTACCCCACTCTCCCCTACACCTCAAACAGGAGGTGTGCAGAGGGCTTTCTTATCAAATGCCCAAACCACCTCAACTGACTCCTCTCCAGAGCTCCCTCTGGATGTCCAGGATTCTCACCCTATCGCTAAAGCTCGGCCCAGCCACCCTTCAGGGGGAACTCATTTCAGCGGCTTGTGTCCACAGTCTCATTCTTTGGGTCACTACCCACAGCTTATGGATATGAACTGAGCTGCTGAAGCTTTTTTATCTGGTCATTCATCAAACTGCCTCCAGGGTATTTAGAAGGATCATATGTATACATAACAAAAGGACAAACATAATAAAAAATACTTTTGTTTACACTCAAATCTTTGCAGTTCTGGTCTGTTACTTTTAAAGTCAACAATAAACTGATGGAGAGAGAGAGACTGGAAGAAAGAGCAGGTAGGTGTTACAGAGTGGAGTAGAAGCTCTCTATCTTGACCCTCTATTATCATTTTTGTTCCATATTAAAAACCACTATCTTTATGCTTGCTTTCCTGGCCCATACATCAAGTAACACAGGAACAAATAGGCTTTGAGCCACATACATCAAAGGGCAGCAAAAAATTAACTAGAGAGAGATGTGAGCTCAGTTGGCTGCATTGCCACATAGTTATTTTAGATGTCCTAAATCGCTGCTGCGCGGTAGATTTTAGGCAAAGTGGTTACTTGAAAGCAGCCAAAACTGTCTTTTTTACATTTGTCTGCAGCATGAGATTTTTTTAAGTTCAGTTACATCACTTGATCGAGCCCAGTGCAGCTTCCCACAGGAGCTGCATCCCAATCTTATTTGCTTAATAACTGCTTCCTTCTTCTTTGAGCAGCCATTAAAAGCTGAGCACAGCCCCACTGCACAACCAGGAGGAGAAAGAACTGCAGCATCCACATTTTAAGAAACAACATGGGGTTATGGTTAGTTTGCATAAATTGATAAAGTCTCAGAGAGCTTACGGCCTCTGTGTTGTGCACCAAAAGATGATGAGTGAAACTTTTCTATGTGAGGGTGCCTTTATTTCATCTGATTTGCATCTGTTTGTTTGTTTTCCTCAGTCACCATGATGCTTTCTTTCTTCTCAACAGATAGCAGAAAATACAAAATGCTTAAAGGAACAATAACATCTCCTCTCCCACACCTGTCCAGCATGGGGTGCACTAAAAAAGTGTGTTTGTGTTTGTGTGATGTTATCAGCTCTAGTGAACTGTGTGATCCACGGTTTCTCATGCTTACCTCAACTGAGGCCCTCATAAAAAGCAGCTGACCTGAGCTGAGCCCTGAGGGGTCCAACCGGTAAAACTGCCCATTTTCACCTGCTGTAGCTCAGGTCTTCATTTTTCCACAGACTGAAGGGGCTGAGAAAGAGAAAGAGACAGAGAGCAGTGTGAGAGAGAGACTGAGAGGCGGAGAAAGCAGGGGGTCCTTGGGACTCACCCAGTTGACAGCTCCTGTCTCTGCCTGTAACGACTTATTTATTCAGGGATAATTAATCAGGCGCAGTTTTTCTGGCGGTGTGATTAATGCGCTTTGTCATCTCTGCGGCAGAGTTGAAAGCACAGCAGTCTATGATGCCTTTGCACGACTGTATCTCTCTAACATAAGTGCGACACAGAAAGACGTAGTCAAAAGAAGTGTGAGTAACTCAGTGGAGAGAGGAGCCTCTATGCAAAATAAAACAGTAAAGAAACTACAACTTACTTTTGTTTCTTTCCACTTAAACTTTTTATCATTCATGTTTTTTTTTTTTCACGTTATTTTTTACTTACGTTAGGTTCCTTTCAGTATTTGGGACCAACTCCTTTCTTCCACTCAATCGGCAGGTCTCATTTCTTCACAGCCTTTCGAGGGAAAGTTCAGCTCGGTGAAGTCCGGCAGCCTCTTCTTCGGGTGGTGAAGATGGTCTGGTGGCGCCATCTTGTGGTCGTTTTTGTTAATGTGGGGAGACTGGTTTGTGTGAGCAAACACTGCTCTCTTTTAATCGTGAAACCCTTGAGGACATTACCCCACAAGTATTTTCGCGGTAAAACTTAACAGGAATCGTCGAAATTAAAGGATTTACGCGGTGAAACAGCCTTACTCAGTCGGTTTCAAAAACAGTCTTGAAATGGGATTGGTAAAATACGGACTGTGTGGGTTCGAATCTTACATTAGGCCAAAGTGCGTTGGAAAGACAAACAAACAAGATGCTCAACGGTCACTATAAAATGTCTGTTTTTTCTTGACTCCGTTGATACATGTTCTCATATTCCTTAGAAGTTTAGACTTCGCTTCAAGAGGAGAAACTCCACAACCAGGAAATACAGAAACACTGGCTGACGTCGATTTTGGCGCGCGAAAGACTGGAGCGGATGTTGTACCTGAAGTGGGCGTGTCTTCTCCACACAGGTACGCCTCTTATGTAACCGGTCATATGATCTGCTAGCAAGTCAGTGATGACCTCTGATTTGTTTTACTGTCAGAGTTAATTTTTAGGCTATTTCTTCTTCTTTTTTTTTTTTTTTAGCACTTGTCTGTTTAGATCTCTTACCTTACTTCCATTATATACTTCCATTGCATCGTTTTATTAAGAGCTATCTTTTCTATTTGTCTTCTGATGTCATAGTATGTGCTTCTTGTACCATTTATAATATATGCTAAACTGCTACTTTGTCATTAGAAACAATGCCAAAGATAAAACTTTCTTTCTTTAATGAGTGATAGAAATAAAAGGGATAAAAAGCATACTCACATATTTCATTTATTTATTCACTTTTGTCTAGTCTTAAACCTTTTTTGTCACCATTTGCATGAAAGGACTCAAAGTTATTACACAACTTTGTTTTGGAAGATGTGAAATGCCCCTAATTCTTATTATTGCAGTACAAATAAAACACCAGTGCAGGGATGTTCAACAGGAAGAAACACAAACAAGTTATGAACACTTTATTATTACAAAAGCCTTACATTACACACACAACAGTTGATATCTTTGTAGCACACGGCAGCCCTCTCATGGTTCCTGACTGGTGTCCACTGATTTTAATCCTCTTCAACATGTCTTGGCTGCAGAAAACAGAACAGTAGTTTGCATTTTTATCATTAAATTACGCTCTTATCTCAAGTTAATAATCACTTTTTAGACTTTTGCTTTTGTATTTAAACTGTAGGCATGCCAAAGATGAATATTTAGTCTGGTGAATTTTTAAAGTAACTTGTATGACCAGCAGATGTCACTATAAGGCCATTTCAGCTGGTGGATATGTCTCTCTTACCTTGGATTTGCCACAGTTGGCAAGCTTGTTGCCTGTAGAGAAAAATGAGATTGAGTGATTAGGTCAGAACAATTGTGCCTTTCAACAAAGCTGCTCTGATTAATGAAAGCCGAGCGGTATGATTGAAGCAAGGTATCAATTTCAGTCATTTTTACCCAGAGAAAAATACTTAATGAGAACCTTTTGTTTGCTTTCAACCAATCTGTCCAATAACAGACTCTATAATAAAACACCAGTGTCATTCACCGACACACACAGAAACAAAGAGTACAGTTAATGACTTACCAGCCAATAGAATGAAAGAGAGGAACACAATCACCCCAGCAAACACCAGACCTCCAACACGAAGTGTGTGGTAGTCTACAAGTATACACAGGACAATGTCAGTGCACCATCCCTGCAACATTTCCCTCCCAGGTTATCCCAGTTTAATCTCTGTCTTCAAGTTTCTCCCTGTTCATTTTCTTTAAACAATGCAATTCTTTATATTCCTCCCACTTAATCCTCTATCCCTCCACTCATGCTCACTTATTTGCTTATCCTACATCCAGGTATGCTGGAAAAAACTCCCTTTATTTCATGCACACTTTCATTATTCTCTCTTCAAGAGGTTTGATGTTTCAACTTGTTCATCCTAGCTAAGTAGAAGTTTCTTACCGTACACAAAGTCTGCATCAGGGTCAACAAATTCTGCACCTGGGGACAGACAGGTAATGGACATGAACAGAAACTCAGGTTAAAAAATACAGCACATCAACAGAAAGAAAGTTGTCTTAGACTGAGGGTATACATGCATACTTTTAAGAAATATTCAATGTGTTTTTTTTAACACCTATCAGCCCCCCAGCATTGTACTTACTAAAACCAAATGGTCACATTACCAAAGTTTCAAAAGTATAGCTGCACTGATAATCTTAATGTGAGCAGTGACTCTCGGTTGAAAAGTTAAAAGGTAGCTAATTTCCATCTAGTAGAAAATATAAAACACTTAAATATTTAGTATGTTTATATTGTGTAACTTTACAAGATCACTCTGCTTCATCTTGGAGTAAAAAGTTTTAATTTAACATAATTTTTATGGCTTCAGCCGTCATCAAGAAAACACGTTTTATAGTGCATCTGTCCAATGAACACCATGTCCCTCCAAATTTGAAAACACTAGCTTTATTCAAACACACTTTACACTGAGTTCTCCAGTACAAGTGTTTTTTTTTAACTTCCTGATAAACTAAACTTTCTGAAAAATCTTTTGTTACTTAACAAAAAAAATGCATCTGAAATGATCATTTTAGCAGAATTGCAGATACTTTAAAGCTCCTGTGAGGCGCCCCTTGTAGACAAAGATCTTACCTCTTGCTGATCTTGTCCTGAACACCTAAAGACAGTATTTCCTGACGAAAATACTCTACCAGCTTTCTTTTCAAATATCTCACTCATAATACTTCACATAATATTATATGAGTATTTATTTTACTCATTTATAGTATATATACTCATATACTCATAATATTATGATATAACGCATAATATTTGTTCGTGAAAATGTAAAAACAAAAAGCTGTCAATCATTCAGTCTCACACCCACCCTTGCAGCAGTAACAGGCTTTTAAAATTAGAATAACAAAATTCAGTCATGCTGCAGATTGTCCTAATTGCTTCTGTAGGTCATGAAGAAGTATCAGTGGCAAAATCAGGCTTACCACTTAGCCCATAGGGGGTGCCAAAGTCAACACAAATAGAAAGTTCCTTACAGGAGCTTTAAGTAGACTGCCCTTGCACTTACAAACTTTTATCTCAGTGTGCTTTAGAGTTAAGTCCTTTAATGTACTTTGAGTATTTTCACCTAAGTGTTCCCACCAGTTGTTTATCATTTCCCAGCACTTATCGCCCCTCCAAACCATCTGTTAATAAGTCATCCTTGCATTACCCAGGTACATAATTGACACGGTGTCGTTAGCAGTTCAGACTTGGAATCAGAGAACAAGAGGAGCTGTGACCTTGCAAGTATTTTGACACAAAAATGGTGTCATATGAAACTGGCACTCTCAGACACCTCTGCGGTTGATAAACATCGGCTCCGTTGCTGAGTTACTCACCTTTAGATGACATGTTGTCTCGCCTGTTTGTGTATTCAGCTGACAAAGCTGGAAGGGAAAAAGCAAACAGTTAACAAAAGGTGACCAGCTGGTGATACATGTATATCTACTGTAATATTACATGATGTAGTATTTTGTTTTTATAAAGCGCTCAGCATCAGGTCTTGTGTTTAAAGACCTCTGTTCGCAGGGAGGGAGGTGTCCGTGGATTTGATTTCAATAGTCCGTCTTTTTTAATTAGGTTGGAGACGTGTAGAAGCTCATTTAAATCGGCTTATTCACTTTAGATGAGAGGTGGTTGAAAGGCTCGGAAACTCTATATGTCCTGACAAATTGCCTTATCGGCTTCACTACGACAGACTTAGAGCAAAACGATTGCCTTGATCTTCACTGAGAACTCTAAGAGGCTAATGGCGTTATTGATCCCCTTTCCTCCATGCTTTCTCCCACCATCCTTTACACACTCACTCCCAAACACACACATTCAAGCTTCTCGTTTGATCTACATCGCCTGACCTCTAATCATTAACTTACAAAGATTAACAGACTAAAAATTTCCCTCTCTGTCTCCATTTTTGTTCAGGCGTGCTGCTCTGAAATGTGGACTTCAGTGCTTTCATTCGTTATGTGTCCAGGCCTTTTCCTTGCGCCACTAGGCATGAGGGCATACCGGACAGTTACTCATTAATACATTATAGCTCTGATATTCATTAACCTTGAACCTTGCACAGTCTGATAGAGGTTACAGAAAGGACAAAATGAGTAGCAGCGGTGACAGCTGCCTAATAATGCCGATTTAAAGCTCAATCATTTGTCAAATCCACATTTAAATCGATGAATCTATTACATTTCTTCACAGGAGGATAATTAAATGAACTGAAAACAGATTACTGTCTGTCCTCCAAACCCACTTCTACAGCATGTAATAACTGGAGCATGTGTGCCTTTATTTTCTGGCACATTAACGGAGCAACCCGTATGTAAAAATTTAAAAATTAGCTATTACAACTTCTATTTTACCCAAGAAGGAACATCCCAGACATCATATAAGCACTAAAATCACAAATTCCCCCTTTATTCTTAGGAATATAATCATATGATGAACCACTTTTACAAATTTTAGGCTTTTAAGCTTTTTTTTTTTAAGATTTTGTTTTGTCTTTTTTTTTCAAAGAAAGAAAGCTATTACTCACCAAAGCTGCTGAAGGTTCTGTGTCACCTCTGTCCAGGTGTGTGTGTGTGTGGCCTTGTCTGCTTTAGGGGGCAGGTACAGACAAAACTCCAACCCCACAGATCCACCCACCGTCTTAACACACACACATAGCCACACAAAGACACCCGCAGTCATACTCCAGTCGTGTCGCTCCGTTACATATTTACAGGATAATAAAAGTTTGCTCACTCAAGCCCATAAAGAGTATATCTGCCAACCTTTGGAGTCATTGTAGAATAAGCGGCACATTTCCGACTCTGCTGGTGAGAAAAATGTTCACCGACATGGTTTTATAGAGACTAAGAGTAGCTTGTAATCATGGCTGTCAAATTGTCAAACCAATCTGAAATACTGATGGATGGTTGGACACATTTTTTCAGCTTAAACGTCAAAGCTTATAGATTTAAATGATCACAGAGACACGTTATTATTTGTGGTTGGACACAATTTATTTATGCAAAAAGCACAGCAAGTTGCTACACAATGGGGCTTCATGTAAAGAGTGTACACACTGCTTGTACTTGTGCAGCAGTCGTCTTTCCAACAGGTTGAACTCTGAGTTGGTGAAGCCCGACACAAAAAGGAGCTTGCTTTTGTTCACTCTCGCTTTTTTTTTTTTCACTTACATTGGGCTACTCTAAACATAGTCTTCACATAAATAATATCACTTTGAATTACACTAATGCTCTCAAACTCATCACTTGAACTTTGTCTTATCTTTTAAGATATGTATTATATCTTTAAATATTCAAAGCCCTGTGGTAAAGTAATTAAATCAAAATAAGAGACATGAAGAAGGAAAAAAAAAGACATGAGTTTCTCAGACTGAGTAAGTGTGTGTGGAGAAACTAATCATAGTTTGTGGGCTAGTTAATCCAGGTGGAGCCAGTGATGGAGAAGAGAGGGAGGCAGTGAGACAGCTGATACAAGAGCTCCCTCCACTACAAATGTGGTGGAGGAGCTTTACTTCAATGGCAGTTCAGATTGTCTTACATAAGGCTGATCACACTGACAGAAAGATACATGTGCACCCACATATACTCGTAAATACACACAAAAAACACATATACTCATTCAAACATGGACCTCAACAAACAGTACTTAACTGTATATTATCTGTTATCTATTGGTATAATTTCAATACTTATATATGTGTACAGTATATATGCATAAATGTTATAATTCAATAACAAACTTTATCCATAAGAGTTGACCATACTCACACAACATGTGTTTTTCTCTGACATCACAATTCAAGTGGAAAGCTGCTACGGCTACAATGCGAAACTGCTGCATTTTAGGTTATTTGTCATCCAAGCAATCTGATTAATATCATGGCTAGAAGATGTGTGAAACTTTAGGACAACAGGTTTTCGATTTTCTTTTTACTTGAAAGAAACCCCTTAAAATTTTTATTAATGCTTTGGTGTGCCAAAACAATACGTGTGACCCACTGAGTGATTTCAGAGGAAAATGACCACCATGATGTGACAAATTAAACAACAAACGGACAAATACTAAAATCTAAAAGACAATAGATAGAAACGTAGAACAGCAGACCACATAACATTAAATATTCTCCTACCTGCTTTCAAGACAATCATGTGTCAAAGGTGCTAACAGCTCGGACAAAAAATAGGAGTAGGACTGTCACAGAAAGGCACAGGAACATACAAGAGCACTGAGGGACTGGCACGGCCACAACAGGAACACAACAGGCGAGATTTATTTTACATATCAAACTTCTAAATGTTTACATCTTACCCTGACATAACCATAATCATAATAATAATAATTATAATAATAATCCATTTATTTAACCCTAGAGTGGCTTTATACTAAATCAAACATTCCTCCAGAGGGCAGTGCAGTTCCTCAGTTTTCTGCTGGAGTCTCTTTGGCAGCCGCTGCAGCTGAAAGACACCAATAAAGAGCCAGTTAATCAGAGTACAACACATTAAACCAACAAGACAGTAATTTTTAAGTTTGTGTGTTGGAGATGTTTCCTCTCAAGAATTCTTTGAGTGTATTATTAAGAACACCAAGAAAAACGTCTCTCCATATATGTCAGTTTTGTGTTTGAAAAAAGAGAGTGAACGTCTCTGACAGGCAGAACCAAAGTGGTGGCAGAAAATTAGCTGGTAGTATCTTTCAGCCACAGCTAATTAGAAAGTTATGGACCACTATGATTAGAGAGTCAAGCTCATCCTAAGTGTTAAGTTACAGTTTGCAGACATTTGGATATGTCTTGTGGAGAAACCAAGCCTTTATACTGAAGAGAAACTCAAGGCATACAAACTTCTTCACACTTAAAATAGTTTTTACTGAGTGGTGACATCCAAGACACTAAATACAATGCCGCTCAGAAGGTTGTACAAGATGCCATCATAATAAAGAAATCAAATTATGCACTACCTGCTAGGATTGAGAGCAATAAAAAAAAACACTCTGATATCCATTATATCTATTAATAAAGACATCAACTTCAGTAATAGTAAATCCTTTAATTCTGTTCAAACTAACCAGAAGTTAAAATCAAACTTAAAACCTATTGAAAGTTCAACAGTATGCCCCCCTGTCAGCTGTCCTCCCCATGCCTGTGGTTGCATGTAACTCACTACATGCCCTGTATTTGAACTGTTTATATCATAATTCACTTAAATACAACATAAAATATTCTTACATTTTAAGATTTTATCTTACATTTGGCACAACAAGACATTTAACACCTACTGGAAGGATAGGGCCAGGTTCTCTGTGATTTTCTGCCTCCATAACTGCAGTGACATAACTGTAGAATCTACTCTAAATTGGTCCTCTGCTCCATAAGATAAATCTCAAAACAAATATACTATATTCTATGAAGAAACTGATTACATAATCTTCACATAACAAAACAGCGCTTCTCTGCACTATTCTGTTGACTGATACATCCTGTAATGATACCGCCAAAAAAAGTCCATCCTTTCTTTTTTCCCTTTGGAAACTTCTCAGCTGTGTTAAGGGATTAATCCTCTCAAAATACCTTTGGGTCATAGCGAGCTTATATTCGCTCTCTTTTATTCTCTATAAGCCTATTATATTGTAACACTTTGGTTCTGACATCCCTTTGTTCATGCAGCACTTAATATGCCAACAATATCTTACATGTGACAGAATAAACGGCAGTCAAGATACTTTCCTGCAAGAAGATCCCATTCCAGGACACAAACAGAGATGGAAAATAAAGAGACTGGCAAAATGGTTTGACTAGATAAATGAGGTGAAAGTGGCAGACAGGGATGTGAGGTCTCACCCTTTGAGACAATCAAGTTCTCCTCCTGTTGTTCCTCATCTCCAGGGGCACTGAGGAGAGAATTCATGTCAATAACAATAAAAACCAAGTCATGGTTCATTGTTTTTGTAATCAAGGGGGGAAAGTGATGTACCTGGGCTTCTGGTTGATGCTGCAGCGGCATCTTCTACCTGATAACAGAAATGATCATTTTTCACTGATATAACCGATAATAACATTCTTTTTAAACGAGTGCATGAACACATATTAAAATGTTACACAAATGCAGAGGAAGAGCTAGACTTACTGAGAATAAGGAGAATACCCAGTGTGAACAGCACCACCGCAAACGCCAAACCACCGATCCTCAGGGTCTCATAGTCTGCAGAAGAACATCAGACGTACAACATAGAAACATGAAAGAGGAGAAACAACTGCCATCCAATACAGAACACAAGTTAAGTGTCCCTGCGGCTCAACGATTAGCTGCAGAACAAGATTTGCATAAGTAAACTGTATGCTTACCATATATAAATGGGTTTTCATCTTCCGTCTTGTCGTCTATGAAAATATGAGAAGAAAAAAAAACACTCATTCAGAAACAAGTTATTGCTCCAGCAACTTCAAAGCATGATCCATGAGACATTATTTCAGTCAGAGTACTCTATGGTGTCATCATCTTCCAAAGTCATCAATCAAAGTACTTTGCATAATCAGGACCATGAGATTGAATTCATATCTTTGATTTCTGTTTTTACAGTGCTCATACTGTAAATGGTAGTTTTTATATCTTCAAAATGGACATTTCATAATTCCAGTGATGAACTTTGCTTTTATCTTTCTCTCCCAATGCTGTCCTCTCATAAAATATGGGTAATGTGTTAAATATGTTGTTTGTTTTCCGCGGTGGTTTTTGTATGTGTTCCCTGTTTGCATGTGGGTTGTTGCTAGTTTGCAGTTCAGCATGTGCAGCACTGAAGTCCAAGACAAATTTCCTTAAGGGACAATAAGGGGTATCGTATTGTATCGTATCGTATCATATCGTATCGTATCGTATCGTATTATATTGTATCGTATCGTATTGTACCCTATCGTATCGTATCGTATCGTAACATATTATATTGTATCGTATCGTATTGTACCCTATCGTATCGTATCATTTTGAATCGTATCGTATCTTGTCTTATTGTATCATATCATATTGTATCCAAGACAAATTTCCTTAAGGGGACAATAAGGGGTATCATATTGTATCGTATCGTATTATATTGTATCGTACCATACCTTATCGTATCGTATCGTATTGTATCTTGTCTTATCATATCATATCATATTGTATCGTTTTGTATCATTTTGTTTCATATCGTATTGCATTGTATCGTATTGTTGGTTTCATTTTGTATGTCATAAAGAAACATTCTATTTGATGCACGTTAAATTACAAGCTTTTAAGTCCCCACAAGAGCTTAAAGGGTTTGTAGATCGTGTCTATGGCTGAAAGTTTTTGTTCCAAAGGGTCTAAAAAGCAGAACTATAGTTAAAGCATCTTATATTAGACAATATCTACTCTTGGTTATGTATCCAAAGGGGAAATAAAGAACTGCTTTTACCGATCTTCTACAAAACAATCAATTGCATCTCTACCGTATTGATTTTATTCCCCACAAGTCTATTTCAACTCAATGCATCACATGAATCAGGTCACTTTTGGACTTAATCCACACCTCTGTCAATTTGAGCTGTAACGGGCAAATCCACAAGAGTCTGATTTGATCTGGAAACCATCAGAGCCATCTATGAGGCTGTGAGGACTGGGGTGTGACCCCATTAGAGAAAACATCCAGAGTACTCACCCTGTGTACTCTGGTCTGTCACAGCTGAGAGGCAGCGGAGAAAGGAGATGGTTTTATTCAGTGGGTGGAAAGAAAAGAAAAAAGATCGAAACACAGGGATTTACCAACCACAAGGAAAAATACATCCAAGTATGTGTCAGTCAAGTGATGTATCTGCCTTTGTTTTACCTTACACAACCTTAAAGTGTCACAAACACATTCACAGCACAGCATCACGTTATCTATTCACAGAGTGTGACAGTCTGAGCATGTGTCTCCTTGTCTTACATTTAATCACACACTCCAAACAGACCTATCACTCTCCCTCTCTCTCTCACACACACACACACACACACACTCCCACCCACACTGTGACTTGCCAGTCTAGGAAGCCAACACATAAAGCCCTAAAGTAGTAAAATTGCTGTTTTGCTCTCAGCCCACACCCAGCCAGTGTCTCTCAGTGTGACATCATTGCCTATCCCAACACTGCCCCCCTGTGGACAAGTAGTGTTTGCATTAATGTGTGTCCTTTTTTTTCGTGCGTGAGTGTGTGTTTGTGTTTCATGAGAAGGGGGGGACACTTACCAGCCACACACACCAGGAGAGAAGAGAGGAAGAGCAAAATAGTTTCCATGGCAACTGTTGACACAGAGTGATAAAGAGGGAGGGTGAGAGAGAATGAAAGGTGTGGTGTTTGTATATTTGAAATGCACAAACACAAAAACAATGGTTCACATCATTTATAGTTAATATACACGGCAGACAGTGTGACCGTACAAGGAACCCCATCACAGAGCACCGCCTCCATCCAAACCCCTGAAGTTTCAGTGATGTAAAAGGCCCACAGATATAATCTCTACTTTATATAATGGTGCATGTTCAGAGCCCACATACATGTTCTCTTTTTCTGGAAGAGATTACACCTTACTCCCTGTGGACATCACACAACCTTGACCTAATTTCATTTAAATCATGCAATGCACGTCCGCTCCCACAGAGCATGTTCAGTGGTTTTATTTTTCAAAATTAAAATACACACACATCCCGTAGGGTTACCTGCTGTCCACAGAAATAGTCAGCCTTAGTTGCTGCATTGTTAGTTTGTCATTCAGTCAGTAACAGAGCTCTAGACTGCCATATCTCAACAAGTTTTACATACAGCATCCAGAAAAACAATGCAAATGTGGAGCAAAAGAGATGAATGTCTAAGACTGAGTCCTGACTGCAACTGAAGGCCACATACTGCAAGTCAAAAGCCTTTTTTTATCAGCAACTACCTCCAAAGCCCATGAAATAAGCAGCAGCCTGAGTTGTCATTAGCATTCAGAGCAAATAACAACATATTATAATGCTAATACACTGAGGAAGGTGAAAATGGTGAGCACTTACTGCTTAACAACACACTGGTAAAATTGTCTGCCTGAACACGTTGGCACTTTGGCTTTAACAATAGGCTGAGTGCACAATTGTGCCAAAACCAGGGCGCGTCCGGACTTTTTCTGACTGAGGTGGTTCGACCGGAGGACTGACTTTTGCAGAGTTGGTATGAGGAAGGTGTGCTGACAACAACATTGATTTGAAAAATTAATTCACCTTTCCTGATGCCACTAATGAAACCTACTTATTCTATCAACAGCATTGTAACACGCAGAACTAATGCAGCAAGATCTGTTTATAAAAATAGTGTTCAGCTGCTGCTAGTACTGTATTTGACAGCTGGTGTGCAGGAGTTTGCTTCTTTTGTATTTATTCTGTGACAATTTTTAAGACAACTTGTAATAAATCACTGACTTACTTTTAAAAGTATATTTTCTCTAATCTGATCTCACAGACTTCAAATCTGCCTTGGGTCAGCTTTTTTTTTAAATTTATTTATTTGGACAAGTTAATAACTTTGATTTATGAGTAGCACGTAGTATGGGTTGCTTATGTCTGACAATCAGTTTAACGTCCAAGTTCATTAGATTTAGGCTCAGGATTTCTTCCTTTCCTTTTCATGTTAAGAATAAAAACATAAAAAAGAAAGAAAAGAAAAACACAGGAAACATATTGTTGGTAAGATATAAAACACTGAGGTCTTTGAATTGAACAAATAAAAAAATCTATTTTGAAAGGTGTGGTAGGACGGTTGGTCTTGGCAGGATATGCCAGATGGATTATGGTAAGTGCACTCACTATTGTGCAAATGCAGATCTGGCTGCAACAACAGCTCATGAATCAGTATCTATGAGTGGTCTAATTTCCTTTTATACTCTCCTGAGCAAACAAAAGGGGTTATACATCAACATTTAGAGGCAATCAAACCAACTAAATGGAGCGTCAGTCAGTCAGAAGTGCTCACTGAATCGTCAACACAAAAAGAAACAAATCAACAGGGGGAAAAAATACACCTGAGCTGTAGAAGCTGCTTTACTGCAGGAGTCCAATCATTTCATTCATTCAGTGGAGGCTTTACCACCATGTTTAATGTCTGAACAGCTGACCCGTCTGCCTTCATACACTGGCATCTTTCTATTCATCCTATTTAATGAATCCATTTATGTCCATTTGCCCACCTGACTGTGCACAACATCAGCCGTCTGAGCAGGAGCGGGCATGATGCACTTACAGCCAAAATAGTCCATTACAGCCATTAGCAGAGGTAGCAGCTGTAGCATTCCTACACAGCTGATGTTTGTATATTTGTGCTTCTTATATCTGATTTGTGAGCCTTCATACAGACTCAGCACTGTATCCACGGTGTTTATGAGACTCAAAAAATGGCCTGTGGTAGATTTTCCACCACCTATATATAAATCTATAAACCTGCCATGTGGGATTTTGGACTAAGAAATGAGTTTTTTTGTATCAACATTTAGTGGAGGACATGTTTTGCATTTAAAGAAGCAGATCTATCATTTCTTCATGAATTTTGTAAGTAGCTCTTTCTTTAAATGTTGCATCACCTCCTCCATAAGTATAAATACTGAAATACTGATGTCAATTTTGATTTTCAAAACCTTGGATTCAAAAGACGGTTTCTTCTCCTTTTAAACAGTTTCATTTCAAAAGCTTTGAAGCTTGTTTTTAGTTTTTTTCAATCATGTTATCTCACAGATTGGGAGGGAGTACATGGTGCATACATAGTTGCACCTTTACATAACGTTGCAGTCAACCTCAGATGTGAAAGATGAGATCTGGCAGGTGTTCGAGGTGTGTTGTCACATCTACACATCTTGAGAGAGATATCATTTTTCCTATGTCAGGAGTATTGGTTGACCCCAGACTGTTCATTACTCATATCACTTTTGACATTTTAATAAACATTGATCCAGATCAGGTACAACAGGTGGACATTTTTTCACTGTGAGGCATGAGTGATGTTGTTGATCAGCAGCATATTTCTGTTATCATTAAAGAGAGGGGAAAAAAACATGCTTGACTTTTAAGATTTTTAAGATGTTTATCAATTTTTACTTCTTGGCTCTCTGACTCATTATCCTGTTGTGTGAAACTACTTGATTCTTATTGGTTGAAACCCAGCAACCCTAAATCAATCCTGAATTGCAAGAGTGATGCAAGGGCCAAATACATCACACGTCACATCAAATCAATCCACAGAAAAGAGTCGTGGCACTTTTCATCTCACTCCACACTGACGCAAAAACGTATTTGTCTAAATTGGTTAACATGGTGGCTGAACATTTCTATTTGTGTTTTAAATTGGTTTACTAAATAACATATGTAAACTTCAATTTATTCAGGGGACATGAACCAATCTAACCCTCATGATTAAATGACTGAACAGAAAAACAGCGTAGAAACTGATGAGCTTGGTGAAAGAGATGTCAACCATGCTGAACAGACATGAAGCAATAACAAACCACAAATGTTATGGGGCCGTCTAAGAGAAAATCAAATGCAAACGAGACAGTAAAGTTAGCAGGAGAGAGACATTATAGACCTAAAGGTGCTGCTGTTATTTCCTGCATCTGTTAAGACTGCCGATGTTTTGACTTCACCGACTTTACTAATGAAAATGTTTATTTTGACCATGTAAATGAGCAAGTTTATGCTGAGATTTCATTGTGACTAAAGAGCTATTTTTAATGCATATTCCCCCGCAGTAGGCAGATCAGAATATTGTTGCCATGGAAGTGCTGTCAACCTTCAAATCTAAGTGGCAATTTTCTTTAGCTCAACAAATCCTTATAAAACTTTAAAATACCTTTTAACATCACTTAGAGTCAGTTCATTTGTATCTTTACTTTGTAGCCAGGTAACACGTAAGTAAAATACGCCCACTCTTTTGCATCACTTCAGGGTCTTGTCTCACCTTTTGGGGATCTATTTTGCGTAACCACCCACTCACTATAGATTATCCTTTACAGATACTGCACATGAATCAACAGTCAAATCTAATGTTGTCACCCTGGAGCTCCTTCCAGTTTACAAACCAAACAATTCATCTTATTGTTGCTTCTTATTGTGTAATATCAAAAGGAGATTCATACTCTAAAAATGAGCAGATCATGCTTGTTTATCCTGTCTAATACTGTCATGTAAAGACTTCTTGAGCTGCTGCACTTAGGTCAGTTTACATTACCTGTACTGCTCTAAAGTGGCTTTACATTGACTGTTTTCCTGCACATTTACACTTGGAGATAATTGCAGTTATCTGTGACATTATCAGAAAACACAGAGCTGTAAATATTTTTCTTTTTTTTTTTAAATTAGAAGGAGCTCATTGGTGTTTTCCACCTGTTTGGAAGTGTCTCTTTGGATAAAACCTCCCATCAAAGATTAGTCTGTCAGACACTAATGGAAAGGCAGATTGTGATTCTTCTCTCTGAGAGACTTCTTAATGGAGTACATATGACGCTACGTGCTCGGGGCGAAGAGCTTCGTTGGACTACTTACACTAACTCTGGAGAAGACAAAAACTGACCTAGGTCAAAGGTCGAGCAATCAGTGACACTCAAAAATACTACATGTCCATTCACACCAGAGTACAAATACTTGTGATTGGTTAGTTTGTTGGTGGGAAGAAATGTGACCTCTGTTGACTTGTAAAGTATTTACTTAAAGACATATTCTTGGCAATGCAAATTCAGTGGTGTTTTGTCATTCGCAAACGATTCGTTCAAAAGAGCCGAATCTTTTAAGTGAACGTACTGAACTGGATCACTTTTCGAGTGATTCGTTCGTTTCTCACTTCCTTTGCGCTGAAGTGAGAAACAGCATTGACAGGCCAGCAGCTGGCGAATCACTTGGTGAACGAATCACACATTGAACTTGACTCACTGGAATCATTTTTGTCAGATCAAACTACCTCTTTTTTTTCTCACTACTAAATTGCCACCATAACAACTTGCATACAATAGGACACAGCATTTAACAAGTAGTGCATTAAACCCGCAGCATCCTATCATTGCAGCGGTTTGCGAGGGAGCGGTGCATGTTCGGTGTGAATTCTTCTAAACGTTCAGTGAATGAATCACTCACTGACCTGATACATAGCATACCATAGGACGGTACACTTAGAACATCATGACCTATAAACAACTTCATTTTTACAAACCTGTTTGCCAAAGCAACACAGCCAAACACCCAGAAGCTATGAATTGAACTGCGTTCTGAACTGCTCAGCTGTGTATCAGTTCAGGAGGTCAGAGTCGCAGGCTTCTCCTGCCAAATGATTCGGTAATTTGGTGAACGAATCTTTTGAACAAATCTTTTTAGTGAACTGATTCTAGTGATTCAGTACATCTAAAAGAACTGCCGTGCCCATCACTAGAATCCAGCCCTGATTTATCTGTCCGGCTCTGCAGAACCTTTGTATTTTTTGAAAATGGTGAGTCTATTTGCTAGGGTGTGAAATTAATCTTATGAAGAGGGAGTATTTTTAGCTAATAATGGGTCAGTGTTATACGTTTGTCCAGAGGGCACCACTTGGGAGTTTGGCTGACTCGCATTGTCCTGAGTAATAAATCATGTCGCTTTTTGGCCCTTATAGCCAGCCTTTCTCTTCCTGGATATGAAACATGGCACCTGAGGAGCCGTCTCCATCTGTCCTTAACACACTGTGTCTGCTCTACTCTTGAATAATATCTAGTTCCAGTGCCAGGCACCCCCCTTTTGTCTGACAGGAGAGGACAAGAAAAGGGACATGACTTTATCTATGAAGAAAGCAAGTAAACAACAGGAGGAGGAAGCTGTTTCCTGTAATGTGGAGACAAAGAAAGGACGGGCTGGGAGGCACTGAAAATGGGAGATAAGGAAGAGGCATAATTTGGCAGGACACAACAGGTGAGGGTGTGAAATTGAAAAAAGAGGGTAAAAACTGTAAGAAATGAAACAATGGTAAGGAAGAGAATAATATGTCACACAAAAATCTCCAAATTGCAAAAATACAATGATAGAATGAAACTGAAAGTATTTTTATGTTTAAGCAGCCTGAGTTTGGCACTAGAGCTCCCCATCCTTTTTCAACAATATCTATTTGGTTGCCTAAATATAAGATCCTGATGCCCCCAGTGAAAAAGACCAAGAGACATTGATTTTTCCTTCTTTTTCAACATTCATTTACAAACACAGGACAGCTAAATAGGCCACAGCACAGGTCTCCATGGCATATGTGTGGAGAAAAATACACTTACATCTGCTACCATAATCATGTTAGCTCGCCATGACAACAGAGTGCGTCGTTCAGAGTCCAGATATCTCCATGGTAACTGTATCTGACTGAAAATTCTGGCGCCGAAGTAAAATGGGTTAAGACGGTGCATCACATGGAGATAAGGACAGCAATAGAGCCTGTAAGAAGGGGCGTGGCAGGAAGATCACAAGTCACTGGAAGTAGATTGAAATTTATTTACAAGATAGTGTTTTTTTTAAAGGGCAGCAGTTGTGATTTCAGTGATTTCTAGAAAGTTGGGTGCGGACAACATCCACGCCCTTATAACATCATCGTGATATTGTCACAGATCACAGCCAGGTAGGCACCATCGGTTTAGACGAAACACTAGATTTCACCATCAGATTATGTGTGTGACGCATGCGCGCCCATCAGCCGCGTCCATCAACCTGTGGATCGTCTGATGCTGATCTGTGCGACGACACATCATCACCCGCTTTGTGTGTGTGCGTGTGTGTGTTATTTTGTCTTTTCACACACGAGATGTGATGTCTGTGTTTTTCCTCTTATCGTCACGATAACACTCTGTAATGTGGTCACGCACGTTTTCCAGATTACATTTACATTTTTTTGTTTTTTTGCCGCGAGTCCGCTGAAGGTTACAGTGGTCAGTGCCAGCAGACACACCCTCATTGGATTGCGATGATAAACAACAAGTATCCCTGTAGATAGGCTTCCTGCAAGTTGTCAGCATTTCCAGACGTGCGTGAATATTCCTTATATCAAACATTTGATAATTTCATTCAGTTTCTTTTTTTTTTCAATGAAAATCCTCCTGATTCACGATTCTACCTTCAATAATCCACTGTAAAGAGATATATTAATTCGTGTGGCGTTCAATTGCACATCTCATGCTTGTTCTAACCTTTCCTGGTCGTTTTTTTTTCTCTAAAATAAAAGCCATCCAAAAACATCAAATATGAACTTACCTTTCGTTTCCCCAGCAGACTGTTGACCAACAAACTGATCTCCTTCCTTCAAAAAAAATCAATCAGCTTGTCTCACAAGGCTTTAGACACAAATATTTTCATCTGTCAATATTTGCTCACTGCACACATCCACTTGCCCCGGAAAAATAGATGTGATGGGTAACAATATGACTCCTGAAGTGAATGCTTCTCCAATGTGTTCAACAGCCCTGTGTTGCTCTCTCCCTCCCTCTCTCTTTTTCTCACTCACTCTCAGTAACACACGTGCACATACCCACACACTCATTATCACAGACCCTTAGCACAACACCAGCCTTGTGTATGACTGACAGCTTTGACCGATTGACTCCATATTCAGGGCTTTCCTTCATTTTTATTGCATGTATGCTCAGTGAAAGCACACACAGAAAATTCTATTTGACAACATGGCCACTGCACATAAATGTGACCTACAGGGAATTCTCTCATACACACGCACGCACATACACACACATTGGTATACATTGAAAAAATCACAGCGGGCATAAAAGAGGTGTTTTCCTTCATAACAAAGTGATACATAAAGTGTCTTTCTTTTGCATTAATATGGTAAACAACAGAGAATGTCAAAAAGCCTGAGATGTGTCCCTGAGATAAAACACATCTACAATCATTTTTGTCGAGAGTATCATCCTAACTATCAGGAGATCACAGCAGAGTGGAGAGAAGGGCCAGCCATCTTTGTAGCTTAATGTGCAGGTAAACATGAGTAAATTGTGTGATTAAGATACCAAAAGACAGAAGAGGACAATCATGACTGAAGACTTAAGTCAGTGCATCGATTAGTGTGTTTTAGGTAATACATATAACAGTCACGCATGAGTCTATGAATAGATCACAGAGACAGAGGTGCTGTCTCTGCATCTCTGTGCATTTTATCATGCGTTTGTTCCCATAAGCTTTCGAGCAACTTCTCCTTTTCCCTTCATTCTTTAAGTGTAAATCCATCCGCCTCTCTGAGACGGCCTCGTAGTGCAGGTTCATCAAGGAAGAGAAGAGGTAGACCACCAGCAGTCTGAGCTATGACAGACTCTCTCGCTGTAGGAGACACAAGAAGTGATTTCATTAGAAACACCACAATGCTTCTCAGTGGGGCAAACTGGCCACTGACCTGAGATCTGATCAAATTTTTGATTCCTTAAAAAGAAGTTTTTAAAAATGGTTGTGTTTTTTAAGGCATACACACAAGGAATAGGTCAAAATAGGCAAGGGTACATGCAGTTTTTTTTACCCCCATAGTGCTGTAAATCCAAGAAAGCTGACTGCCGACTTTGGCGTAAACTCCAGGCTTGTTTCTTCTACCACAGCCCTGTCCCCAGCTGGTGATCCCAACCACATACCAGCGGTTCCCATGCTTACACATGAGAGGTCCACCGCTGTCACCCTGGAAAAAAAATACCTTACTTAGCCTTTTTCAAAATAGTATTTCAGAGGTTTAAAATGAATGTATCTTCAGCCCTTTTCGCACATGCACAAAACCTGAGAGTTTTCAGACTGTATCTGAATGAACACATGTGACACAACTAGCCACAACATGTTGTAGAGGTATAAACTCAGATACAGACATCATTACCTGAGCATCTCAAGCTGAAAGAGCGCATCCTCCCACTGCGCTTTGCATTTGTAAATAATAAGTTCCTGAGAATATCCTGTCCTGAAATTCCTCCAATCATCTCGAAAATGTCAAGAATGCACGTGTAACAAGCTGCTCACCTGACAGGAGTCCTTGCCTCCCCCCAGGTGCCCTGCACAGATCATGTTCCTGGACACAGCACCACCATAGACACGGGGGCTATTACACACGTCTTTGGTAATGATGCCCACGGTGACCTCCATCAGATCCTTGGAGACAGCAGCTGTATTGGGGGGGAAAAAAAGTTCAATCAAGACTAAATAAAGGCTGAACAAATCTGAAACATTTGGCTGTAGAGACTGGAAAAGGTGATGGCTAAATACTTGCAAGTCCTCTGTTTTTTACTAACGTTCATTCTGCACATGCCCACTACGTTCTGTATTCAAGTCCATACTTTTTATTCTAGGTCAGTTTAGCAACCCGCTAATAGACCAACATTAAGAGATCCAGACTTTACCACCTGGTGACTGGACACAGCTGCTTTTTAATTCGTCTCAAACTGCCCTTGCTCTCTGACGCTGTCGATCTAGTCTGTCTACATTTTTGTTTTTCTATTACAATCCTGCCCTATGACCTGGGAAAAACTGGGTGTGGTGTCTGCAACCTTAAATATAGACATGTGTTTACTTATAAATGTATCATGTAGTTCAACAAGTTGCACCATCTAATAAACAATTTGCTTTTGCTGCAGGTCATGGGAAATGACTCACTTTTGTTTATCTGTTTCAATGCTGCCTTATGACCCAGGAAAGGATTGGGTGTGATATCTGTGACCTGAAATCTGGGCATGTATTTACTCATACATGCTTCATGTAGTTCAACAAGGTGCAACCAGGAAATCAAATAAACAATTTCCTTGTACACAGACAGGCCCACACAGCGTTAGACTTAAGTGTGCTCTGAAAAGGTTCTGACTCTAAATGTTTGCATGTCACTAGGGTGAATTAAATTGTTCTTGAGGTAAAAGATTCATAACTCTTGAGTTTGTAGTAAAGTGAAGGGATATAATGGAACAAAATGCATTAAGTGCCTGAGAACAACAAGGGTTTACACCTTTAGAATAAAGGCAACTTACATCTTCCTTCATCAGTTGTGCCGAAACCAGAGGTCCAGCACTGGGTGCCATGGGGTAATGGCACGTCAAAAGCTGGCAAACATGCAGGCTGGACTTGATCTGGATGACAAAAAAAGACAAATATAACTTTGTTAAATGATGATAGAATTATATACTGTTGCAGAGGGGATGCAGACACACATTTGCGAACGCACACATATACAGGGGAGGGTAAATCAGGTTAGCAGCATGACTGTGAAGTCATCGCAGGCCTTCAAATCTCAGACTGAACAGCAAGAAACAAAGATTTCCACAGTCGTCACTGCCTTCTGTATTGATTTTGCAGTTTGATATGAGCATTTATGACTTTAATTTACAGGAAATTACAAAATATATACAATATAATTATAAAACTCTGTTGTGATTCCAGATTATGTCAATTGTGTCAGATGCACATGCATAAAAGTGTCACAGTGGTTTGGGTTATGTAAAAATGGGACTGACCGTTAAAGGAAACAGGTGCTGTGAGTTTAAGCAGAGCGATGTCATGGTTATTCGTAGTGGTGTTGTAGTTCTCATTAACGACGATCCTCTCCACCAGGTAAGGACTAGAGAGCTCGTCCAGTGACACCACTCCACCATAAAGTTGCCAGTCCGCTGGTACAACAGTGCCTCTGTAACACAGAGGACGTGGTAAGACACTGACTTCATTTTAGGTGGATGGCAACACAAAATTCTACATAGTTCGTAGTTTTAGATGGAAAATAAACAAATATTTTGTGGAGTTAAAAAGATTACAAAGTTTAATTTTTCTGTGTCAGTCACCTCGGGAAGCAGTGGGCAGCTGACAGAGCAAAGTCAGGAGCGATTAGGACGGCTCCACAGATGTGAGATCCTTTGTAGTGGAGTGACAACTGCCAAGGCCACCGACCAACCTCAGCTTGACTGCCTCCGATGATCCTGGAGGTAACCTTTGGCACTCCACAGTCTGAAAAGGAAAAGTCAATATTAAAGACTTTATGACACACAATGTCTGGACACTGGCTTTTGATCCTAAAAATGTTTTTTGTTTATTTTTATCCTTTTGACTCGGTAATTTTTTATTTGTCTTAAACAGGGAAACAAGTCTAATCCTTATGAACCCAGTCACACCCTGAGGTCCTCAGTCAAGGGTCTGCTCACTATTCCTATCTGTGTGCAAACAGCAGTAACATCTATGTAAACATTAGGGGGTGGGAATCACTAGTGGCCCCACGATACGATATCATCACCATACTTGGACTACGATTCGATATTATCACAATTTTAAACAATTTGTGATACAATGAGTATTGCGATACCATATATTGCGATTACTACAATTTTTTCAACTGCTTAGCTCATTTAGCATTTGGCTTTCCTTTATGTTTGTCATATTTACGCAGTATTTTATTTTCATGGAAACATCTTGCAAACATCATATGTCATGTCCATCTCATTTGTGCTAGTGAAAAATTTAACTTTCATCATAATGGGCACGGCAGTTCTTTTAGATGTACTGAATCACTAGAATCAATTCACTAAAAAGATTTGTTCAAAAGATTCGTTCATCGAATCACTGAATCATTCAGTGCTTGGTGGGAGGAGCCTGTGATCTGACCTCCTGAACTGATACACAGCTGAACGGTTCAGGATTCAGTTCAGATCATAGCTTCGGGGACCGAGAGACACGAGTGTGTGGCTGTGTTGCTTTGGCAAACAGGTTTGTAAAAATGAACTTGTTTATGAGTCATGATATTTTAGGTGAACCGTCCTATGGTATGCTATTTATCAGGTCAGTGAGTGATTCGTTCACCAAACTGTTAGAAGAATTCACATTGAACATGCACCATTCCCTCACAAACCGCTTTAAACCGGTTTAATGCACTACTTGTTACATGCTGTGTTCTAAATTTAAAAAGTTAGTTTTGTCCTTCAAAAATGATTCCAGAGTGTGTAGTTCAAAGATTCGTGATTTGTTCACCGAGTGATTCAGGTGTCGGTGCATGTGAACCCTTGTTCGCCAGCTGCTCGCCTGGCAATGCTGCGTGTTATAGCATCTGCCCTGCTGACGGCTCAACTGAAGTGAGAAACGAACAAATCACTTGAGGAAGTGATTTGGTTCAGTATGTTCACTTAAAAGATTTGGTCCTTTTGAACGAATTGTTTGCGAACGACAAAACACTAATTTGTGCCCTGCTTGCATTCCGGATGTCCCTCGCCAGGTGCTGTTTGTTGTACTAACTTTCGCCTGCTCTATGATTTTACCTCTGCCAACCTCACTGGACAAACAGTTGATTTTATTTTTCCATTATCATAGATTGACTTCATATTAGCAAATTAGATTCTTTGTAATTGAGATTATACAATATATCACCAGACAAAATATCACGATACTTTTTCTCATGAATGAAAATAGGCGTTTGATATACTTTATGTTGCTGTGGAGAAAACATGTGCCAGCTCTTGGTTTTTGTAAAGTCAAGATTAAAATGACCAGGTTATGGTTTTCTGAGTAACATCCCTGGATCATAAATAGCTACACCTGTCGTATGATCTGTGTTAGAAAAAGACAGCGAGGGAGAGAGAGCTTGTGTTTAACATATGACTGATGAACAGATGCAGGTTGCTTACCAATGCACTGCAGGGAGACAACCTCATTGCTTGGACAGGAGGTGCTGTGTAATTCAACAATGAGGAAAACAGGTTTGTTTACATGAATACACACGGACAAGAAATGCGCAACAAACTGTCTTTTGGATTAAACTTTCATCATAAATGTTGAAAGACTTCATGATAAAATGTACTTCGAAGGATCGAAGACGAGCTCTGAGCTGCGACTGAAACCTGATTGCTCACCTGATTTCTACCCCACTTTGGATAGGCGCGGATAATTTGTTGGTCACTGTTAGACCGATGGAGTTTGGGGCTGATGCTGCTCGGAAGGAAAAGGAGCTGGAGATGGAGAGGGAGAGGAGCGCAGGTCAGAACAATGAAAGAAATTGCACATACAGGGAGTGTTTTGGTGAAAACAAAGCCTGATTGGTTCTGAAAACTCATTCTAGTTCTGTCACACTGAGACACCCCCAGAGAGACCTGTGGAGAATCAATTCAACACTAACCACACAGCAGCAGGTGGGCAGAAATTGAGATGGATCTCAATGGGTAAATCACAAGCTGGAGATGGAAACCCACACTTTAGTAGCTGCTGTTGAAATAGAGTCTGGTAAAATAGCTCTCTAAATCACTCCTTTCTGGCAGCTCGGAATGATAACAGGGAGTGTAAATATTTTGATGTGAAATGGTTTTCAACATTCAGGTCTCCCTCTTGTGTCGCTTAACACACTTCAGATCGGGTTAACCTTGAAGCAAAGGTAAGGTGTCTTTACTTTCTGAATCCCAGCTGAGTGCAGGTATGGTCAGCGTAGCTCTGGTTCCAGCCTTTGTAGCACACAGGTAGGAAGCGCCCGTCTTGAGATGTCCTCACCTGCAGACCGCCGGCTCTATCAAACCTCACTGAGAGAGAGCGAGACGAAAGAGAGCAAACGACTTAGATGATGCCTTCTCAGGGGGGTTATGCTTACACAATGTGACAGTAATGTGGAGTCTAGTCTTGCTGTAATGGTAACAGTGAAAGCAGGAAAAATACACCAGCTACACATGGCGGTACATGAGGAATGTAGGCATGCGGCTGCGGGTCGTTTTGCTGATTCGTTACTTAACAGCACATTGCATAATCAAGAAGAAATGTAAAAAAGCTGAAGCACTCAAAGTCCTGCAGGTTGTACTTCAGGGTTGTAAAGTATTTCACTGACAGATAAAAATGGGGAGCATTAGGGTGTATTCTTATGTCAAAGCTTCACACATGCCTGCTATAGGATATTTTTTTACATTTATTAGGTTTCTGTCAAGAAAATGAACACAAGCATGTTTCTTTCATTTTGAGGGCATCCTTTAGGCAGGGCCTGCCTCTCCTGTTTCGCCATCTGTCGCCTAATTTTTCCCGTTTTGGTGGTGTTTGTTTGAGTGTGTGTGTGTGGGTGTGGGTGTGTATGTGTTTACCCACCACAGTTTGCTTCATCCGAGCCAAATTTGCAGTGTTTTATCCCATCACACTCCACTGTATTATTCGGGCAGGAGTCGATCCTTGACGAAGTTTGCTCCTGATAAGAGTCGTCATCGTCGTGGTTGTGAAAGATGGCCACTGTTGCCAAACGGGTGCCATAACGAACTGGGGTGGAGTGGGCAGAAATGAGTAAGGATGAGCAGAGAAGAAACATTATTGTTAAAGCTGATGTCAGCCAAAGAAGAAGCACTCCTATTCTCAATTTAATGTTATAACGTTTTTACTCCGGTATTTAAATATGCTTAAACAGAATCTAAAATAAGTAAAAAAAAATAACAAAAACTTCTTCAAAAAACATCCTTTGAATCACACTGTTGAATTTTATCAGGATGACATGTTAAATGGGTAATTATTTGTGACAGGTAATGATTTAACCGTTTTTCACAGCCGATATATGTAACGGATTAAACTTGATAACAAAATAGAAAAAATAATCTTAATAGTGAATTAATTAATTAGGGGTGGAAAAATCTATTAAACCATTCATTTTTGGTTGAACAATGATCCAATCAAACTGATGGGAAGTCTATCAGACCACATTGTCATCTTTCGGATGTGCTTTATTTTGAAATTCCCACAACTTGCCTGTTTCAATTACTGTACATGCATATCATACCAAGACAGATAGAAGGGTTTCATGTTAAAAGGCATTTGAAACCTTACTTTAACTTTTACATCTTCAAGAGAAATACAACTGATTGTGTCAAATGGGGATATAAAATTCTGTGAAATTAGTCGTGGGCCCTCAAAATAGAGGGACTTAGACATAATATATCATAATATGATTAAAAAAAAAGGTAATGTACATCCCTATAATCAGCTTAAATTGTTAATATTTTGTAAAAACTGACATTATGGAGTGAATAACTTTGTCAAACACAGCTTTAACTGGTTAATAAATACAAGTAACCGTCATTTAAACTCCAGAGGCTTAAATAAACAACAGTTTTAAATCCATAAGGCAGTAAGTGAAGCTAAATGACCAGTGATCAGTGAGTCAACACAGTTTACCTCCAAGCCAGATGGCCAATGCCAGCAGGCCGAGCACCAGTAAGATTCCCCCTGACCCTCCGTAACACTGGGCATTATTGTTGCAGCACCTCCTCCTTTTTTTGCTGGGGGCTGGGAGTTGAAAGCACACAATCATACACACAAACACACATTAGTATTCTATGACAGTTCTCTTTGGTTGACTCAATACAGGAAAATGAGGGACCTGCAAAAACACTCACGTATGCTCTGCACAATGACTTGAGGAGCAACTACCGGCGTTGGATACCGAGGGATGTAGCGTGGATGGTTGAGGGGTGTCACGCCTGGACCCACACCGTAGACCACCTCCTCATAGGATTTGATGGGAGGAAGGGTGTGCATGGAGGTGGGGTAGTAGGGAGGAGGGGGATCGTTCTGAGAGAAAGAAATGGACAAAAACAGAAAATTAGGAATCAATCATGACAAGGATAAAGACACAGGGCCGTATTTTGTGGGTAAAATTACAGTAGTAGAGACAGGAATAAATCAGGAAGCTGATTTCTTGCATGTTCGTGACCTTTCCAGGCAGCGGTGATTAAAACATCAGGTATTTACAGCTCATTTCCTCATGTTTCGATTCATGCTTTCCTTTTGACTCTTGTTGATTCATGAGTCTCTGTTGTTAAATCAAGTATGAGGAACTTAAGATTTAATCGGTCACTCAATTTCTCAGGACAGGGTTTAAGTTTAGAAGAAGAAAATCAAAATCAAAGCTGGCTGTTTTTTTTATGTCCACTTTGTAATGTTACACTAATCTGCTGCTGAGGCGGTATATTTAATAAAGGTAGAGCGCTTTTCTCTTGTTTAGCTCTAAACATCATCAAATTAGCTTCAATCTCAGTTTACTAAGATAGTTCTTTAATGTTCTATTTAATTAAAGTTAACAAGTAACATTAATGTAGAGTTGCACCATGTACTCTCAATTGTTGTATGTTAGAGACAAAGCCAGAATGTGACCTAACTCGTTCGAGCACAGTCTGGCATGATCACTTGTTCCCATCATCACTGGGGCATTTACAGAAATTAACGTGAGGAACCAAGCTAGGACGAGTTGCTCATGTTTCTTTTGTGATGGTCACGTGTACAGAGAAATAGAACAAGGTTACATACTAATTACTGTTAATTACTCCAGGTGGACAAAACCTGGTAAATACAAAACAGTCATGAGTCAATAAAATTAATGTTAATCCAGTCAGAAATACTGGTCATATCTATGCATCTAACTCTGGATATGAAACAGCCTTAATTTAGTTTTTAACATCCATTCATGATCTCCATGGCAGCGTCCTCGTTCATTTGGTTTAAAATAGAAGGAGATGATTAGACAATGTTGAAGTGGGGAGGGTACATTTGGACTTAGACAAAAGGTGTTTTATAAGACCTTTTCTACTGCACATGGATCAACTTTCAAAACATGCCTGAAGGCAAAATGCAGCAAACTTAATTGAAGCAAAAATAGGGGGAGGAACAGGCTCATTGTGTTTCCGAGCGTTGGACACTTGGATCACCTTGCATTTGTTTGCCTGTGGGCAATTATCGTGGAAAATTACTAAAAGACATTGAAAGATTAGGAGTTCACATCAGCCTTCAAAAGGTCAGTTTTTCACACAAACAATAACTGAAATCACACAGAGGAAGCCAACAGGAAATGGCAAACGTAAGTGTCTGTTTGAGTTTGGTTGCTCAGTTTCTCAGGCCTGAAACCTTAGAATAGTCGATAACTCTTTTCTGATTAGAGTCTGCATCCTGAGTCTGAAGTAATCCTCATTTAGGCAAACAGAATACAAAGACAGTCAACTTAAATGTTCATCTGGTGTACTTTGAAGAAATGCAATACAATATATATGTATAACTTGCTTGTCAACAGTTGATTTGAGATCATTTATCCAACACAAAGGCATTATTTTGAATCTGGATTAATAGCCCACCGAAAATACCATATATCTCAAACTTTGGATTGATTAAAAAAACAAAACTAGAATTAAGTGTTTCTTTATTTTTACAAAAATGATCCCATGTTGTAGCCAGATTAAAATATTGTAAAAAATAGCAACGCCCTTCAAAAAAGATAAAAACAGCTGCTCAAAACATGGCTCGAATGTTTTGTGAAAACAAATCCGTCTTTTCCTGCTGTCTGTCAGCTAAATTGGAGAACAAACCCCCGTGATCTCTGCAATGATAAGCACTTTCTATGTTGAAGAGGGCCAAACAGCTTTAAAAGCAAACCAGCTGAGTGAAACTCAAACAGGGAAGCAGATAAACAACAAAGACCACCATTCAGAGCCCAGGGGGGACAAGTGAGCACTGACTGACTGTAGAGAAAGTTTCACTATCTGAAGTTAGAGGAGAGAGCAGAAATAGGAGGATTTGGTTTTATAGGAAAAAGAGGAACAAAAGAAACTTACCTCGTCCTTCTTAGACATTGGACTTCAAGTGGTGATTCGAGGTTAGAGCAGGTGAATGAGTTTTCTGGAGTTTTCTCACGTCCAGCTTTTTCATGCAGTTACAGAGCAGCAGTCAGGACATGCTGGTAAACAATCGCTCCTCTCTCTTTCCTTCTCTGTTCCTTTCTACCTCACTGTTTGTCCCTAACCTTCATCTAAACAGTCACAGGTAGGTCCGACTTCCCCCCTCCTTGGGTAACACCTCCCACCTCCAGCCTCCATCATTCTCTCAATCCTTTATTCTTCTTCTCACAGAGACAGGCGCGCCCAGTGCACTACTTTCCCACCTGCTGGACAGGTTTGGTGGCAGTCAGAGCTTGTTTCTAAGCAAAAGGCTCCATTAAGGTTCACATGACACCTGCCGAGCTAGTGGGGCTATGAATCAATCATATAACCCCTCTTTTCAAAAGTGAAAGGTTATTCAAGCAGTCATTTTCGAGTTTCACTTTTTTAATTTCAAAAGTTCATCACTGGTTTCAGGTTCATTATTAATAAGTTAATGGCTGAGCTTCTGAAGGCATAATCTATTCAGCTGTTTTAGGCATGCAAACAAAAGTCCAGGTATGAGTTTACTGGTACGACCAAGTGATTAATTTCCGCTTTTTATTTGTATTGCAAGACCTTCCAGGAAATCAGATCTCTACCTCCTCTTGGCCAAAGTAAAGCATGCATTTGAAAACAAAACACCAAGTTGCTTTCTTTGTTATCATAATATTAGTTAATGTGTCATGAGCTGCAAATTCACAAAACAATAAGCTTGTAGACAGTACGATGAAAAACAGGTGAAAATAAAGACCTCATTCCAGGAAGGCTACTTATTATTAAGCACTCACATGTGGTTACTATTTTTAAACCATTTCTCACTTTGGGTGTTGCTGCTTTGTTGTTTACATTCACATACTTCAGGAAATGACCCTTTAATTTTGCTCATCTCACTTTCCTTTTTTTAAAAAAGTTTCCTCAATCTGCTGTTGCTTTCTACTCAAACACCCTCTGTATGATAGCTCCCCAAGTGGTATTCATTAGGGTCAAGAGATCCAACACGGATGATCCTATTCTGCAGCCTCCTTGAAGTTCCACTCCGATCGTTTTTTTTTTTACTACTTAAAATGTTCTCAGTGGTCTTTAAATTGTGATTATGAAGTTTTTACCAAAAATCACATTACCTGTGTCATTTTCAAGGCCTTCTCTTCTGCAGAGCTCCAGTAGCTCATTAGCAATTTGTCACTGGGTCGTGGGCGGAGACAGCGCTGCTCTGCACACTCCTCTTCAAGCTAGCTTGCAGCCTAACATTGCTGGTGTCGTAGCAGAAGCAGGTAAAATAGAAGCTATTCAGCTCTTGGACACTTATGTCTTTAGGGACATGTTGAAAGCTAATATCATGATTAGCTTTCTTACGAGCATTGCAATCCGTGAACGCACATGCTTGCTCCGCAATCGTCCTCTGTATTTCTTCTCTATATGCAGAGTCTGGCCTGCATAGCGGGGCTCTGGGGGCAGAGCTTGGAGTGGTTACGTATGAAATCTTACTGTTTCTGAACCTGCTGTTTTGGTCTGCCAGAGATTCACAGCAATTTGAATAAAGAAATACTCAGAAAAGCAATTTTGCACTCAGGCCCCAACTACACGAATGCGGATATATTTCAAACCGCACATATTTATGTCCGATTAGGCCTCCCTACCATACCAAAACGGGAGTTTGGAGCACTCAAACCGGATAAATCTGAATCCGGAAAAACAAGTGGAGAAATAAAAAAATATCTGTATCCCGTATCCGTAGTGGATTCGTGTGGTTGGACTTTTACGGATCGATGACGTCAAACCGCAGCTCGCGCATGCGAATTAAAAAGAAAAACAACAACAACAACGAGTGCGGACATACAGGGTATTCTTTACATTTGTTTTGCCCTTTTGGGGCTAATTTCAGCCTTGCAAGTGAACCTTGTTTTATACAATTACATCCACCAGTCAGCCAGCTCACAGAGGCGTCTGCTGCAGCCAATGCTTTTATCGGTCACATGGTCCATCACATGGACCCGACGCACCAGCGTAGCTTCCGCAAACAATGCATGAGGCATCACGCTGTTACGATTCATCGGCTAATCAGGTAGCTTTGTTCCTGAATTTTTTTTAAGCGGCACCAGATAGGATTGAGTTTGAAGGCTATGTGTGGACGCAGATATTTTTGAGAACTAACACGTGTGGACAGATACATTTATTTAGACGGGAGTACAAAAATATCCTGATAAATAAATATCCATATACGTGTAGTTCGGGCCTTAGTTTTCTCATGATATGTCCTGTAGCATCAGAAAATCAAAACAAGAAAAACTTGATTTTAATCAGAGTGGGTCTTTAACTAAAATAAATCTGGAGCTAGAATGATTTATGAGCTGCTTTTCTAGTCTGCGTCATCCATAAAAAGCATATTGAACAACAAGTAGAGTAAATTTAGGGCAACATATGGCCCCTCAGGTCCCAGCAGCATACCACATAACCACAGTGTCCTATAGCTGTTGAGGACCTCTTGTGGCATACCGCTTCCTCTTCACATGCTTTGTTTCCCCAGCGCCATACAACTTAATAAAAAAAGCAGAACATTTCAAAACTTTTAGTCTGACAGTGTAGGATTAAAGGTCAAAGTTGCACAGCTTTTGGTGTGAAGACAAACTGCGTACAATTACCTGGAACCCATCAAAATTTATCAACACTGTTTGTAAGAAGCAGCCCGACATATTCACAGAAAAACAGAAAATAAAAATCCCCCTTTTTAAAAAAAAAACAGATGATTCATATTTACTCAGCAAGTTCTCATCCACCTTTAAGACTGAAATCAAAGAGGTATCAGTGATACAGACGTTCAGAGTTTCACCAGGAACTAAAACTCCTACAGCCACACATGAGGGGGAAGGTGAGAAACTGATCGAGAAACAGAGGTCACAAGCTTGAGTTAAATTCAGAGAAGAGTGCTTACAAGAAACCAGAGTACATTTTCATCGTTTAAGTGCTGGGCCTTTTTTTTAGAGTTGAAACAAAGAATAACTTTTAATGAGCTGAACTTCCTAATCCTTTACTGTTAGACTGTTTATATTGATATCTAAAGCTGTGCTATTTACAGACCAGCAGCCTATTGAAACGGTTTCAACAGCTAACATCTGGTTAGCGCACAAACAGAAACAGGTTCCCTTTTACATAAATGTCCTGTAATAGGGACTTAAGAACAGCTTAAGTAAAAGCCGGTGAATGATGAGCTGTAGTTTGAGAAAAGTTTATTAAAAGACCATCCAATTAACTCTCTTACTCTACAGCAAGATCCAGGCAAGAAATAAACACCAGCAGTGTATGGAAAATTTGGCACATGCTAGAAGATTTGCACAGGATGTTTACTACATGTAAAGGAAAAATGCCTCACTAAGACGTACTAATTCAACTTTTTGTTTTCAAACTGGAATATTCTGACTGATACATCAACTCCCTCGAATTACCATGAAAAAGCAAATGTCTTCTGTCTTACACTATCGTCAAAAAATCACACCACAACTTTTCTTTATCTTTCAAGAGTGCGTAAGTGTTGAAGTGGTGTGTTTGTGACTTAGACGAGGAAGGCTGATAAAGATTCACGGTTACTGTGGCTTTTAAAAGGCCACAGATGGAGACGGATAATCCACCCCGCTGGTGTTTTGAAAAGTTCATGACTCTGATAATGACATTTTTCTGTTAGACGTGTTAATACACTGTATTACAAAAAAAAAACTAACTTCAAGACTAGTGAAAGTTTAAAAAGATAATTAAATTATTTGATTCACTCAAAGATCTTGTGAGAATTTAGAAAAAGCTTAAACAAATAGTAATCCCTCTAAATGACTTTAAAAATGAGCAAAGAGATTCATTATTTCTATCTCATTAGTGCCTATAAACGCTGCCGCCTGGTATGTGACACATGATATAATTAACTCCTTTCTACCTCACAGCCAAACACAGTCAGAGATGACTATTTAAAGACGTGACCTACTCATGTACAAAACAAAATCAGTAAAGAGGGTTGCCCACAAGAGGGAGATGAATATTGACACAGTCAAGTTTCTCACAGGAGCTTTGACATGATAAATAAACAGGTCATTCATATTCTTTTACTTATTTGTAATTCTTTGCAAACTTAAATTATGAGCATTAATATGTACTTTATTCTGCTATGATCTTTGCAAGAACCATTTACAAGTCAGACAACCAAATCCAAGGCTTTTAGACCATCACAGCAGGAGATGTAGAGGACGTAGCACGAACACAAACTTCTGAATTCCCTCCCAGCACTAAAATTAACACATGGGGAGATCCCAGAAGCCTTCTGCTTTTCTGTTTTCACAGTAAATAACAAATGTACTGGGAGTGTGGAAAGGGGAAAAGAAAACATGAAAGAGGAAGGGAAAGTTTTGAAGCACGAGAGGACTAAATCTACCAGCGCGTCACTCAGTCGCAACAGGAAGCGCGTCATGTGAGGGAGGGAGAGCAGCTAAGCAATAGAGGAGAGTTAGGTGAATGAAGTGATAAGGGAAAAAACCAAGCTGCCGCTTCTCATTTCTCCCTCAACAGATGTAGAGTCAACACGAGTGGGATAACAGCTGCATAACACTCATGAACATTTGTGCGTGCTTACTAGTTTGAAAAGGAGGGAAGATGTTTTTTAAATCTTTTTTTGTCTCACTGATGGAATAAGGTGCTTTTTGGATTTACATCCAGATTCCAGCAATGGATACAAGCAAGAAGACATTGTTTTTTACCCTTCTGATGATCTATATAAGCTATGTGTCAGGTAAATATAACTTTTATTACCCTTTGTAAACTGTGATTGTGTAAGTGTATCCTGTTTTGACTTTAAATCAATAGGAAGAGGGGTCTATGTCTATCATTCAGGGAATATATAAGAACCAACTTCTGAGAAAACCAAACTCAATGTTCTTAAAAAATTCTGAGAACAAAATGATGCAACATGAAAAATTTTTTTAAACCACTTACAGTTTCCACCATGGAGGCATAAGTGGAAAAAAAGAACTTACTCAAATTTAATCTGTTTCATCTGTCCAGATACTCAAGTGGAAAAAAGGTGAATCCATGTGTCTAAGAAGAAGAAAAAAAAACGTCATAGATCCCATAATAGATTATTCTCTCCAATAATAAACTTCCTTTTTCTGACTCAACCATGTTTGTCATAGTATCTGAGGGAAAAAATCCCAACTGCAAATGCTTCATCAGACATCAACTGTGTGAAACTGTGATGATCTTGTAACTTAGAGTGAATGTGAATCATAACTTCTGTGTCTTTCTTTGAAGCAGGACAGGACATCCCGAGGCCTGAAAAGCTAATGGTGGATATTACGGATGGGGAGGTGATAGCACTGTGGACTGATCCTGTCGAAAGGCCCTCAGACACTAAATACAACGTACAAATAGCCAAGTATGTTTCACTTCTAAATATCAACTCTGACAATGCAGTCCTGTCTAAACACTTCCCTTTATTTGGCAGTTTCCCAACACTCTCTATTCCCTTTATTTTAGCTTTTCAGTTTTGCTTACAGAGCAACTATTTCCCCCTTCCACTAAATTCATGTCATTAACTAGAACCTGACTTTTACTGACATGCTTGATTTACTTACATTTTTGTCATCCAACTATTTGTCCTCAGGTATACAGGCCAGTGGGAGATGGTGGAAAACTGCACAGGGATCAGAAGAAACCACTGCCACCTCACCAGCCTTATACAAGACTACAGCGCCGCCTATAAGGTCCGAGTCCAGCTGGTCACAGGAAATGGTGTGTCCAAGTGGACAATGAAGAGCAAATTTCTCCCAAACGATAGTAAGTCTGATTGTTTTTTGTTAAATCAATGTAGTGTGCTCCAAATGTTTGCCTTTGGCTGGTCTGGTACGGATTAAGGCTCACCACAGCATTTTTTCTTATCTTACTTCCTTTCTACAGGTGGGTTGAGTCCTCCCTCCTTCACTCTGTGGGCTACTTCCAGCACTATAAAAGTTAGTGTTCACCAGAAACCCATTCTGAAAAAATTATTCCCTTATGGCGTCCGCTACACCATCTACTTGGAGGATACAGCAGAAAACAAGGTGGGTATCAGAGTAAGGGTTCAACAACCTACACAGCTACAATCACTCAGGTTCAGTTACATCTGCTGTTCTCCAACTTCTACACATAACCTGTCTTTGCAATACGCTATGACTGAATCAAGGATGCATCTAAAAAATTATCGATTAATCTTATCCAATAGACAACAACATTATACCTGAGAGATGACGTGGATGTGGAAGAGCGGAGTCAAACGTTCACTTCTCTCCACTGGGGGAGGGAATACTGTGTCAGCATCAAGGTGGAGGGAAGCGGGGCTCTCTCCTCCAGCTTGGTGTCCCGCAGACAGTGTTTGCTGCTACCAGAACAAGGTAAGACCAAAAAATTTAACAGTGATGCACACACAAGAAACAGTAGTGGGAAGGTTTATAATCCTGAGTCAGTGGCTGCAGGAAAAATACAGAACGTTATATCGCAACTCCTAAATTCATGTAATTTGCTCGCTAGTTTTAAAAACGATGTCCGTCAGCTCAATGTAGGACTTCAGCCACCAGCTTGATCTTCTTACCTTACTCATTCTTACTCTGTTGTCTCAGAAATCAGGGTTGCATACACTTTGATTGAGGATGGATTATTTGGCTTTTCCTCTAAAGCTATGGTGGTTACATTGCTCACGTTTTTCTGCCTTGTTTTTCCCTCCAGAATGGTTCATAATGGCTGTGTCATCCCTCTCCGTCATGGGCATCCTGGTTGTTTTTGCCATCATGGCTGCCATACTCCACTGTTACCTCAGGCGTTCAGAGAAAACACCTGATGCACTGGTAAGTTTGCACTGTTGCTTTGTTGTTGTTATTCAGATGGTACCTTTAGTCAAAACTTACCCTGTTCCTGATTGAGACACCACAGAACAATGAAAATTACTTCAACCTGATATTTTTTTGTCTCACTGTAGAAATCCCCAGTCAGTGGGTGGCTTCCACTCAACGTTGGAGAGGGAACGATGGAGGTTGTTACAGACAAAGGCTGGTTCCTGTCTAGTTACAGAAGTGAAATAAAAAACAGTGTGACCGAGACACATGTGACCGCGACAGAGGACAGCGGAGAGGAAGAGAGAAGGACGAGCATGGACAGTGGGCTCAGCATCGAGTCCAACTCTGCCACAAACAGCGAGGAAAGCCCTCCACTGAGACAAGATGACAGTGGCTGTGGGAGCTTGGTAGGATCAGAGAGCTCCAGCAGTGGTCAGTCAGATTACCCACTGAAAGAGGAAAAGACTCAGACAGATACTGTCAGGAGACGGGAGGACAGTGGGGTCAGTCTGGGCTGCCAGCTCGACTCTTTATCCTTGAACCTGGATGGACAGGACAGTGGTTCTCAAAAGGAGGTGGTATCTGGAGGTGGTTATTGTAGCCAGAGCCACTCAAATGTTCAGATTCAAGTCTGTGAAGAAAAGGAGGAATTCAAACAGACAGTTCCTGACTTGGCTGAAGTGGTCACAGGCTACAGAGCCACACCCCAATCCTGTATCTGCTCAGGGGCCGGTCATTGCACTTGGTGCCATCAACAAGGCCTTTATGGACCTGAAGCGATTCAACAATACAGAGCTATGTGTATTGAAAATGGACTTCTAAACAGCAAATGTGATTTTGCAGACTCTTACAAAAAAGGAATGACGTTTTCAAGTTATTCCAAAGAAACACAAATGGACACACTCATGATAGATGACTTAGAACCAACTTTTATACAACTGGGAGAGACTTTCCCTCTGCTGACAGCACTGACACCACCACCAACCTTTGTGGAGGGAGAACAGGACTTCAACATGAACAATGTGTCGCTCTCTCTCTGTGATGTACAGCTGATTACTGACTAATGCACTGTGGAGTAAAACCATGCCTTTTGTAAATGTTTGAGTGAAATACTTGAGCAATACACATCTCTTTTTCCTCATGTGACACACTGTGTTAAATGTAAAACAAGAGTGTTATTGGGGAGTCAAATCTGGAGGAAAAGGAGTCAACTGTGAGCAGGCAACACACGGTTGCAGAGGAAGGAAAGGGGTTAGACGATGTGGCTGCTGAACCGCAGATGTTGACTGAAGAGATGATGAATATGAGACTGGGGATCTTGTTCAGATGTGCCTCACTGGGCGTATTTACATCAGGCTGAAGTATAGCATGCCGGAAGTGAAAGTACCCTGGGGAGAAAGGCTGAGAAATAGTTTGACATTTCGGACTTTTTGTGACACTTCCTACTCTTTACCGGCGGCGATATCCCCCGTGACAGGAATCACTACGTTTCTGAATTATGCTAAGAGAAATTTTTGCCGAGGTGAAATTCTGTTTAGTACTTTTTAACGTAGATTAATTCAGTTGTCAGTTGCTGACTGATTGATCATTTCAGAAGCTTAGCGGTGTCATAATAAAGCTAATAAAGCATGATCTTAAGAGGTTTTTTTTAAATGCTCTCTTACACACTCATGTATCTGACACCAGCCCTGTCTTTGAGTTACATGCCTGTACAGCTTATTTATTACATATAAAGTGAGAAAAAAAACTATTTATAAAGCAAAGCTATACATTTCTGTGACTTTTTGTGCATGTGATTAAAAGAAACTGTGTCAATGGAATGCCCTGTAAATGTCCTATATTTACAAAAAGAGAAAAAAAAACATCTGACATGATATAGAAACCATGACTCAAGGAAACGAATAAAGCAGGAGGAAAATCCTGAGAAAATAGGGTGACACGCACACACTGGAAAATAAACATTCAGGGTCACTTAGCTGTGCTCGGGATCCCCATATGCAAATTCTGTACAGGAAACAAGAGCGGTGGTTTCGAAGCCTCTTAACTAAGGCATAAACACTTCCTCTTTTGCGTCCTCACTTTGTTAAAAAAAAAAAAAGTCCCGCTTCACATCTAGAGCACAGAGACCGTACTGTGAACGAGGCCAAATTTTCAGAAACTTAAATGTAAATTAAGTGAACACTTAGTCGCTTAGTGTTTGAAAACCCCGCTGAGGGGATGTGACTCTCTTCACAGAATGCAGCTCAAAATATAGAAGTGGGTGAATATAAGGCTGATTCTAACGGTCTCAGTGTTCACTGGCTTTAAACACATCAAGACCTTAAGTTTCGTTTCGACCACAAAAACTAGGGTCTAAGTTTAGTTCTGGGGCAGAAGATTTAACCCTTGCTCAGGATTTCCACAGAGACTAGCGGATCAGAGAGAGTAGAAGAGCAAGTATTTGAAGTAACCTGATGTTATTTAATAGCCAGTTCAGTTTACCTGCTGCTAATGTAGTTTGTGACACATAAAGAGTTGTGCTTTCCAAAGACCATCTCTGGAGGTCATTGGCCTGGTTTGTATTATTTACCCGGTGGAAATGAAGACAGCAACTGGCCACAGAACCATTTAGTTTCTTAAAGAGAAGTCCCTGGGTCTAAAAGTTCTGGGTACTTTTGGTTGAAAACTACTAATAGCTCATCTTGTTTTACACTTCATGAAGATTTTCCCCTTACTGATCCCCTTGCTAATGATCTTCACACCAAGTCCGCCATATCAAAACATGTGATCTTATCTGTGCTTGCAGATAGTTTTTACAGCTCAGGAGTTTTCTGACATTTATGAAATCAACAGAAATTTCAATTGATGCCTTTTTGTTACATACAAAAGCAAGTGAAACCATTAGTAATACGACTAATTATTTTTACATAAACAGCCTTTCTTTATATCTGCCGTATCAAATATCCGCAATAAATGGAATACTTGACCATCAAAGGTCAGTGGGTTGAGTTTCTCACAGAGGCTTTAAATATCGTCATCTAAAAATCACCAGTCGTTCAGTGTTTTTGGTATATTGATATATATATATTCACAATTAAATCATTTATTTAGAGAATTAATTCCCAGTTTGGTTAGCAGTTTCTCAAGCAGATGGAGGTTATAGCTACTTCAGTGAGAGTGTCTCTGAGGCAATAAAAGGAAATAAACTTTTTTATCTAATCATCAAAAGGTCACTTTGAGTGATTTTTTTTTTTTCAAATAACAAAATTGTACCATGTGATCTTTCAATAACTGCATTTGGATTAAAAACTGCTGCATGGCTGTTCTCTGCCTCAGTAAGTAAAGAGTAGGTGTACAGACAAAGTTTCATCTTCCCCTTCACAGGTGGTTTCACAGATAGCTTTGAGTGTGGTATTCGATGTGTGCATTCTGAAAAGTGATACTTACAGGGGTCGCAAATTTAACGGAAAAGGCGAAGGGCAGGGTTCAGTCTGTGTCACCCTGTTACAATAGAGCAACTGTGACAGTTTACTTCAGCTAAGGATGACTGGGTTTTTGTCTCTGGGAAAATTTCAGTCTTCGTTTTTTATTGTTGATGATACCACACCATGATCACATAGAGCGTTTCATTGACACTACACTTCATTGCCTTTTCAAATCTGTGGCACTTGTCTATAATTCATGCATACTCAATGATCTGTGACAGTCAGTTGCTCAGCATGAGTTCATGCAGACTGAGCACAGATATATTTTTGGAAAAGCAAATTAGCACGACTGCAGACACTTTACCGAATATTAAATAATCACTCTGAACATGGTATCAGACCTTCACCAGAGAGCTACAAATCTGACTGCTCCACAGCTCCACCTGCATTTGGAGTTTGAGACTCAGATTTCAGTGTTTTCACCACTGTAGAAGAAGTTTTGACAAGCATAACAACGTAAAACACAAATAGTAACATTCAAATGTAAAGTATTGGATTACCTGGCCCCAGTCAAAAGGTAACCCTAACCCTGCTGAGGCAAACTGATCATTTCATATAAAATCAATCTGTGGGAAAAAGCCTGTCACGTTTCACCTCTGCCTGTTGATACCGCGCACTTCCCGTAAGTACACTAAACTGGTAAACATTGTGGAAAAAGCACAAGTTTCCATTTTTAGCTGGTCTTGAGAGTTGGGAAATAATGAGGGCAGAAATGTGAGAACCTTCTGAGGTGTTACTGGGCCCCATTGTGGGTGAAAAATGGGGCATGATCCTGTCTTGTAATCCAGGCAAGAGCACAAGAGCGTTTTGGTGAGTTTATCTCTTAAATGCTGATCACTACAAAGCATGGATAGAATTGATAAGAGCAACAGTGTTAACAGTTATAAGGGTGACCGGGACCCTGACATTAATTCATTAATTCAGGGTTTTCTCTCATCTTGAGAGCACTTGTACTGACAAACTGCCTGGCTTGAACTTGCCTTTTTCTGATCAAGTACCTGTAACAACAACTATAATCTTAGTGGCATTTGAAGAGTGAGTTTGTTTGATAGCAATAATAAAAGTAAAGAGGTGTTTTTTTTGTTTGTTTTTTCATGTAAGCCCTATGAGTGTAACATCTTATCACCATTTACTGTAACAAACGTCAACACAGACAAGATGCCATCCAAAATTCTTTAGCATTTAGAAAACATGACTGTAACCTTTGATTGTTTTTGTCTCAAACACATCTACGATAAGCTCATGTTTTTGATTGGCCTTGTTCAACCTTATTGTAAGCAGACTGTATCAGAAAAACATATCTATCCAGGGAGGTGTTTTTCGTTTCATGAAAAGAAAAAAAACTATGAGACATAACCAAACAGAACCAAAAAGGTAGCTGAGATATGAGTTTGGAAGGAAGTCGTGTGCAGCTTACAAGAAAACTGATCTGTCTGGTTTCTGTGGTTATGGTGTTGATATTCTGCTTACACGTTTCATCTCCTGCACAATATGAGCATTTCTTTCTCTGTGGCGTGCAAACTCAAATTTCTACCATCAAGAGCCAAAACATTTCAACGTGATCGTCACAAAAAGAAAAACAGACAAAGTTTGATGCAAGATAAATATATATTTCATAGTTAGAATCTTCATGAATATTGATTACACAATAATATTAAATACACAAAAGGACTATTTTGGCTCTGTTGATTGACATCCCTCAAAGTAAAGTGAAAACAGGGTGAATTCCCCGCTCAGTGTTGGGGTTCAAGCTTCATCATGACCTATAGCGGCTGAAATACAAACAGGAACAGATACAATACAAACTAAAAATAAGATCTGGTGTGTGGGAAAGTGACAGACAAAGGGAGTGTTTTTCTATGAGCCGGTGTGCCGTCTGTCATTTTACCGAGCTGCTGATGGAGAAAGGAGGAGGGGATTTCTTCATACCGACTTTACTGTGGATAGAGTATGAAACGACCATGAGGAATTCATACACAGAGAAACAAAGCTTTGTATGTGAAAGGCTGTGATGGGATTTCCACTTACGTGAGCACTTTGTCTTTCAATGACGGCTCTGCAGAGGGACAAGAAGAAATATTTTGTCAATAATATAAAAGGTTCATTATATTATCTTAAAAGGGTGGCTGGTAACCACCTTAGCAACACATTTTACAAACTGCTTCACCTAAAACACAGACATGCATTCAGATGATTTGGATTGATTCTAGCAAGGTTGGAGATGTTTGTCTCCTGGGAGGAAAGTGAATAAAAATACAATTTTAACAAATTCAATACCTGCAACTCTCATGGCCAAGGGCAACTTATCACACACAGTTTCTTACTTGACAAACTCGCTCTTTCTGAATTCAGAGTGTGAATGTGTGAGGCGCCGGTTGGCCCAGAGGTTTATGTGCACTCCCCTTACAAAGAAGACATAGTTCATCACAATGGGACCAACAGATAAGACTCCAGGCCATGAGACTACGCTGCATGTCACCGCTCACTCTTCACTCCCCACACCCTCTGTCTAATGAGGCCAAAATGCCCAAAAATATACTTTTATTTAGGAGGCAATACACACAAATATGTGAGACCTTGGCAGAGAAAACAAAACTAAAATGCCTCATACAATCAAAATGATGTTTTCTGGTCAACTGATGCATCAGAGCGCCACTCACTTTTCTTCTTGCAGCACTTTTTGCAGCTTTTGCACTTGTACTTGCAGCAGAACTGGACGATAGCAATGGTGAAGAGGATCGCCAGGATCCCAAAGCCAACAGCGATGCCGACCGCTGCTGAGTTTACCCTGCTCCCTGCAAAAATATATAAAAATAGATTATGACCACAACTTCACAATTCTAAACAAATCATCAAACAAGCATTTTAAGTACAAAAGTACCTGATTGAAGGACAGGCCTCATCGTTAAATTCTAAGGGTATGTTTACCTGAGGGACATGACTTACTAACTGAAACGGTCATCTGTCTGGCTGCCTGTGCCTAATTGGATCAATATGTGCTCTATCTGGTTATTATGAATGAATATTCACTCTGATGAAATGAGATCAGGAAATCAATCTCTTGGAGAGACGCTGCTGGTGCTTTCATTAACAGTCTTCACAGAGATACTGCAATGACAAATGTGAGTTTCCAGGGATGAAAACACAGTCGATGCATGACGCAGAGCTGAAATTTATATCAGATTGTCCTTTCATTTTCTGCGTTATCTTAATAAGAATCAGCAGCAGACAGAAAACCCCCCTTCACTCACTTCCAGAATAAAACATGCATTTAAAGATTCTCGGTATACTGAATTCTACATTATCACGTAGCAAACGAGAAGAGATATTTATAGAAATCAGACATGTGAGTATGACTGGCAGAACAGATTAAAACTTACAGTCTCTTATTCAAAGTCACAAGGAACAGATAGGTTAAAAAATTAAAAATGACTCTGAAGAGCCATTTCCTACTTAGTGTCTGTCAGTGTTACAGTGAATACAGTTAAACAATCTCAGCTGATAGACTCTTACCACCATTCCCCATAGTTGACCAGCCAGGACGACTCGTGCTTTCTCCTATTGGTCTTCTTGTCTCCTCTTAATGTCTAGTTCTGGCTCTTTCTTGGTCGATTTTGAATCAATCTTCAAAATTATTTGTCTGTCTTGACGGTGGAGTTCAAAATAGAGTCCTAACACGTCTTCTTCTTTGCTTACGTCTGCCGGTCCATATCCCCATACCAGGCATTCTTCTGAACCAGTCAGTCTTCTTTCTCAATCCTCCACCCTTCCTTTACTACAGCTAATTTAGGCACAATGTGGATCTGGCGACCTATCGTTCTCACATGGGCATTATGGTGCTTGATTATAACACAAAACCTCACTAGAGGAGTAATTTGAGACCATATGTAGAAACTTTTCACAAAACATTTGCACTTTAGTGTGTCTGTTTCTTTGAGATTCGGCAAGAAACTCAAACATAAGCAGAAACTCAGCACTCAGGTCTTATCAGGCCCCAGGACACACTTCTTGAAACTAGAGCAGTCATTAGGGGCTTTTCTTTTGCTCCGCAGGCTAATTTTGCTCCAAAAGCAGCCTCCTACTTTTTTTTCCTGTGACAAACCATGACGATCAGCCAGGTGATCACACCATAATCAAATGGAACAAGGAGACTCCTATTGGATACATGAGATATAACACCTTTTTATTACAGCTAATGGAAATTAGAGCAGGGTTTGTGTTTTCCTATGCAAATAAAAATCACCCTGTTTTTTTCTGGGTCATAATTGTATTGCAAAATGAATAAACAAAAATAAAAAGGTCAGGAATGATCTACTTTGCTGACTGTATGAAAACAGGACTTCTTGATTTTCTATCTATATATACACTGTATTTGTTTTTGTTTTTTACCAAGATGAAATCAATTCTGTAAACACAGAGATTGAACAAATCTTAGCAGGGAAGAGTACCAAAAATTTTACTTTCAGGCTTGAGACCGTTAACATTCGTCAAGTTAATTCCCCGACTCGTCTTTCTGATCTTAATCAACGTCAAATTAATCACTGTGGACTTGAATACTGAATGTATTCAGAGGTAAAAGTTTGACATTTCATCCTGAAACCTTGTCTTGTGTCAGATCTTGATGAAGGTTGGTTAAGCAAGAAATGACTCGCTGAAGTCCAAACCGAGCATCATAATGAGGAAGAAAGGGGATTTAAGTGACTTCAAATGTGGCATGTTGTTGGTGCCAGACATGCTGGTCTGAGAATTTCAGGAACTGCAGAACTTTTTCACACACAACCATCTCTTGGGTTTACAGAGAAGGGTCTGAAAAAGACAAAATATCATGTGTGGGGCAGTTGTGTGGACGAACATGCCTTGTTGATGTTAGAGGTCAGAGCAGAATGGGCGGACTGGTTCGGGATGATAGAAAGGCAACAGTCAGTCAAATAACCACTCATTACAACCAAGGTATGCAGAATACCTTCTCTGAGCGCACAACATGTCAAACGTCAAAGCAGAAGACCACACCAGGTGTCAGCTAAGAACAGGAAACTAAAGCTACAGTTCACACAGACTCACCAAATCTGGACAAAAGAAGATAGGGGAAATGTTGCCTGATCCTCTGTTGAAGTCTTAATGCCAGCTGTGACTTTCAGATCGTAGGGTCAGAATTTGTCGTAGACATAAAAGCATGAATCTATCCTGCCTTGTATCAACGGTTCAGGTTGGGTTGGTGGTGTAATAGTGTGGGGGATTTTTTCTTTGAGCACTTTGGGCCTTTTAGTAACAACTGAGCATCATTTACACACAACAGCCTATCTGGGTATTAGTGCTGATGATGTCCTTCCCTTTATGACCACAGCGTACCCATCTTCTAAAGGCTACTTCCTGCAGGATATTGCACAGCATCACAAAGCCCAAACCATCTCAAACTGGTTTCTTGATCATGACGAAGAGTTCACTAGTGGCCTCCAGAATCACCAGATTTCAATCCAATAGAGCAGATTTGGAATGTGGTGAAACTGGGGATTCGGATCACGGATGTGCTGCCGACAAATCTGCGGCACCTGTGTGATGGTTTCATGTTAATCTGGACAAAAAATCTCTTAGGAAGGTTTCCAACACCTTGTTGAAAAAATGCCATGAAGAATTAAGGCTGTTCTGAGGGCAAAAGGGGATCAAACCTGTTACTAGCAAGGTGTACCTAATAAAGTGGCCTTGAGTGTATATATCTTTATGATAAGATTTAATTCTGGAAAATTATTTATTTCACAAGACGGTACATTCATTTGAAAAGCATCATAAATCTCTACAGGTTGGCCCTTCTTGTCATGAACACATAATCTACCTCCCGCAGTGGAAAGTTTTCTGTGGGTGATTCATACTCGTCGTGTAGATAAAGCCGCAGATATGAACCACAACACGTGTCAAAGGCTGCCATTGATTAGCATGAATCTGAATAAACAAAAGATGCATGTACTGATAAACAGGACTGAATGCTTGAACTGGTAGATGCTACTGGAAAATTTGCAAAAGATTTAACAGAAATACCAGAAAAGGAACATGATTTTTACATGTTCCCTCTTCTTTAGAAATTTATGTTTTAGACAGGCACTAGCTTCACTTTTGTACTGAGAGGCTAGAACTTTATTTCTAATAATGATTAAAACTTTCTGTTATTGGGGATTCTTAAACAAAGTGAAATGATCATATATTGCTCTATTTTCTTGCTATTTTTAAGGGCAATGATAATTTTTCCACGTTCAGCCTTTATATCTGCGTTTCTGCATTCATGTGTTTTCTACAGCCGGTAGAAAGACAGAAATCAAGTAAATGTTTTCAATGAGGCAGTATTAGTTTCATGATCAGAGCACACAGAGCGATGTCAGGTTCAAGAATAAATTCAGAAATCAAATGTTTTTGAATAAACTCTTCTTTTTGTCTGACCTTATAATCATGAACCGGACATTTTTACCACTTTTTTCCCCCCCAAGCATTTTCATAAATCTTTATAAACAACAACCTCTTAATCAAACATGTAAAATATGTGGGTTCACAACAAGGGAGACTAGGATGAAATACTTCTTTTGGAGTCCAGGAGACACAAAGGTAAGGATATTAATCATTAATCCATTACTTTTCAAGTTGCACCTCCTGTCTCTGGCTGACTATCAAGTTACACAAAAAGCACACCTGCGTGGACAAAAGAGACTTTAAGTGCCTTAACTAGCAGGGGAGACCTGGTTTGAGGGCTTTGGTGGCAAATTGAGGAGCTGTTCATGTGTGTGTGTGAGAGAGAGAGCTAGAGAGAGGGAAAGAGAGAGGCAATGCGAGATAAAATTGGAGGTCGGAGAGGTGGGATGAAGGAACTCTGAAGACTGATCCCAGTTGGAACAACTTGAGGTCAGACGAAGAAACTTTCCAGAGAAAGATGATAAAGGAGTAGGACTGGATTATTTCCTCACTTATCTTCATGTGTTTGGAGAGACAGCTGCTTTAAAGGTGAGATGAGCATTGAAGGAATATACTTGTATGTAAGTGTGTTTAATCAACTGTGAATCCAGACAACATACGAGCGTGTGCGTCTTCGGTGCTTTTTAACTCCTGACAGCACTTTTACATAACTTTGCAAGTCATTAGAAGCGAATGATGATGTGTTATTAAGTCAATTACATTGATTAGTAAAATTTATGATGTAACCCCTGTCTTGCCTACACTTAGATTGAAAGGTGTGTGTGTAGATAGTTTGAATCTGCCGCATTGTTTGCAAGTCAATGAGAAAAAAAATGATTTGAGAATCAATAATGATGTTAAAAAAAAGGTTATATAATCATACTTTAATCACTGTTGCTTTACAGCCTGATGTGGTATTTATTCCTTTTTAAACTCAACAAAAATCATCGCAATGGCATTTTTTCGTTAATATGTAACCAGTTGAGGCTGTAAACTGATCAGGAAGTCGGCGGTCTGTCTCAGTATAAACACTAGTGATTTAAGAGGCAGCTGCTGTTTTCAATGACATAATGAAGAAAAACAAACGAATGTATGCATTTCGTTATTCCAATATGGACTTAGTGTTTGGCTGCTGTGCTGTGACAGCTGGTAGGGTTATGGACTAAATGAAGCTTTGTAACTCAGCTGAATAATAAAAGCCAAGAGACAAACAGGGGCGTGCAATAGATTGATCTCTGAGAGGCTTTCGTCATCACTTTTATCGCACGAACAAACATCAACTGTTGTTTAACCATGTCTGAAAGGATCAAAGTTTGAGCTGCGCAGTATTCTTTAAATCATTGTTAAAACTCTGAGGATTTAAGCGTAGGGTTAATCAATCAAACTCAGCCATAAAGCGATTAGTGTGACAGATGTCATATACCAGGGTGGAGCCTCAGCATGTTTCAGCACCTGTATGGCAACCTGAATATGTAACAAGGTTAATCGAGGTTATTGGCAAAAATTGAACCTGCCATCCAGTCACCAGGCTGCGTTTTACAAGCAAGGAAAAGATAGGAGTGAGCTGTAAGGTTCAATGCACTCAAGTGACCGGGTCAAACCCCACAGTCAGCTGCTGTTTCTGACAATGGCTCTTTCTCTTAAACCAATCTTATCAGTCTTTTTTTCTCACACTCCAAATCAACCCCCCAACCCCTTATCTATCTAGGCTCATCGTCCCAGAACATTCACGGTAGCTTAATTTTGAGAAGTGCTGACCTACTGACCACACTGTTCACTGAGTGCATGTTAGAAAGGTAATTTAACACTTTTATTACACAGGGGACAAATTTGCCGTTGAACTGTGGCAACTCGACATGCTCGAGCACGTTAATGGGGATGTTGATTCTTACTTTCGTTGCTGTGATCACATTCCAATCAACACAATCAAAAACAGGTTACTTTTTAATTATACATATGTGTGTTTATCACAGCAAATAACCTCACCTTTCCCGTAGGCGTAACTACAACTGCATAATTCTGTCATATCTGATTAACATCAAACTCTGAGCTTCCAGTATTTCGATTCGTTTGTTAAAATCACAATTTTAGTTACCCGCCAGTCGGCTCTAGTCTATCTAGTCTAGTCCACAACATGCAGCTATCGATATGCTGCCACAACATTTGAAGACATTCATGGTGTCCGGATGAACCCAGAAACATTTGTGATATCCCACTTTTGCCGTTTCCATAGTTGATGGTTGAAGTGCCATGAAATCAGGTTTATACATTCACAGATGAAGTATGCCGTTCCGTTGTCAGTGAAGCTCTACAACCACGTCAGAGTCTACTACTTTAATTCATGACTTCAAACAATAAACATCAACATTCCCATAAAGTAACATGATATTTGATTTCAAGGAAGTGTGAGGAACTTGTATGAAGTGTATATCATGGTGACACTTTTGAATAGACTAACTGCATTTCCCATAAGCACTCTTAACACTTGTACTTGTCAAGGAAGCAAAGCCCTGTTTACTTTGGTGTCTCCAGAGATATACTGTACCCAGTTCTAAGCGAGGCGCTGAATATTGACACAGCTTTTGTTTTGGATTGGAAAATTGAACCTCAACACAGGCAATAGAATTCATTTTATGTAAGTAACCAATCTTGTTGCTGATAATCTGGTTTGCTCGTTTGTTATCAAGAGGAATTAGTATAAGCGGGACATTGTTTAAAACTCTACTAAACACTCTTCATTGTGCGTAAAGATGCTTACATTACACATTGCAATGGTCAATGTGACATACAAGCATTTACGACCAATGTAACCGTTCCGCTCATGTAGTGACATGGAAGTAGACTTTTATAGGTTACTGGATATACATTTGTCATTTTCCTGTCACTCTTAATCTTCCAGACACGACAATAAGTGAGTCATAATTTGATGTCAGAGCGTAACTCCTGACTGATACTAACCAACTGTCAAAACAATGCAGGTGTGAAACAACCCACGCCTCAGCCTTAGGGCAAGTTATAGCCAAGCATAAACACACACAACACCATGATAGCTTCATGCTCTGTGTGGAATTTAGTGAGTATTTTGCATATACTATAGCAGTGTATATGGCTGTGTGGGTGTATGTTTGGGTAACATTTGAGAGGCAAAGAGGCAGCGGAGGGTAGTAAAGGACTTCAGGACAAGAGGTGGAAAGAAAGGTGATGGTGCTTCTTATGTCCAGAGGGCTTAAAGATGTAAAAAGTAGGGGGATGTGTGGGAGGAGGAACAGAAATGAGGGAGGCACACAGGTAGAGAGGTAGAGACCGAAAGCAGGAGATAGAGGAGGGTTTAAGTGTCAGGTTACCTGGAATACTTTAGGCCTGTTTTGTTTTGTGAGCAGGGCTTGGTCACCCAAAACAGCCAACCGCAAATCTACGAAGCATCCAAACAAGGCTACGCTTCAGAGATCTATATTACAGCCCTGGGGTTTCAAAGAGGGGGCAAGTCCAGGAACCTTCAAGACGGATTCTGTTACAGTCCTGTAGAAAGAAAAGGGGAGGGAGAGAAAAGACAGCGAGATTGAATCAAACCAGGTGTTGTAGTCTAAGCTAGTCGAGTTGGGACAGTGAGAGGGAAGAGGACAAAGGACATACGGGGGATCGTGAGTGAGTTACAGGGGAGTCCCACCTCCGGGGAAGGAGGGCAGTGTTTACTCTGCTCCGGACGAGCTGCATCTGGGCCTTAACACGAAAGACAACTACATCATGTGGGTGAGTGCAACAGGAAGCAGAGTAAACCTATTTTCATCTTGAGGATGGCCCTTCAAGTCACAGGTTTGCATTGGAGGGGCCATTTGAATACCATTCAGACAGTTTATGCTGTAAATTGTTATGCAACTGTGGTTGTATGGACACACCATCATACTGGACCTGGGCTTTCTGTTTGCTAACTTTTGCTAAACCAGTTCCTGTAATGAACTGCTGACAATCTGTGTTTTGCATGTTGGAAGTGTTATTTCAGAGTAAAGGGGAAAAATCCCTGTGCTTCATTTGTTGTATTATGTCAAAGGTGTGTGATCAGGGGCAGCATCTGATGCAGGTAGGAACACTTTAGATTCCTATGAGACCAGGTTCTTACTATTTGGTCAAATTACTTTCATTTTTAACCGGAGGCATCTGATGTCTGGATCATATGTTTAAAGAGGAACAAGCTTTGCCTATGTTAGCACTTGCATGTAATAAAAGGAGTGTTTTCTAAACTAATTTCAGTTGTGACACTGCTTCATTCAGTGTTTAAATTAGCTTGTTTGATTATCATTTGAGGATAATCTGCTCCCAGTTTAAAACTACTATGAGTCATTCATTCTGATGGAGTCTTTATCGGAACACAAGCTGGGCGCATATGAGCAAAGATGCCCTAGGTAGTTAGTTCACAGATCCTGTGAGAAACTTCTTACACTGTAAACCAGCAACACTAACCTGTAGTGCATACTCCCGCCCATAGAGAGACACTCATGCCTGGCTTGGCTCTGCACATCTAAGCACATATGGGCTGCACTGGTCTAGATCTGTACCTGTGATTAAAGCTCCACTAACATGTCACCGGTCGTTTCTCAGAAGTGCTTTTGTGAATGATTTAGTGGAGGGGAACACAATCCCGAGCAGCAGAGACGCTGGGAGGGGAACACCTTCTTTGAACAAAAGGTTTTACCATGTCATGGCTTTTATCTGTTAAGACTGACCCAGTTATGCCTTGGAGCTGGAGTCAAGAGGGAAGCTTCTCCGATTAACTTACTGAAATTCTCTGTGTGAGTTGGTCAGGCTGGACCATGATCATGCTTTGCATTCAGCATTAGATCCTAGAGCAGCTGATGGTAGTCATGATTACTTTAACCTTGATGTTTCCCAGCATTGGAAATATGATCTTACAATGGTGACAAAACAGAACTTGTAATTTCAGTGTTTGTCCATTTCCAACCGCATGACACTCTCACTCACCCTTTAGGCATCTTTCAGGTTTGCCAGGTTTTGTGCTGTCTCATCCCTATCCATAACACTGATTGATGGTGACCTGATTTCTCCTGTGTTTTTTTTCACTAAGGTGTGGTCTGGTTCGGCTTTAATTCATATCTTATCATTAGTTTAGAAAAAAGCACCAAATTCATGAAGATTTCTGTCTATGCCAAAAAAATGTTATGTTGGGGGAAGTGGAAGTGAGTCAAGCAGAAGAAACAGAAACAATGGAGGCAGAGTGACAACCTAATCATGGTGTTAATGAAGTATGTGACTAAAGCTAGTCTGCATTAGAGTTATGAAATATCGTCAGACAGAAGCAGACTATTGACTTCCTTAGTTAGTTCATGAAGCAAAACCAAAGCTCCATTTTCTTGATTGTACCTTATTTTAGATTATGGTCGTGTAGTGCCGGTGAGAACTGAGTACCACTGTTTGAAGGGAATTTTACCTCAGGAACATGGGGTCAGTAAGACAGAAATACATAACATGAACCTGACAGAGCTGTGTAAACTAAAGACAGTTAAATTGCTTTTCAGCAGCAGGTTAAGGCAGAATAAGGGGAATTTAGAAATGGCTATAAGGCCCAAAAACAGGAGAAATGTGACATGACTGGCCCTTGCAACATAGTTGAACAGATTGTAGCTGATTGACCTCCTCAAATCAGACCCAATTATGTGACAAGTCACAGGACAACAGGTTGATTGCAAAATACAACCTAAATGTGTACATGTGATTTAGAATATAAGCGTTTTCAGCGTTAAATGGCGTTTTCATTACATATTCATACATTTGCAATACAATTAGAGTTTCATGTGACTCAAAGCAACTATTCATCAGAGGGAGCGCAGCGAAATACCTTCATGCACACAGATTTCATGGCAAACTGTACATCAGAAAATAGTCGCACCCACTTGCTTTCTAGTGTCTTGAGTAAGCTGGTAATTTTACATCATATTGCTTAATATTTACTTTTTCCTCTTTCCTATTATTAATTTCTATCTTTTTATGGTCATTCAGTGTTATTAGTCTTTTGTTAAGTAAACTCATTGAAACACATGTTTCTCACGATGTCTTGGTAAAGCCTCAGAAGTGCCCAAATGCCTACACACACCTGTATTGAGCTATATCAGAGTGCCTCAGATTTGTACTACTTCTCTTTGCAAATCACCTATGCGGTAGCTGCGTTTACATGGACTCAAATAATCGGAATAAATGCCGGATCGGAATTAAAATGCGTCATGTAAAAATGTCGATCGGAAGATTCTGATCCAATTCGGCTCCTTCATAAAGAAACTGTATTCCGATCGACAGGGGTGGTTCATGCCGATCGTTATTCCTAAACGCGTCCATGTAAACACTTATTCTGATCATGACTCTCTTACCTGACTCGATCTTCACTCTTTAGCCTGTGGCTTTCTGTTGAGGCCATTACAGGAGGTTTCATTATTAACACTCTGGAATAAAACACAACCGCAGATGCCGTGTCTGCTCTTCCGGTAACAGAACAAGGCGTACATACAGCGTAATGATGTCACATCTGCACGCACAGTGCAACCTTTGACAGAACGGTAAAATAAGTACGCAAGGGCGCCATCTAGTGGCTACATTAACATGGGGGAAACTCCTGAATTGGGTGAAGTGAGCCACTACCACGTTTGTTGGTTTGTTGACAGCGAGTGTAAATGTTACGCAGACAACTCTGCGCATGTCCAAATGCTTCTAATCTGAATAAAGTTTGGTGCATGTATAAGCACGTCATGATCGGATTATTTGATTTTGCACCCATAGTGGATTCAGATTATCCGATATCTCAAATTTTTAATCGAATCAAGAAATTTTGTACATAGAAAACGCGGCTAGTCTTTTATTTACTTTCAGGAGTGACCGGTCTCTTATCCTTGAAGAACATCTATGGTTAAAAACAAATCTGTCATGTCAAAGTGCTGCAAGACTCTAAGTACCCAGTTTTAACATACTGTGTTTGTGTTTAAAGAGAAATGCAGCTTGCGAGTTCTATGCTGGATATTAACATGTTAAATTCTTGTCTCTACAAGCCTTTACAATGTAGTTTCTAGGTAGGGTAAGCACTGTCGATTCATGAAAGTCAGCTCTTTTTTTCATCAAAAACCTGTCCAACAACATTTGTTCCTGCCTCTTCACACTTTTCCTGACCATTACTTTTAATAGAAATGAGCTGAATCCAAACAGATAATTTAAAACAACCTGTCAAACTTCATTTTGGCCACTTCCTTCTTTAACTAAGGAACTACAACAGATTGACCCTTGCGACAAAGAAATGTATGCAAAACACAGTATCCCACCTCTTACTTGAAAGCAGAAGTGGAAATAGAAATACATAATAGTGTTGACTTACTGCAGATGTTGTTTATTAGTATAAACCAAAAATAACACTGTAAACAGTGTACTTATGTACAGCTGAGACAATGAATAAAAAGCTGCAAGACAAGACAAAAGAAGAACAGCAGGTAGATGAAGGTGGTCTCCATACAATCTGTCAGTAACTGTACACCATCTGCTGAAATCTTCAACAAAGGACAGTAAGCATCCATATTGACGTTGAGCACTAAGCAACAGGGTGGACTGTATTCAGCTGTGATGAATAAAAGCAAACATGCCACACAATCTGCAAACTGAAGAGCACGAAAACAGCGCCACAAATAAGCTCATAAACAATTTCATATCATGACAATTTATTAGTAGGTTGACCACATTTTTGTCTTTTAAATTAAAGTATACTTTAATACGTTATTAAGGGTGAAACTGACTTTAAAGGCAGTACAGTGATTTGTTGCATGGCAAAAATCATACTGTATTAAGTTGTCAGGTATCAATCTTTAGCAAAACAGAGCAAATGTAACAATCAGAAAAATAGGGAGAAAGGTGATGTTTTTGTTTGGGTTGTGAGATTTTGTTCAGTTAAAAAATGGACAAGTGAAAAAAATGTCTCTTTGGTGGGCAAAATTTAGAGTTGATCAAACTGAATAATTACAAAAAAGGCAATACATGTAAGTTACCGATATCCTTCGCTTACCAGCAATGTTTAAATTCAAAGTCAGAGATCAAAGCGTTGTGTTTATATGTTATCACTGAACCTCTAGTGATTACTACTGGTGTACCGTGCATTCCCACAATGGTTCATTTAAGATAAACGGACAGCCCCGTGTCTGAGCACAAGTTTTGGTGAACGTAGTAAAACATAATATAAATGTCAGCACATTGTTTTCCAGTCCATCATAATTACTGTTAATTTCAGAACTCATTTACTCTAAGTAAAAGTCGTGAAACTCTCTGTCTCTGTTTGAAATAAGAATTCAGACACAGCCAAGGTGTGGCCCTTGGGGAGTTCCCACTTTGATTAGCTTGATGTTCATGTGGCATCATCTGTTACATGATGCAGGTACATGTTTTAAATGATATAGCTCCCCTTCCCAACAAAAAGTAGAGTATTACATAATAAACACTAAAGAAAAGACAAACACAGTTAGCTAACAGCAAGCTGGTGAACAGAGTGGACCATTAACCAGCCACTAATAGGTGAGACCAAAAAAGCAGAGCGAGAAATGCCAGGGGGCGACATGATTGAAAGATAATCCTGACTTATCGTAATGGTCATATAGAGGTGGAGATGCTGATATCAATGTGACTTTCAAAAACTGAACAGGGACAATCTCGGTGACATGGACCCCCTCCTTTGCCAGCCTCATCTGAAGGCTTTCTACCCTGAGGTGCTTAATCATTCAGAGAACTGTCATTGTTAGATGTTGAATACTTTATATTGTTAGATGTTGAATACTTTGTCACCTTCACCCTTTGTGAACCCTATCCACGAAGGTATTTAGTTAAAGGTAACTCCTTTTGTGAATTTTAACTACACCCTAAACATAAAACTGACAGCGATGTCCTGTACGCAGTTATGCAACTAGCATACAGCTGATACCTTGCCTAAGGACACATTAGGTTTTGACATGACTCCTGCGCTTAAAGAGCAGCCACTCCTCCCACTATACCACCACCCTTTAAAATTACATGGTGTTCTGTCTCCATCATATCAGTTGCGCTTAAATGGTAGACACACCATGTCCCAAAAGACCCTGCCATACTAAAGCCTACAGTACTGTCTGTTCAGAGTTCATCACTTCCACTGGGAAGTCTGTTTGATAACAGATTATAGGAGGAGCCTGAAGCATATTGAATGTCTGACATATGCAGAAAAGGCACATGGGTATGGAGTGACAGCTCACAGTGGCACACTATGTTCCCCAGGTGTTTGTAGTCAGCTATTCTACGATGGATATGCTTTATATTTGACTGTATTTTGTTGCATCTTGCTCCCAAGGTATGTCACCAGAGTAAACAGAAAATGTCACGAACAAGGCTTAGACGATTGCTTGGCAGTCTGCAAACAAAATTACCCAATCATTTAGCAACACCTCCACCTAGAAACTGTATCCTGTGTGTTTCCTGTAATGTCACGTGCTCTTATTTTGCACTCACTTTATCTCCCATATCTTCCTTATCCTTTCCTCAGACGAGCGTCCCGGTGCCTGAGGAAAGTACTAGACCGTTGAATCCGAGGCAGCCAGGTGAGCTGAATATTGCGTTTTTCTTTAGCTGTTGTCAATACAGTATTTTACCCTCAGTGATTTTTCAAATCCCTTATGTTTCCCTCTCTTGCTCCCAGTGGTTCCACGACCAGGCCGCCGCAGACATTCCATGACGGCGACAAGGACTCAGAAGGACAAGGCTTCAAAAAGGAGGAAAGTTTTGCTGACTGTCCTGTCAGTTGTGGTGTTACTGGGCATACTGGCCACTGCAGCATTCTTCAGTAAGTCCTAAAAGTAGTACACATGCAAACACAACAGGTTGACTTTATATACTCAACAGCTGTCACCGATTGGATATGATGTGAACATGTTTTATGATGGTGTAAATCAATAACAGGAAAATATAATTCTAACTTGTTTTCCTTTTATTCTGTGCCACTTTAGTTAAGAAGCTGATCGACAGTAAATTCTTCTTCTGCAAGCGCTCGTTTAAGTTTATCCCACTAGCCAAAGCCTGTGACGGGAAGCATGACTGTATCGGAGGAGAAGATGAAGTTACCTGTGTTTCAAGCTTTAAAGTCAACACAACCTTTCCAGGTAAATCAAACATTTCTGTCCTCCTTTCTTAGTCATTAAAGACAAATACAACTTTAAAGGAGACTCCCTTTTTTAATCCTTTCCCTGCCATTCCTCCCTACAGTGCGTCTCATGACCAGTCGGAATGTCCTGCAGGTGTACAATGCTGGTGCAGGGTGGCGGAGTGTTTGTAGTGACGAATGGACACAGAGGCACACACAGACAGCATGTAAACAGCTGGGATACACAAAGTGAGTGTGCAACCATTGGCAGCATTATTAAAGAGCTGAAATCAAAATTAGAGTATTATATCATTTCACTTCTGTTTTTACAGTAAGCCTCAAAGCACCGGAGTCCAGGTGAGCACTTTAACGCCATCCATGAAAAAGGGACCATTCACAGCTGTCAGGCCGGGGACAACAACCACACCCTTACACCAGGCTACCATTGATCGGTGAGGAAGGCCGTCTCCAAACAGGAAAAACAAACTCCCAACCCCACAACTCATGACAGCTTTATTCGTCATTTCAGATATTACTTCATCTTTTCCATTGGCATTGTTTTGTCTGGAAAGTCTTATTTTATTTTTCTTTTAAGTCAGACAGGTTTTTGTTTTTTTTCTTTGTTCAAAACCTCTATATAATGTTGTTTATCTTCTCTTTTACCTTTGAGCTCCTGCTCTCCTAACACCTCCTCCCCCTGACACCCACACGCCCTTATGTTTTTTATGTACAGATGAAACTGTGGTTTTTCTCAGTTTCTGTTCCTAAAAGGCACAAAACTCCACTGTTTTTTTCTCTTTCTGTCTCACCCTGTTTGAAAAAAAAGCTGAAATTAAATAAACAAATGAGAACTGAAACAGAGACAAAGTTCAGTTTTATTATCGAGGTGAAGTTAGGTCAGGGCCTGACTGTATACTGTGTATGTTTTGACTTTTTTTGTGTTCATATGTTGCTTGGAATGTTAAATAAAATCCCTTATCTCCTCCTACAGCAGTGCATGCAGATCTGGATCAGTGGTGTCTTTGTCCTGTTCAGGTAAGTTTATTTTTAGACCAACCATCATTACTGACATAGTTTACCACGTTTGATTAGGCAGAGTTGGAAAGATGACATGACTGTGCGACCAGTTTCTCTCTAACAGGCCCATACATGTCTCCAGTACTCTGAAAAGCTCGTCTTATCAACACAAGACAGACTAGTTCATTGTTGAAAAGAAATGAAAAACATAAGTGTAAATGAAACCAAAATCTTCCCTGCCTGGCATATAGTTCCTTAATTTCAAAAATACAGATGTGAAATAAAAGTCTGCAATGAAAGGATTATTGTATTGAGCCAAGATAGCTTTGTTTTTCAGATTGTGGGATGGCGGGCTCTCAAGAGCGGATTGTCGGGGGTAAAGATGCCTACATTGAGGACTGGCCCTGGCAGGTTAGCCTGCAGCAGAATGGCCGTCATACGTGCGGAGGCTCAATTGTGTCATCAAATTGGGTCGTCACTGCCGCCCACTGTTTTGCTGGGTGAGTTTCGTGTCCACATGTAATGTTTTCTATGACTTTCCTCTGATGTTAACGCATCAACTCTTGCTCATACTTCCTACTCATTGTCTTATTTTGGGCTTTGCAGTAGTAAGAAGGAGCTGAGTGGCTGGAAAGTGGTGGCGGGTAAGACGTACTTGGCCACACTGGGAGGATACTCTGTGGACAGGATCATACTGCATGGAGATTATGACACGGCTCGAAACGACTATGACATCGCCATGATGAGACTCAGCAGCCCTATCAGCATTGGAGGCAAGACTTGATTTGAATACTTAAACAAACACACCGACATGGTTTATCCAGAGTCATTTGAACTTAGACAGGTTCATCATGAAGGAAAGTAAATACATTTTGTCCATTGAGAAGGCTCTGATTAATTGCCCTCTAGACGTAACGCCTTTAATCACCTGAACTGTAAAGAATGCAAATTAAATTGTCAAAACTATTCAAACTAAATGCAATTTTTTTTTCTTTTAGAGACCCGCAAGCCAGTTTGTCTACCTCCTCAATCCTTTGGCCTTACTGCCGGTGCTACCATGGCTGTGACTGGCTGGGGTTACCTAGAGGAAAATGGTGAGGAATCGAATTTGTAACCTTCTAACAAAAAATGGCAACTCCTTCAAAGTTCTCATTTTTAAGTCCTTGTTCTCTTTCCAGGTAATGTTTCACCTTCACTCCAGAAGGCTGCAGTCCCTCTGATAGACCGGGCTAAGTGCTCCAGCCCAACAGTGTACGGCAATGCCATTACCCAGAGAATGATCTGTGCTGGTTACATGGAGGGGAAAGTGGACGCCTGTCAGGTAAACACAGTTTTTAGGTACACCACTTAAGATCAAGCCTGGAGATTTTAATATGTAAATAATATTTCCACTGTAACACCATTTAAATTGGAGCCCACATCTTCAGTTCAGCTTTCACTGATATTTCTGGCAACCTTCTATATTTATGTGGTGAAGTTTTATTTTGGTGCTATGATCCTCAGGGGGACAGCGGAGGTCCGTTGGTGTACTTCACATCATCTCAGTGGCACCTGGTAGGTGTGGTGAGCTGGGGCGTTGGCTGTGCCCGAGAGAGAAGGCCAGGTGTTTACTGCAACATGGAGGAGATGTTAAACTGGATTCATACAGTCATCGAGGTACATCCTGCCAATACTCTTCACACTCTCTGAACTAAGATCCACTCTTACTTTTAATTTAAGTTAGTTTATTTCCACTTCAACTAAAAATGAAAAGCTGATTTGATGAGAAACTAACTTTAGAAACAATACATTAAAAAAAAAAAAAAAAAACAAGCCCGTGTTGACAAAATTGTACTTCCTCTTTCCAGAAAAACCCCTGAGGTCCTCTGTTGAGACAAGCAGGCACCACCAGACTCCGGTCAAGTCACCCTGGAAGAAACTGTGAAACTAAAAAAAAAAGCTTCGGTTTCACCATGGTGGACTGAAGTTGAGGGACAGAAGGAGCAGAAAGAGGAAGATGAGGCTCGTCCTCAGCGGCAGTAGACTGTCACATACAGCCATATGCCAAAACAATGCACGCACGCACACCCACACATTCACACACACACGCTTGCACATTTCATACAAACTTGTTTCAGGTGTTGTTTTTGCCATTTCAGGTTCTGATCTCAGGGGACAAAATTATTTATGCTGTTTTTTTTTCTTCCTGGCCATTCTTGGGTTGTTTTGAACTAACTCCCTTACTCACGTGCTTTTGAAACAAGAGTGTTGGATATAAGATAACACCTATTAACACAGGGACTCTGCAATAAAACATGTTTTAACTGTGCGTTTTTTGGATCTTACCAGACAGGCAGACCTCAGATATAATGAACTTGATTATTATGTGCTTTGATTTCAAGTGTGCAATGGGATAACAAGGGTTTGCATGACTAGGAAAGGGTTAGCTTGTGCTATATTAATGCCAACAGATGTCATCCTCAGGTAAACACTGCTAACATGAATGAGCTCAATGTGTATGTGCCTGTTAAAGGACAATTGCACCTTTTTCCCCAGCACTGTTGGTGAGCCTTATTCCACCCCCTGGTTGAGCACTTTAAATGGAAAATGAGATTTATCTGACCTCAGTGTGTGTACAGATCATAGACTGTATATAGAATGGACAGTGTCTGCCTCCTTGCTGAGTGAAGCCACTCCGAGAACAGCTCCCTCTGTTGACTGGCTGCAGTATAGGTCATTAATCCTGCCTCCTCCAGCAAAGCTTATGGAGCTGTGGACAAACTTTAGAAATTTATTACACAGAATTTTAAATTTTCTCCCCCCTGCTTGCGATGTTGACATGTAGTTATTGTAAGACTGGTTTGTGTTCAAGTCCTCTTTTTTTCCGTGAGGCTCCGTTTTTAAAGTTATTAGGGGGTTAATGTTTTCTCTGATTGACACCTGATACAGCCTATTGGCGTTCAGGGATTGCATGGCTCACCCGGGGATACGCTGGTTGAGCCGAGCGTCATCACAGTGACTCTCGGCGACTCTCCCACAGAATGCGTACAACACTACCGCGCAGCGCTGGTTTCAGGAAATGAAGAAAAATCGCTGAGAGCTTTCTGGCTTCAAATCCGTATACAGGCGGGAGGCAGAGCCAAGTTGTCCATGGTATATACAGTCTATGGTACAGATAGTTCAATGTGCTGTATCTCAGATCATATGTCTTAGTGCCTTCATACTGAGTTTAAGTGTGTGTTCTTAAAACTTGCACCTTAGCCAGAATGTTTGAGAGTGGTGCTTGTTGAGTTTTCTTTTTTTTTGCATTAATAGCTATGAAGATATTAATGTCACTACTTATAAATACTAAGTGAGCAAACAGAGCTGGACGTGTAAATTTGTACATTCAGGTGAAACTGAAAGGACTAATAAGACATGCATAGCATTCCTCTCAAGTCTTGTATAGAGTGCCACGGTGGAAAGAAACATGTAAATTCAGGAAATGTTGACTTTTTTTACCCTGTAAATAGTCTGTAAATGTAATAAAGACCGTCTTCTCTAACTTGGCAACTCGAACAACTGTTTTGTCAGACGACTGACTTGATATTCTTGGCAAGTCTGTGTGCGAGAAACTGGATCCGTCCTCATTTCATTCACTGTCTCCTCAAGGGCACACACCCTCTGACCCCAAAGTGAACAAAGAAGTGACAGAGAACAGAGTTTATGTAAATCATTATATAAACTGTGATCCGCAACAGATCCAGTGACAATTTCATCTCGTGTTTCATTCACCGGTATGTGAAGATACTGTAAAACAAGCTGCTGAGCATGGAAGTTAAGAGGTAAAACAATACCTCTGTAAGTTTGATGTATGAAAATTGTCTCTAAAACCTCTTAAGAGTTGCATTTTTAGGACTTTTGGGAATTTTAAGCCAAAAAGGAAAAAAAACTCCTTTTCTGCCATCTCTGTGCGCTCTATTTTCTATATGTCAGAGCAGACATATTGGAGAGTTTCTATTTGAAAAAGAGACATCCGTTTGTTTGTTTATGAAAAAAAGAAACACATTTATTATACCCTGAATCTCAGAGAACAACAACAGGCAATGACAAACCAAGCAGCTTGTGCTCCACCTACTGGTAGGTTAAGGGGATGGCTATGATCTGTTCAGCTCGACTTAGGCATACAGAGGAGCTCTTTCACCAGAACAGACTGACTGAAACGTTTGAACAGGAGTAACTGGAGCTGATCAACTTCATTAATGATCGTAAACATGACTAAGACTGATGGAGAACATTCTCACTATACAGTCCGTCAGAACTAAATTGCAGCAGCTCATTTGCTCATGAGAAGATTTCGAGTACAGGCGCCTCCACTTATCTTCTTGAACCACGACTGGAGCCTTTGAACGGATCAAACTGTTTGGAAAAGAAAAACAAAACAAAAAAGGATTTAAAAATCTTCGTTTCAGGGATACATCCAGAAAGAAAACGCTCTATGGTGAGACAGTGATCCCATGTGACAAAAAGGGATATTGTTTTATTCCTCACCTCTTCATCATCACTGTCATCGAATGCAACTCCTCTGGTCGACTGGCTCTGACTCTGAGAGCCATACTTTGAGAAGGAGGATGATGATGACGATGAAGATGCTGGCCTAAGGGAACACAAAGATAAGACACAACAGTTCAAATACAGAGCAGAGAGAAGAACAGAGAGAAATAATCACTCCTATGCTGCTATTTAAAACAAACATACTTTGCAGGGGGTCGGGTGGTCTTCGTCACTGGTATGTCTTCATCTGAGTCATCAATAGTCACCTGGAAAAGAGGTTAAGAGGTTAAGAGGATAAGGTGTTAGAGCTTAAATAAGACAAGGACATGTGGTTTTAATGTGAATGAGTGGCCTTTTTCACTTACTTCATCTGCTTGGTAAGACGTGGAGACTTTGGCCCGAGATGATCTCTGGGTTGAAGCTTGAAATGCTGAATAAGCGACAGAGAACAGACAGAAGAGAAAAACAGATTCACACACTGATGAGATGAGATTTCTGCACCTTCTCTGCAAAGCCTCTGCGTGACTTATTAGCGCTGTAAACCTAAAATTAACCAGAGTGTCCCTGGATCATCACACCCACACACATACACTCACACTCTCCTACCCTGAAGAATGCTTCTATTTTGTGTTGGTGCTGTGGATTTAGTGGAGCGACTCCGACTGGCTGGCTTTGGATCGGAGGTAGCCGCACCTTGATGGAAAATAGAAAGGGGTCAGAATGAGGAACTGCACAACATGAATGTAGTAGTTCTCTACTTTGCCACATTACAACAAATGATTTGACCGTCACTAGGCCACACAAAGTCCAAGAAAGAGGTTTTATCTTGTGCACAACTGCTCTTCTTAAAAAATCCCTGTTTTAAAATTTAACCATTGTCCCTTCATCAAAATGACATAAACTTTCACTTCAGCACAGTAGTTTTCCAAGCAGCCGCTCTAATATAAGAGTAAAATGGTCCTCAGGCACTTAGTGTTGTATTTGCAGTGAGTCATTAGCTTGCACCACACCTAAATATCAAAAGAAAAGCTCTTAGACAAACTTAAGCTGTACCTATTTGTCTTTCATATTCGAATTGCAACTAATAATCTGATAACCTCACCTCTCCCCCTGCCCCGGCTCCCCCGTCCTCTGCTCCCTCGCCCTCTGCCTCGAGTTGTAGGGGCTGGGACTGAGTCGTCATCAGAGTCCATGTTTACATCGGCAAGATCATTTAATGTTTCCTGGTCTAGAGGGTCATCATCGCCACGCTCCATACGGTGAGCTTTGGCTCTGCTCATAGCCTGAAAGAAAGGAGGGATCAAACACACATATTAAAAAAAACAGACAAGACAGCGTTTCAGACCTCTCGCACCAACTACTTACCTCTCTGATGTCATTGTCCTCTTCAGTCGTGTTCTTTTTGGAGTCTCTGAATTTTTGAATCTGAAAATGTGAAACCATGCAATTTTATTATTATTATTATTATTACATTGGCTTAGACTGCCAGATTTTCAGTGTGAGCCCATTTCCCTTACCTCTGTGTCTATGTCCTGCTCTGTGGTTACTCCTCTGGCCTGAAGGTGACGCTGTGTCTTCTCCAGCTGATATGTGATCAGCTCCTCGATGGCATCTTTCTCATCTTTGTCCACAAACTCCTGAATGGCCTTGCCCATGCCCTGCTCTGTCAGAAGGGACAGCTGCACCGTCTGCAAAGATATATACATGTGCTTTTTGAGTAACAAGATATGAATGTAAGTGTAATGGCTGCTCGTAAATGTAGATCAGGGTGTGTGGAGCACCTGCTCAGCTGTCTCAAAGTACTGTTTAACCAGATCCTCCACTCTCAGCCCTTCAACTGCTGTGGTTTTCAATATTTTGCTGTAGTCGACGTTGACTTCATCTGGAAAACACAAAGATTCAAATGTGTCAAATTAAAGCAATACTGTACATCAATCTATGGTTTACACGACAGAGCCACAGCATTGTACTTAGCCGCTGTCTGACCTTTGATTTCCTGCTTTTGCTCACGCTTCCTGAGAAAATGAATGAGGTCTTTTGGATTCGCTACACGATCAACAAACTTTTGACTGAAGCGTGCAGTGCTGAACGCCTCAAAGCCCCCGCTGTAGTCCACCTGGAGAAGCGATAGAAATGATTAAATTTAACTAAACTTTATTACAAAGATTTGTGCAAATGCTTAGTCTGGGACCATCTTACCCTCAGGCGAATCAGAGGTTTCGCTGGAGTGAGTGGACACCCGAGTCTGTCTCTCTCAGCTTCCTCTAACATCTCTGTGACCTACATAAAGACCGAGGGAGACATTTTAATGGGACAGATCGAGGACCAGAAAGGTCAAATAATAGAGTAAGAGGTTTTAGCCTGACTTGGTTTGATTGTAACTTTAACAGTTACCTTTGCAAAGCACAAGTTCTCCACTTTCTTTGTGACTTGTGGTGTGTCAGGTGTAAAACAGTCTTCGTAATCAGCCAGCACCACATCCTGGATGTAGAACTGACGCACCGTCTTCAGCGGGATCTTCTGCAGGTTCATCTTACGACCTTTCACTCTCAGCAGTCCTATGTGTCTACATTCACACAAAGAGAAAGGATTAATTTCTAGAACTTTTTAAAACATACTCGCAGCACAAAAACTGTGTCCATGTCCGTTTGTACTTTTTAGTTGCTTCTCCAGGGGACAGGGACGTGGCTACAGAGCTGCCGGGCTGTGTCACATAAAAGAGCTGTTGTTCATTTCTTGTAGGCGTTATCAGACATTCATGCTCGTGACCCCAAACCACCAAGTCAAGGAATTCATCCAGAAACTGTTCAGGAATGTAGTTAGTAGGTCCATGTTTACTCCTAGAAAAACCACAGACAAAACAGAGGTAAAAATACAAGATGAGGTGACAGCCTACATTCACAAACCTGAACTAGTTCTAGAAGGCATCAGTTAGGATTTAACAAACCCAATACACAATAACACATTATTCAATGATTACATACATGACACACGTCCTCTCTCCTGTCAAACAACTCTTATGTGTGTATGAATTAGACAACAAAATACACATTGAGACACACACCTGTTCTGGTGGATGGCAAAGAGGTTAAACCATTCATCTTGATCTTCTTTAGGTCGAAGCATGGTCACCTGGTTGTTGACAAACATCCTGTACAAACGCTCATCTGGGATAGAACCTTCACACATACACAAACACAAAATTGAGCGTCAAACAGTGTTTCAAATTGAATCCTGGGACAATACAAACAAACAATAAACACAAAAAAATGCATGCTTACCAAGACCATAGAGGGCCAGCTTGGTGCTACCTTTCTGCATCAGTACTGGACTGATTTCAACCTTCTCCACTGAGGTCGAGTGACCAAAGTGATTAACAAGACCAGAGGCACTGAGCAGGTCCAACGCACACAGACCTTCAGCCTTGAGAAACATTAAGTAACATGGTATTAAAAACAAACTTAAAAATATCAGATTAGATAATGAGTAATGTCCAGTTCATATTTTTGTCTTTAACAAACTTACCCCAGTTGGGTCATCATGATTACCATGAATGCTGAACACTGGAATCGAGATGTTTAGGTTTTCATCCTGATAGTTTACCCAGGGGAACCTAAAACACACCAGCATCAATATAACAGTCATTCAATGAGTCTTCAAAGATTTGATAGGGTGAAAACTCAAATGCAGCCTGAACTGACTGGGTTGTGTTAAAGTTGACTTTCTGGTCACTGATAATGTCAAACTGTATTGGCGTGTCCCCCATGCAGTATCGTCTCAGCATAGTGATGCAGCTATGCAGGCATCGGCGAGTGGGCTTGTTTTCATGAAACAAATCCCCGCCCAGCAGGATGAAATCTACCTGCAAGCAAAAAGGTGTTCAGATCAGGCACAGATTTAGGATAAATCAAAGCAGACATATATAATAATAAAATACACACACAAACTGATCAGTCTGCACATACCTGATTTGCCTTGGCACATTGTAGGATCTCATCAAATGTGGTGTAAGAGTCGCTGCCTCGGATAGCGTCCTTCTCAAGGTAGCCAAGGTGAACATCTGTAGCAATTAAGATCTTGAAGGTATCCTCATCATCCCTAGGAATTAAATCTGATTGTATAAATTCTGCTGATAAAGAACCAGCACCAAAAATCTAAATGTATTAAAATGTATCTCGCCAAAAAGTCATATATTTGAGGACTTACAAGTTGCTCTCAGAGGACATTGTTGTGATGTTCAGAGACCTGTTTGCACAGACAGGTGGTCAGAGAAAACGTGGCTGCAATAAAGAAATAAGTTAGGTTACATTTAGCACTTCTGTATGAACATTTTTAGTGCTTATTGTATACGACTACATTGTGGTATGTGGTTGATAGCAAGTTCAAAACCCCCATTTGACAAAGTATTAGTTATTTGCACTAATATGTTATTGACAGCTAATTAACAACGAGGATAGTAGAGCTGATAAACATTAGGTTAGGTTATCAATATGGTAGCTAACACATTGAACCAACCCTATAGTACTCGTTACGTTTGAATTACACGTAATAAGTCTATAAAACGTTATTGATATATATTTTTATAAATGCTGTTACACAACAAAATGGGAGACATTAACTTTCACTCACCCCACGAGCACCAAAAACGCAAGTATATCAAACTCCTCCTAAAAACCCCGGCAAGTCTTGCAAGCCCTGTCCCCGCCTCTTAAAGGCGCTTCTGGGTAATGTAGTTCTACTTTAAAGCAACGCTATCTGAAAGCGTTGAATCCCTGCGTGAGATTAACTACATTTCCGGTAAACAAATGGTATGCGTTGGATTTATTGTTAAAGACACACCGGTCTGACTATGAACCGAACTCTAGTGTTGTGCGTATTCGCTCATTGGCCGACGGGAAGGGCTGTGATTCATATCATTCACACCCATCTGAAATCCTGGCTTGTGTGGCTTGTCAAGTGATGTTTTCTTTCCACAGCCCCCTTTAGTTGTGGTAGAAACGGCGCTAAGCTGAAAAGCTATGTGTCGTATTTGAAAATGTCTCGGCTTTTACTAGAAGAGTGACTTAGATGAGGCGTTTTTGCACATTTTACTAGCGGGTACGGTACAAGCGAGACACGGTGGATAGGCTGCGTTTCAATGGAGAGTCTGTCAAGAACAGCCGCGGATGATGCTCCGCGGGAGAAGGTAGCTTTACAACAGTTGGCCAGTTTCTCATGCTTGTTTATGCAGTTTTAGTAGTCACATAGTTTGGTAAGATCTACTTACAGCTGTTGCTACAACTCCAACCAGCAGATGAAAGCCTAGACTGCAAGAACGTATACTAGACCGTCATTATTATGTGCTGTTTGACTTGTGCTGCAAAGAGAAATGATATGTTGTACTGTTAAGTTGAATTAAAGCATGCTTTTACGGGTTTAGTTTACAGATGTTTTTAGATGTCGCTTTATTCACTATATTTGCCCCAATGGAAAGGCTCTATATAAGTGATTTTCACATCCAGATATTGAACTTTTTAATATTCATCCCTGTTTCTTTCCCAGGTGCTCCATCCACCACCACCACCCAGTGGAGTTGTGAGTGACAGTTTGTCAGTCACATCTTATAAAGAGTACCCTGCTCACCGTCCCTTCATCAGCACACTTGTGCATCACACTCCTCAAGCACGCACACACCAGTCATTTCTCCCATCATCACCAAGCAAAGCGTTCCCAGAGACCAGCAGTGCAGGTAACTTCTTGCATCTGAGTATCTTAGTCTATTTTCCCTTCCCAGAGTTTCCATTCAACCACTGTGGTGTTTCGTAGCTCCATGGTTACAGCATGTGCAACATGATGCCACACTACTTGAATGTCTGTGATGCACCGGCATCTATTCACCCTTTGACATTACCCTCTATAATAATAACTTCATTTTATTTATTTTTATAGCACTTTTAAAAAACAGAAGTTTACAAAGTGCTTTGACAAATAGTTGTAAAGTACAGAACATCGGCACATGGAAATAAAAACAAAAGCTCAATTAAAAACAAGGCTTCCGAATTGAAGGCCAATTTAATTTGTCATAAGAAACCCAGACAATACAAGAACCCTACAACATAAAATGAGACCATTAGGACCAAAATAAAAACATAGAAAGCAGGAAACAGGATAGTAAACATAAAAAGATGATATTAATAATGATAATAAGAATAAAATATAATTAAATAATAATGATGGTAATATTAATGATAAGATGGAATAACAAAAATCAGCAGGAAAAAAAACAAGTAAATCAATAAAAGGCATTAAAGGTTAAATAAAAGATTGTAAGTAAAACAAAGGCTAAAGGGACAGTAAGTTGAAATAAGATAGAGATAAAAGAAAAAAGAGAAAAAAAAGAAGGCATCTCATAAAAGCAAGTCTGTAAAAGTGAGTTTTTAAATTTGACTTAAAAGAAGAGACTGTCTCTGCACACTTTATCTCCTCTGGCAGGTCGTTCCAAAGTCGAGGGGCTCTGATGGAGAAAGCTCTATCACCTTTAGTTTTGATCCTCGATCACACTCTGTGTATGTTTCAAGTCCTTTAGTGTATCCCCACATGTGTCACATTCTTGATCCTGTTGTGTGTGTTTATGTAGCGATCCTCTCTGCCTTGAGAAACCTTCAGGAGAAGATCAGACGGTTGGAGTTGGAGAAAGGGAGAGCTGAGGTCAATATACACACGATGAGGAAAGATGCACCACACACACTTCTGCAGAGTGATGGAGTCACAAGAAGACTTTTAAACGAGCAGACAGACGCACAAAAAGAGAGAAAGGACAGATCTGACTGTAACCAAGGTCTGTGCATGACTAAGAATTTGCAGACATTATACAGATTTTTTATGCTATCTCCTCTGTCTTGTATTTCATTGTGTCCTTTTGTTTTTCTTCTCAGTGTTAATCAGCCACCTGGCTGCTGCAGAGTCTCGCTGTGCAAAGTTAGAACGACAGCTGGACCACATGAGGAGGATGCTGCGTAGTGCTAAGGCAGACAGGACCAGCCTGCTCAAACAGCAGGTGAATAAGACGTTTCTCCACTTTAAGATGCACAAATTCAGTCATGAATGCAGTGATTTTACGTTAAATACTATCATCTTTGAGTTCTTGGATTGGTTTCATTGTATTAATTGATCTCAACACTTTAAGGTTTCCGTGGAAACAACCAAAGCAGCTCATAAACAGTTTGACCCATTACCTGAGCATGCTCAGTTGGAAAAGCTGGAGCGGCTGGAGCAGGAGTATCTTCGGCTGACACGCACACAAAACAACGCAGAGGTAATGACACAAATGAATACAGGTTTGGCAGGGGTCATTTATCTTAACCACTGGTGTGCATTGGTCAAAGAATGTGCATTTCTCTTCAGACATAATGGTACTGATTCCTCAAGTTTGTTCATTGATGAATGATAAAAAGCCTGAATACGGCTTGCTTACAGAACCAGTGGACTCCCACTTGCAGAGAATATAAGGCTGTGGTTCCCAATCTGGGGGGTCAGGTTTCCAAGATATCATCAAATGTCACCGTCAAAAATGTACAATAACAAAAATTAAAGACATTCAATTATTTCAAATGCTGAATATTTTTCATCAGCAGTGGTCTAATTGAAGTGATAAAACTTTCCTATTGGTTTAAAATTCTGGATCCACATCTGTTTCAAATTCTAACAATAACTAACCCTCAATGTTTAAGTTGACTCAGATTCTCTCACTGTTATCAGTATTAACATAATAACAATGATTTACTGCATCATCAGATGAAGATCCGAGAGCTGGAGGTGAAACTACTGGAGGAGGAGCACCAAAGAAAGCTGGTCCAGGATAAGGCCAATCAGGTAACAAAGCTTTAAAGGTATGGTATCTCTTTTTTTTATTCCTTAGAGAGGGCTTAGTCTTATTTTTATCTTTTTGTTTTCCCTCAGCTGCAGACAGGTTTGGAAGCCAATAGGATTCTGCTGCAGTCAGGGTCACCGCGTCTGTCCTCCAGACAGTCCAAAGAGAGAAAGTCAGACTCAAAGGTAAAGAACTTCACAGGTTTTTTTTCTTCATTTTTGTAGGTACATATTATCATGGGACATAACAGGGAATATGGATTCATTTTTTAGGATATGATTGCAGGTTCAACTCGCTTCCATAAAAGAGCATTTCCTTGTATATTTGACTTTTGGTATATGATGATTTTTGTCTTTCCAGAAACATTTACCTGCATCACCACAACGATCATCCTACACACAGCCACACTACAGACTGAGCCTCAGAGATGTGCCTTTTGTTGCTGGAACAGTAATACTGCATTAAGCACTGGAATAAAGTTGAATTTAGTTTTCATCCTTTATCTTTCTTCACACTGACTCTCACTGTCTCCTCAGTCGGTGGGCGGCAGCCACTCAGTCCGAGCCAACGTCCAGTCAGTTCTGTCTCTCCTGAAGCAACACCAGCCTCATCTCTGCAACAGCCACGTCCTCTCCAACAACAACTACGAGACAGGGAGTCCCAGAAGCTCGGCCTCTTCCTCTTCTTCATCCTCTGCTAGTGAAGAAGAGCTTTCAGAGCTTCTACAGGGGTTACAAGAGGAGCTGCGACTCATGAGCCTGTGAGTGTTGTCATATAGCTCAGTAGGGGTGTATTTCTTGGAATAGTGTTACATGTTGTTTATTGTGTTTGTGTTTTAAGGGAGCAAGACGAGTTGATGAGGCAGGTAGAGTCCAGTGTGTCTGAAGAGGAGAGAAAAGAGCTTCAGAGGGAGCAGGAGAGGCTGCTGCTGAAGATGGAGAGAAAAGGAGATCAGATCAGTAAGCTTTACAAACACAAAACACAGGTGGGTCCGACTCCTCACACAGAAAACACTTAAACACTAAAAACACGAAACAGCAACTGCAGGGATTTATGTGTTTCCTCCCTCTCCTTAGATAAAGAAGTATCGAAACTCAAGGCGAAATGAGGTGAGAGTGACAACCACAGTGTCCACCAGAGGTCGCTCTGCCGGATCAGTCAAAGTTCGACCAGGAGAGAAGAGCAGGAGGAACCTGGAGCTGCTGAGGGATATGAAAGCTCTACAGACCTCTTTACGGACCTGAAAACACACCAGGACATGAACACAGCATGCTGTGTCGGTGTTACATACGGTACATTCCCACAGCCATGTTTTTACAATTGGCTTGATAATCACTGAATGATGTGACTACTAAATAGTAAGTCCAGACCAAAACAAGTGTCTCTCCATGAGTATGTGACCTATGATTCTTTGAAAACAGTTTTTTTAACTGCAGTGAAAAATTTAGACACTGCTTGAAAAAGTTACGAGCTGGTGCATTACATCAAAACATGACAAAAATGTTGTCAGTAATACCGGCTCAGTTTTATTAGTAATCCAAAATACTTAAAGATACTCAATAGTTGACCAAGTTTTTTAAACCCCGTTAGAGAAAGTGTAGTTTTTTAAATATATTTCAGAGCTATTCTCTTTCCTAGAGTTGGTGGTTATATGTGTCACCAGCAGAGGGCACAAACTCAAAAATCACAGCTTTGTATGATGAGTATTACAGTTCATTTTGTGGAAGTTTTCTGGGAATAAAAAACAACTAACAGGAATAACTGTTCCCCAGAAAATACAGTAAAGGTGCAGGGATAGTTCCATTTCAATAAAGCCCAGTTCTTCAGACAATGACACATTCCTTGTTCTGCTTAATGGTTACAGAAAGTCAGTTTTTTTAAGTGACAGCAGCAGCAGCCTCTAGTGGTATAAAGACAGTTGCATTGGTGAAATGGTTTGATACAAATTTTTGCTGGTTACATTAAACAGAAGGACCTCAGAAGACCACACTGTGCTGAATTTTCTTAAGATACTGAATGACTTTGATACGTGAGATTGCTGAGTCAAAAATTTTGTGCAACAGTTGTTTAAAATTAGAGCATTTTCTATTTATTTCTACAAAAACATGCGGGTGGATTCTTGTTATTTTTGACAACCATGAGAGATGTTTTGGGAGTGATAGATAATTCTCTGAGATTATAAAGTATTTATGTCTGCAATTGCTTGAGTGGGTTTTTTATTTAGTTTGCTTTGGTGACAAACTGAATCATACTGCACACTGATAACCAGCCCTAGCATGAGAACTGGAACTCTGGTCAGGATGTCGACTTCATTACACTGAATTTGTAGCTTATTATACTAAAATTTAACACCCTGTCAAACTCACAATCGCACTTCAAGTATTTCTGATTTTATCCATTCTTTTAAAAGATTCATTCTCAACACTAGTGACTCAAACTCTCAGAGGACATGATTTTATGGATATGAAACATATACTTGTAGACAGCCAAAGCACTGTTCTAATGTTGGAATAGCATCCCATTCTCCATCACTAATATCTACAATAAATTTGCCTTAAGAGGAAACTATAATTATGATATCAAATTAATTTTTTATCAAGTTTTAATACCAAACATAAATATCTGTGATGAAATCTTTAACAATAATGTATTTTGGATTCCACAAAATCACATAATGAATATATTTTTATTTTGGACATCTGAAAAAAGAAACGTGATGTTGTGGATATCTAACACTGAAAGCTATAAAATAATGCTTGCATAAGGAGGCACATCATCTGTCTGAGTAAAAGTGGATTTTGAGTATAGGAAGAATTGAATTTTAGATATCTGAATACTCAGCCTAGCTCGTAGATGTTTTAAACTGCCTGCCATAGCACTGTACAAACAGACAGCAGGGATTCAATCTATGCTTTTTATACCAATTATAATTTTTCATGGTCTGACAAAACTTTGGATGTCTTTTGCCAAATCAGATTATAATCTCTGAAAAATTACCTGCTAAATTGTTGTTTCCTGTATCATGCAGCCCTAGTGTGAACCATACTCACTGCACAAAGTCCTCTTCATTCAGTCAATGGAAAAGTTAAACCTAATCTTACTATTTTATTCAAAATTATAGAGATAGTGAGAGCACTAGTAACAATCAATAACAATATATTAACATCTCAAAAAAAGGTTAATAACACTGATATATTATAAATTGTAGCTTCACAGTTAAAGGTGCCTTCAGGACCCGTTACAGTAAAAAACGTTCTGGAGAAACAGTCAGGAAACAGGTCACGTGTCCAAACACACTCCTGGCCCCCTTGACGACGCATTTTGGTTTACAAGGTAGAAGGAAACAAGGATAAATAAACAATGAGCTCAATGATGCTCCGGAGATCTGAGTCAGCGACCATAATTGTCTGTAAAAGCGCGGTCACCTGCACACGCCATAGCGACACCTGAAGTTCAGAGCAGAGTATGGACATCTGATCCTCGCTGCAGAGGGCCCCCAGGTGTCATCACTGCTGACCGGGCCTGGATTGCCATGGCAGGGTGAAAACATACACCTGTAACCAGAGTCCTCTGTTTGTGTGGTCAGGTGTGATAAAATCGGTCTGCTGGGTTGCTCAGTAAGGACTCCAATCTACTCCAAACTAAATGATAAAGAGGATCTGCTCATGTGTTCATGTTGTCCAAAGTCTTAAAGGGTCCTGCTTCCTCTCTCATGATTCTGTCTCAGATATGGAGGCCAGCTCTGTGATTTTAGGCTCCTTTTGCTTCTTCTTCAGAACCGGTCTACTGGTATAAATATCATCCACCGGTAGAAGGAATGTAACAGTTTTTACCTTTGTCCTAAAAAAGTAAAAAAAAAGGATTTTATGTCAAAGGACTGAACAAAAGAATCAGTACCTTTACAAACACAAAACAAGAGCAAAATTAACGCAAAACACTTGAATTAAACTTATTGTTTCTTCTGATTTTTACCTGTTTTTGTGCACATATTCCTGCAAAGAGTGCCTGTTGTTAACTTCTCTGGCTGGGTTACCAAAGATGGCGTTACCATGGCGATGGTGGATGCCTTCTTGTAGTCGTGCCCAACCAGAGTCCCTCTGCTGTGCCCTGTCAGACCCTCCTCCTGTCATCGTCACCCCAGACAGGCTGGAGCCCATAGAGTATCTCCGAACAGTCATGACGGTATTCTCTGTGAAATAATATGAAAACAGTCCATAAGAAAAATAGTTTAAAAAGCAAATATGGAAAGACTGTTAACAAATATAATTTATTTGAATTTGAATTTATTGAAGGATAGCCCCTTGAGATGTAGCATCTCATTTTCAAGGGGGTCCCTAAACAAACATACATAGAACTCAGGACACGTTACATTACATGAATATACATAACATTAGAACAAATACAAACATCTTGCGCACCCTATTCCCACACACAACCCTAACCAACATACAAAGTAGACAAAAGTTATTAACAAGGAAAAATAATGTGAACATAAATGCAAAAAAGTAAAAAAAATAAATCAGAAATATTAAAAAAAATTTACATTTTGATTTAATTTAGTTTAATTCTAAGTTGATGTTCACGATCATTTTCATATAATGACTTTGAATAAATGCATGCTTTTCTTGCACTTTTTCACACCTGGTTGCATTTCTCAGTAGAAATGTGTTAAAAAATTATGCATTATGGGGCCTGCAGGAAAAAAGGGTTTTTGGCACTTGGAATTTTAAATTAAATTTTTTGACATTATTCCTTTAAAAATATAATTTGGGAGACATCCAAACTAATAAATTTGTGATCTTCAACCGTAGGGGTCCTGGTTTATACTCTCCAATAAAAGGCTCTTGAGTTGCATGATGGGACCTGTAGAATCCAGTGTTTAATTGTCAGACTAGATCAGTGTTTCTCAACTGGTGGGTCCCGATCCAAAAGTGGGTCATGGACACGTTCTGGATGGGTCATGAACAGCGGGTCAAAAAAATAAATATTAAATGCAATATTTATTAGATATTCAATTTTTTTTCTGTGTATGCAACTTCAGTAGTTGTCACCCTCATGTTGTCCTCAGTTCATGTGCTCTGAAATGCACTTTACTCAATAAAAACTGTGTATTTATGTTAAAGATTTGGGTTTTTAAAGTTTTTTTTTTTTCCTGAAAAATACATTTGCTTGGGTTGAATTTTATAAAAGTAGGTTGCTACTTAAGGAACATGGGAAAAAGTGGGTCCCAGAGTGAACCAAGTTGAGAACCACTGGACTAGATCTTAACAGGGAAATCACAACATCTTGGTTTTCCTTATAAGACTTCTTAACATTCTTACTCATTGTGTTTATCTTTTGGGGGCATATACTCGATAAGAGTTATTCTGAACTGTTTTCAAGGCTCTCTTTCCCTTTCTTTACAAAAAGGATCTGACATTGCTTAAGGAGTTTAACCTTGAAGACTACATTTTCACAATCAGCTCTCTGGAGAAAAGACCACTTTAAGGTTCATATTTTCATATATACACTGTAAAACTTGCAATGCTTTTGTCTTGTTTCTTGAAGTTAAAAGAGAGAGGTGGAGACAGAAATATCTTCTGCATACACCTTCTTCCTTACCTTTGTATTGTCCCTCTAACACCGGTGCAGATGCATTCCTCCTCAGGTTTACATAGGGGTTCTCCGGCTGCTCCTCACCTGACATTCCTTTATACCCCCTCTGTCCGTAGTCCCCCCTCAACTCCCGGTTCTCCTCCTCCAGCTTCTTAATCTCATCGCGCATCTCCATGATGACATGCGCCAGGCTGCGCGTACTCTCCATGCTGCTGCTGCTGCGCTGCCAGAACCAGGGCTTCCCAAACACAGGGAGGGAGTCATGCAGGAGGAGCTCGCTGTGCTGCTGCTGAGGCTCCAACATGCTGCAGCTCCTCGGGGGGGTTTTGTGGTCCTCCGAGTCTTAGTATGTGTCTGTGAGCTCAATCTCAGTCCAGATCTTGTTCTGAGGAAGATTATGTCGCCTTTCACCACTTATACCACTGAAAGGACTCCGGTGATCAGCTAGCAGCACACAAAGAATGTTTTATTAATCAGGCCTGGAGTCCAGTTTCAGGAAAACGAAGCAGGGGTCGGATCTGAAGGGAGCTCTGCAGAAGAGCTTGCATGACGGGGGGGATGAGAGAAAGCAGAATCCCCACTCAAATAGAGAGAATTTTTGGTCTTTAGATATGCGTAAAGACTTAAATATTTGGCTCAAGCAAAATCAGGAGTGACCAGATTTTTTTGCACCTCTCTTTTCTTAATGCCACGTAAAGATCTGCAGCTGAGTCTACAATATCCTCTCTCTAAATTATTGATTAAAACTGTCAACAGAGACAAATCTAAGACAGAAACGGAGAAAAACCAGCTTTATGAGTTGTTCTGGTTCAGACTGAGATGCTAAAAGAAACTTTTACCCAGATAAACATCATGAATTAAAACTGTGTTGATTTTCTATCAGAATCATCATTATGGTTGAGGTTGAAATTTCAGTGCAAAATCAAAATTGTTGTAAGAACAATGGAAACTGACGATAAAGTAGAGGAGACCCGGGCTTTTTGTCACACTTTTTACACTCTTAAATATTTCTTGGAATCAATTCATCATATATAAACAAAATATGTACCAGATGAAAGACCAAAGACTCATGTATATATTTCATATTCATGTCATTTTCATATCCTGTGTCAGTTCAGAGTTATAAGCGATCAAATAGAGAGTGTGAACATTTGACATGTTGCACCAACAAGTAAAATCCTGAATCTTTCCATTAAAGGGCAGCAGCCTTTCACACCACAGGTGAGCTTTGTTGAGTTTACCTTTTAGGTCTTTTCATTTTACTGTTTTATTGTTCAAAAGCACAACTTAAGCTTTGTGTAAGTAAAGCATGTCCTCCTTCACTCATTGATGCCATTTTTTCAGGGCTTGCTTGTGTAATCTGATCTATTTTCTACTATGTTGCATTGATACAAAACCACGGTCTAGACAGGAAGCCAGAACTTCCTAGCTGTAAAAAGAAAGCCAATAACTTCATCATTAACTTTATTTTTGTGTCTGTGTTTTCTGTTTAGATGTTCTGAAATATCACATCAAAGCAGCAGCAGTATCTGATTTTACTATTGTTCAGAAATGGTCCTGCTACATCCAAGACTTAGTGAGTGGGACTGAACACTTGACAGTCGTGGATAAAATCTGTAAAGAATAAAATCTAACTGGTTCTTTGACTGAATCTTGTTGAAATGAACTAAATAAACTTTGTTCAACTTGAAAAGATGTAAAACTGTGTTCTGCAGTATAAGCACAATTTGATAAATAGTATATTTATGACTTTAAATTCCCCCCAAAACTACAGTGGTCTTCATGTGCACTACAGGGAAAATGAGAATACACAACCAGAAAACACAGAACACAAATCAGTTTGAAAAGCAGAATTACAAAATGCATCGTGTTGGTTTAAGGTAGTTTGAGATATTTTTTGTTTGTGTCTTTGCTCACAGTAACTTGAGCCCTGACAGGGTCCAGGCCACCAGGACGGAGACAGACAGGCACACATAAACCCGTCTGTACAGGAGAGAAACCCAATCAGCCTCTTCTTTCTGGTTCACAGAATAGGCTGCAGAGAGGGAGGGTTGCAAGAGAGGATTCAGAGAGGAGGACTGATTGGCTGTAAGTTTTCAAGAGGAGACAGGAGGTCAGTGAAACATGATCTGATACTCCTCAGGTGTGCGACCACAAAGGACAGTGAAGACAGAGTTGTGAATGTGTCAGCGTGTTAGCCAGGCAAGTATAAAAACAGAGACGCATAGAGACAGAGGACTGCATGCTGGGTTTTACCAGCAGCCGCGTGTTCAGTGGCACTTAACCTCTTTTTATGCCCACAGCTTTAAACCCAAAGCTTAGCATCAATAAATAAAGAAGCACTCTGTTGCTCTCTCTGCATGGCCTGTAATTATACACAACAACAGGGAAAAAAAACACACACCAGATCCCATAGTGTCCCTGTGCCTGAGCATGGGCTGAATTTGATCGTTCCAATAGAATCAAAGGTTTGCAGTGTTTACTGTTTTTAAATTCAGTCCTTCACAGATTTGAGAGAAGTACTGTGCCAAAATTTTAAATTTTAATGAGGGTCTCTGTCTGAATAAATCAACAAATGTGTCTTCAGTTTATATCCTTTCATGGATTAAATTAGGAACTGCAGAAAAGTGAAGATAAACCGCTATCCTAACTGATTTAAGTGTTTAAGCAATCCAGGGTGAATGAGAAATCAAGATATTCAAGATATTCAGCAACATCACAGGTAAAGAAAGATCTCACATAAAGGTTTTTTTTTACGGTCTTGCTCCCATTTATAGGGTGGAATCTTTTAAGCTTTATTGCAATCGATTTCTTTTTCCAGCAGGACCTGGCACCTACTCACAGTGCCAAAACAACCGGAATCTGGTTTGTTGACTCTGTTATTATTGTGCCTGATTGGGCCCCTTCCATTGAAGCCTCCATCTTCCACAACCATGTTTCTACAGAGGCACAGAATGGACAAACTGGTAACATATGCATGTTTGTCTGTAATAAACGGCCATGTCAAATGCATCTGTTTGGAAATGTTCCCAAATGCCAATCCCAAAAGTTTTTTTTTTAATGTTAGCTGTCTGCACAAGTAGGATAATCAAGAAAAGATTTACCACATATGGAAAACCACATGTGCTCCGAATGTCATGTCCTATAGGATAAAAAAAGTCACTTGATATACGACACCCTAATATGAGTACTGAGGATTAATAAGTGGTGAGAGAAAAGATGGAAAATTTTGGACACTAACAAAATTTTATTTAAATGTTATACATAAAACTTTAGTTTTTGTTCTTTTTTAAATTCAGCTAAACAAATATTTATATATTGTATATTTTATAAAAAGAAACATTTCAAACATTTCAAACATTTTTAAATATTAATATTTCTTATTTACAATTCGAAACAGTACATGAAATAATAACAGTAACAATGCAAATCCAATCATAAAAATGTTACAAAACATAAGTTTTTTGTTTGTTTTTCCGTTTGAAAATTGGCTAGCTGATATTTCCAGAACATTAGCAAGGATACAAAGTAGCAATGTGGAGCTGCTCTACATTCAAACAGGAACATGAGGTGCGTTCAACCCTTCAAATGCTTCGTAATGTTAGTCAAAGACCTGCGATCCAAATCCTTTTTTTCTTCACATTAGTCATCTTTCAAGTTCTTTTAAAATCATTCAAAGTAAAATGGTACCTCACAGAGAAAACGTAAAAACTGGATTAAAATGCTCTGAAAAGCTTTGTTTAACATAGACAGCTGAACGCACCTCAAGCTCAGTAAGGTCACTGTTCTCTAAAGGGACAGGGTTGTGGAGAGAAGGCGCATGTTGTGTGTTGGTATGCATTCGTTTTGTGTGTGTGTGTGCGTCAAGAGTGTAAGCGGTTGAATCAGTCGGCAGGGCGGGGAATCCATCCTGAAAAAACAAAAAAAAACAAACAGGAGCTAACTGTCCAGTGGCCTAGCATCAAACTGTAGATAGTCAACTTTCAAACCACGGGACCACAGACTATCACGACCACAGTCTACACACTTCTTCTTCTTCTTTTTCATCCCTTGTTTTCTCTACACTCGCCATCAATCACAGTTCCACTATTTCCAAAAATGAGCCTCAAGCTGGCGCTCCGAAGACATTCAGGGGGGAAAAGTTGGCCTTTTTTTTCCAGTGAGGCTACTGGCCGTTTAGTAGGCGCTGTGCCGTTCCGTTCCTGGTTGTCTTGTGTGAGGAATCTGGACGGGAACAAGAAGAAGAACGTCAGGCAGTAGTTTGGCTATAGATGGGTTTGGAAAGGTTGGGTTGTGGGGTGGATTCGGCACATAGAAACAAAGCTTGACAGTAGATTGTGTAAAAAGCTGGATGAAAATGACAGCTCCTCAAAAGTGAAGCCAAAACATGACTGGCAGCAGAAAAAGACAATAAAGCCTGCCTCCTGTAAAAACAATTAAAAGTTTTATTGTTTTAGTGTTTGTTTTTAGTCGTTTGTTTCTATTGTTTTTAAATCAGTTTTTAAAAACATAGAAACTATATTTTACTTTATAATATCTGCTTTTATTTTATCAATCATTTTAATTGTTTTTTGATTGTTTTTCTCTTTTGATTGTCTGCGTTGTTTTGTCTATTTATGTACAGCACTTTGTTCAGCTGTGGTTGTTTTAAAGTGCTTTACAAATAAAGTTGAGTTGAGTTGAAAAACACCAGTGCCTTATGTCAATACTTTTGACTTCACTTTTGCACAACTGGTGGTGGAGACATGTTGTCCATCTTTAAACACAGTTCAAGGATTTACTGCTTTCATGGAGGACCTCTATGACATACCAGTCTTAGAAAGAGTGGACAGAGAGCTGGCAGAGAGAGATGAAACACTGGCAGCAAGAACGCGTTTTTGCAGCTGTAATGAGAGTAGAAGTTGAAAAAAAGCCAAAGAGACCACAGATGCCGATGTTCATGAAAATGCAAAATGACGTATATAGAAAAAAATGCAAAGAGGAAGATGACACCCATTATGACAGGCAGCTGAAAGACACTCATTGGTTATTGCATTGTGAGACCTGCTCATTCATGATGCCTGACAGCTCAGTCAGCATGTCCCTGTAGTGAGCTCTCATCTCCTCCTGGTACTCCAGTTGATCCTCCTTGATCAGACGCTCGTTCACATCCAGAGCCTGACCGCAGGCTTCTGCAAACTGCCTGCAAAGAGGTAACAAAGGTTTATTTATTGATGAGCAATAATTAAAAGCGTACATATAAGTGTGTTATGGTGCTCTTGTGTGTTGTATTTTACCTGAAGATCTCTTTCAACAGTTTGACCTGGTTGTCTGGATATTTCTTGGCGTTCTTTTCCTCTAAGAACGCTCTGGCATAAGCCATAGGCCCGGCATTCACCTGCGATGGAAACACAAGGTGAGATGAAACAAAGCACTTAAAAATACCGTGGTGACTGAGGTAAGAAGGACCTGTACCTTCACACTGACGCTGCCCTGCAGTTTCAGCTGCAGCCGGATCATGTCCACCTCCTCCATGTTGCACAGCTGGTTGAGCTCGGAGACTTTGCGGGACATCTCATCGATGGCGACCTCGATGGGGTTCATTTCTGTGCTCTGCTGCTCCACCACCTGGATACGCTTCTTCAGGTAGGGGAAGCTTGAACTCGCTAAAGAGACCAAGAATAATGTCAGAACAGAAATAAACCGACACTTCTTTCTATTCTCTTGATATTTCTGTTCTTACTGGTTAGAATGGTGCGTCTCTTGCACTGCTCCTCCACATCTCCGTGTTTCTTCCCTGACAAAGTGAATGGCGTCTCGAACACGAAGCGGTTGATGTTGTGATGTCTCTCGAAGTCCGTCCTTTTCTCCTGTTGTTCTTTCTCGTCAAAGTAGGGCACAACGTACGTCACCTGGATGTAGGCAAACTTAGGGTCCAGGTCTTTAGGATTAACCTGTTTTTAAACGAACATTCAACAAGCATTAATGAACATCCACTGAAGTTATACCTAAAAAAAAAAATAGTAATTAATAAGTTTAAATGTCTCCATTTATGACCTTGTTGGAGTCCTGGATCATCTTGACATTATCAGCTCCAAACTTGTCCGAGTAGAGTTTGAGTAACCTCTGGGAGATTTCTGACAGCCCTGTCAGCTTGGGCTCTTTGTAGATGAACTCTTTGCTCTCCTCCTCCTCAAAGAAACCCTGAAAGACACACACATACATACATACACATACACACACACACACACACACACACACACACACACACATATACACTAATTAACAAGATATATCACATGTACAGTACAGTTTACATTTCTGCAAAGCAAATTCAGTTTTTATAAAAGTTTTTGGTTTTGCTTTCACACCACACTGTAAACATGTCAGTCCTGTTTTATGTCGCCCCCTAGTGGTCATAGGCCAGATTGAGTGTTAGCGCAACTCAGCCTTCACAGTGTTAAGTGCCGGATGGGAGAGGTCGGAGGTCAATTTCAAAGCAGCATTGGAGTAAAATGTCAAAGGTGGAGGAGGATCATTAAATTATATCTTTCTTTTCAAAGACGGCTCTTTAAATCTTCAAACTTTAAGAAGGAACAATGTCATCTTGGCAATAATGGGAAGTAAAATGGACCACAGCAAGCTTGACACAAACCCTTTGGGAGGTAAAAGCAGACAGTGTTAATAGTGGAAGAAGGAGAAGAGAGGTAAACACGGTTAGCACTGAGGAAAATGGAAATCCAAAGACATACAGAACTTACCGCAATCTTGATATAAAATATAAAAAAAAGAAGAAAAGAGCAGACAGACGATTAAGGAGACTAACTCAAAAATAAAGGCTGCAAGTTACACCTTTTTGACTACAGCAATACTTTTAGATTCAAAACTTTCCTCCCAACAGAGCTTTAAAAGACCTTCATATAAGTACGACCTTTTTGTCAAGGGTCCAGGCTGGTAAAATCAAGCCTGTTAGTCACTGATAAAACCAGGAATTAAAGATAAACAAGGGCGTGACTCATTATTTTATACCAAACATGCTTTTAACACTTCTGAAAAAAATCGGAATTCTTGTAATGGGTATTTTTTTTCTTCAAACATAGCTTCCAAAGACCTTCAGATACGCATCATTGTTTTCTTTCTGAGTTAATTCATCTATGAGTGAGAACAGAAACAAAGACATAGGCTGACAAACTCTATCAGTTAGCAGTAGATCAGCATCAGTAAAGAAGTACAGTATTTTTTGTTTGTTTTTGTGTCTTTAAGTGATGTTCTCACTCTCCACTCCCTCCTAGACTCCTTTTTATGCACCACATTATGAAAAAAGTAGTCCACACAAAAACCTTACAGAATATCATCCTCACAAATTATTCACCTGTCCATAGAAAGCCACGCGGTAATAGCGCCCAAAGAGCCGCTTCTCTGAGTTTACCACTTCAGTCACTTTCAGATAGGAGCGATGGATGTCATAGTACAGCTCTGACAGCCTCTGTGGACACACAAAGACACACACAAATGAGATTTCATGTATCAATATGAAGAAGAAGAAGAAGAAGAAGAAGAAGAAGAAGAAGAAGAAGAAGAAGAAGAAGAAGAAGAAGAAGAAGAAGAAGAAGAAAAAGAACTTTATTAATCTCGAGGGGAAATTCATGCTGATGAGTTTAAAGATTTGGGGGGTTAACACTCACCTTGAAGTCCCGCCTCTTTTCAAAGACGGCAATCACAGGTTTGTTGATGTCAGCGATGAGCTCGTGTCTCTCTGATTTCCACAGATAGTCCACACACAGCTCCAGCTGCTCCACCAGGGTGTCCTACACACAGCAGAGAGATTACGTCCTCTGAAGGTTGGGAACATCACATTTTTATAGAATAAGCGGTTAAAGACTATCACTGACCTCTGTGTAGGGTGTGTCTTGTGTACCAGTGTCTTCCTTCATGGCTCCTTCCTCTTTCACATTCGGGCTGATGCACATGAACGCCGCCCAGCCCATAGAGAACGACGCTGCGGTTTCAGACAAGTGAGAGTGATATTAAGACACGTGAAGACTCATGAAGACAAAAGGGTCACACGGTATCTTGCTGATATGATTTTACAACATCAAACAGGTATGCTCTTGTGTTATAAAACAAGAATACAAATACAGAGACATCGAACGTGAGCGTGCTCCATATCAGACCTCAGTGAACTGGAGTGAGCAGGTCAGACAGACAGTGACAGCAAAAATCAAACTTGGCACAGATTCAAATCATCGAGGCAAGAACAATGGTCCTCAAATCGCAGCTGCATGATTAAAAACCCGACACATCAAATAAGAGGTTCTTCAATCCAAACCATCTCCACCTTTTAGTGTTAATGTTACCCATGATCCCTCATTCCTATAATCTGAGCTACCACCCCACCACCACCCAGCAGGCCCACGGCGCACACACTCACTGTCTGGTTCTCGGGAGGTAGTTAGTAAGGAGCTACAGTTATAGACAGGACTTTCTTCAGGGGACACACTGGACATCCTGGCCTTGTCAGCTCTCCAGTACCCTGTTTGGCAGGAGTGGAGGGGTAAGGAGGAGGAGGAGGAGGTTTACAGAGTTCACATCCACTTGCTTTTGCCTGTTGCTCTAAGAGACGGAGCTCAAAACACTCAGCTGAGAAACTTGCATGCTGCAGTAGCAGTTTGAGCGCAGGCTCAGTGAAACTTGCTTTGGGTTCAAGGAGAGAGCATGCACACGGAGGAGGAAACAGATTTGCAGGTGGAGGAACATGCAAGGCAGCAAGATGTGTAGGCTGGGTCCCTACTTGACCTTGTGAAAGGAAATGGCAGAGGCATGCAAGAACAGATCGATACTCCAGAATGGCAGTATATAACTCCATCTTCATATACCACAAGCTTCTGACTCATCTTCACCACACACGTGGCACACTTATTAACCAGTGTGCTGACTTTCAGGCATACAGTTCAGATGGAGACAGATGCGTCAAAGTTTCAGGAGTTTTCAATGACAGAGTTAGAGATGATCATGTCAGCAGACAGAGAGAAAGGTTTTCTGATTGTCAGAAGGAGACTGTGATAGGACTCTGTGGTTAGAAATGACCATGACTCACTGCAGCAGCAATAAAACAGCCCTGAATACACACAAAACCCCATGCTGAAAGGAGTTAGAAAGCAGCAGAATGTGAGCACTTACCTCTCCTCTTGAGCGACTCAGCAATCAGAGCCGAGATGTGGATGTAACACATGGCAGCCTGAGGAAAAGTCAGAAGAAGTACCATTTATTTGGAGTGGGACTTTGGTCTGCAACCAATTTTATGTTCATGAGGAGCAATCAAAAAGTAGAACCTCCGAGAGGTCGCCGTTGCGGACATGAATCTTAGCCATGCTCTCCAGCCAGGTGCGTCGTAGCTCCGGGGTACTGGCATAAGAGTTGGCCAGACTGTACTGGAGATCCACCAGCATCTCTGGATCCTTTTCGTGCTCCTTCATCTGAGCTGTAGCCATCAGGACCGTCCTGATTCGTTTGGTCAGGTCCTTGACTTCAGCAGGGAATGGAGTGTTCTGCAGGAAGATGTTTCACTCATTATTTTAAACAACTCTTATTATCAATGATGGAGAAGCTTTGATGAGATAACTTTGCCCCACCTTGAGTGGTGCATCTCCGTTGGCAAAGTTGTTGATTATAGCCAGGGACTGTTGAAATCTTGAACCTCCAATGCCAGCATCTGCTATGAGCTGGCTCACTGCCTTTATAACCTACGATAAAATGAAGCGTGAGGTGGACAAATGTCACACTGTAGTTTTTCATTTATCTGCTCATATAACACTCTGCGCCACTGACCTGCAGATGTGAACGGACAATAGACTTGCCCTTTGTAAACTCAAAATTTTTCCGCATGAAAAAATACAGGAGGGCAGCGGCCTCTGTCTGTGTGGAGCTGGATCGATGGTTACAGCACTTGAGGATCTCATAGCACAGACAGCCACACAGGTCTGCCTTACCCTGGAAAAATGCACTGGGGAACTGCAGGGAGAGACAAAAGTAAAACTGCATGTTCAAAAATCAATTCATATTTTTTTTTAAACAATTTGTTCAAATGAAGAGCACGATTTACCTTTTGCACAAAGAGCCTGAGTGCAGCAAAGACATGCCGTAGAGTGGCTGTTGATTGGTTGATTTGAAAGAAGAGCAAGTAGGTGTCCAGCACCTTCTTCATCAGTGCGTTTTGTCCTTCATCCAACAGCAGCTGCTTCTGTACAGGTGTGTGTAAGAGGACAAAAGCAGGAGAAAAATGGGTATCACTTTACAATAACCATAATTTATAAATGGTGAATAGATAGTTTATTAATGTTTAATCATCATTTAAAAACAGCATAGAGACCAATTATAAATAGCAAATAGATAGTTTATTAATGTAAATTCATAGTTACTTTAGCATTAACAAGCAATGAAATTATGATTAATAATTTTTATTAATTATAAAAGGACTATTTATTTAGGGTTTGTATAGGGTTTAAATATTGGTTGTAAAACATCTAGATTAAAATGTGTGTAAGTAGCACTTAAATAAATGGTTAATATTTGGGTTTTAAACCATCTATAAACATTACTTAACTGTTTATTGTAAAGTTGCAACTGATGTTTGTAATACTTTGTAAATGATTATTAAGTGGTTTATAAACCATCTATAAACATTACTTAAATGTTTATTGTAAAGTTTGGGTTAGGTTTTTAAAACTACAAAATTTACAATTTATTAATGGTCTATAGGCTATTTATAAATGATGATTAAACATTAATAAACTATCTGCTTACCATTTATAAATGGTCTGTTTACCATTTGTAAGTTATGGTTATTGTAAAAATGTTTAAATTTTAAAAATCAATCCCTCTTTTCAAACAATAAGGACAGACCACTTTATACTTAAGAGCCACCAGGTGGCAGCAGAGCACCTACAGTGTGGTTCAATGTATCTGTGCATGTTTTAAGTGCATACCACTCTGGCTCTACAAACGATTGTAAAAAGGTTAAGTCCTATGAATCAGCAGTGGATGACATATTTTATATGTATTTTTTAATAAATTTCACAATCATGAAATCTGGGGTCACTTCAATGATTGTAAATTTGGAGTAGATGGATTAGAATTTAGGTGGATTATCATATTTCCATTTCTGCCTTTTGGATTGAATGTACAGGAAATACACGTAAATACTTTTGGCAGCTTGTCTCCCATATATGGTTGTGACTTAAGTATAGTTAATGCAAAAAATACCATTTGAAACACACCACACCCTTAGAAAAAGTACAACAGATGATACACACAGTAAGTGCGACCTATAGAAGGACTACAGACCTTGTGATGGTGAACGAAGAGCTCGAGCACATCCAACACAGTGAGGGACACCTCCGTGGACAAGTTGGCTTCAATATCTGTTGGACTCAGATTGTCTCCATCCTGGATATTTCCATCTGGAAACACAATCAGACATTAAAAACTCAAACCCACCAGAGTTAGTTTGCATTCATCTCAGGTGATATCTATCAGTGTGTGTCTGTGTCACCTGTCTCCATCATTTGCAGCAGCTTTGGATTGGTGAGAGCGTTCTTCCCCCTGATGATGGGCATGGTTTGAGAGCGAGCATGTCTGTGACCGTCCCCTGATGATGCCATCCTGGAGGCAACAGCAGCTGGTATCAATCACAGTGCTCACAACTACACTGCAGCCAATGAATTACCAAATCTTTTGCAACCTGTTGGTCAGCTGTCTCTAGAGATCTTGTCTTGTGAACATTCACAGATGGGAATACAGATACAGAGACTGGTACATCAAGAACACAAACACAGCAGGTGTGACGAGGGACATGCTGAGAACACAGTCTACGTATATCATGGAAACACACAAGTGGTTACGTCAAACATGATTACACACAGGACAGAGGTGTGTTTATCTAAATCCAAGTGTTGTAGGCTGTAACTGATTTAAAGTTACGGTTTAACAGAAGTTTCATTAGCATTAACTACAACGTCAGTGACCAAAGACTCTTGTGTCCTAAAGCAACACTGTCATCATGGCTGAGGCATTTTCCAGGTAAAGGAGGGTGATTACCATTGTGGGAAGAGGCTGGAGGGCTGGGAGGACTGGGAGGGGTGGTTAGAGCCCTTCAGGGTGCCGTTGGCCTGGGTGGACTGGGCCAACTTTACTGCCGCCGCTAGCTTCCTGTTCACGGGCCAATCACATCAAAGCTAGCATTAGTTAGTTGAGTTGTTTGGTGTTCATCAGTGTTGACATAAGTCCGCTGTGTAACTGCGTGATGCATCCTTGCAGTTGCTTGTGCATGTCAACACTAAAGGATCTTTAGGTGTTACTATAGACAGTTTTCTTTTTGCACTTTAGTGATATTGTTGTATATTTACAGAGACTTACTCTATGACAAGCCATTAATGATAAATCATTCATTTGTCTGCTGGGATAGGGACCAGTAAGGTTGTCATGTTGGCAGTGGAATCGAGAGATTTCATGTAAAGTCTGAGTTGTAATACTATCAGTGCAAAAAACACACATTTCTATGTTGCATGTAAACGACTGTTGGTTTTATTGGGATTTATTTATCTGCACTACAATGGAGACACTAAGGTATGTGCAGCACTTGAGTTCGAGAGGGAATAAAAAAGTGTATTATGTCATTCAGTACAGTAAATGCTGTATGTGCATATCAAAAATAGCTTAACATGTTGCACATATCAGAGTAGAACTTTTAATATTTTTAAGTGGAAATAACAATAATACTGGTCTTTTTCTATATGTGAGGAATTTCATTGTAGACGTCATTTTTTGTTATTTTAGCTGGTGAAAAATAAACACCTATATTTAGAATAAGAATTACTTTATTGACAAATAATATGGGAGTAATAATAATAATAATAATAATAATAATAATAATTTAAATAAATAATAATATAAAAAAATAATATAGATAAATAAATTTATATAATTAAAATAATAATATAAATAAATAATATAGATAAAATTTACGACATATATGAAAATATCAGTGGATTAGTTTGACTTGCATTGGTGAAATTGTTTCTTAAAAAGCTAAAATGAGTATTTTCAGTACTCAGAATGACAGTCTCTTACAGTATGTATGTTACATACAGTAAGTATGTATGAGGAAATGAAAGTGAAACTAAACCAAGACTAATCCACCCAACCGATTAAATGTTAAATGGCTCGTCATAGTAGGTCACATTGAAAGCTAAATAAGAGCTAAAAGCACACAGGATTCCTGATTTGACCCGGGACTTGTGGGAGCATCTAGATTCAGAGTTAAGGGAAGTCAGCCAGATGGAAAGGTGAGTGGTGTGGCAGAGTCAATGGTTTCAGTTTGCTATTAAGATAGTATAGTGTGATTTTTCTTTCAGCTCATTAGAGTGTTAGTGGAGGTCAGCATTAGTGCATAAAAAAGAGGAAGGAAAAGTGATACGGATGGAAAGACAACGATTTGATTTCAACAAACAGATGTTGAATGTGTCAGATTCTTAGCGTGTCAATGAAAGACTTTAGGTGAAATGACTGTCAATCATGCTGAACATTGAATGTATGTGATAAAGAAAAGGGAATACAAAACCAGCATACAGAACCAGCATACCGCCCCTGTCTTTACACAGTAAATACAAAGGGGGTTTACATGATGCAATGCAACACCAATAATGCGCAGTCATACTGACTTCCACTAACATCAACAGCAGCATGCACAAAAGGGGACTCGGGGGCATGCTCAGGGTTGAACATGGAGAAACATTACGATTATTTATTTGTGCTGTGATGTGTTTATTGTACATGCTCATGAAGGGTGTCTGCATCTGTGCTTGAGTCTAAATGTGGCTTAAGTTAAGGAGGTGAGTCACCCTGTAACAACAAACAAACTGCAGCATTGTCTGGTTTAGCAACGGCTCTAACAAAAGAGCTTCTTAATCAGCTTTTTATGAGTATATAAAAAAAATACAAGAACAGATTTCTGCCGAATCTAAAACAACTTTGGTTATTGTGTTTCTGCATATGTGTGTTTGCATACATCTCAATCAAATCTACTAATACCATTATACTATAAATTAGAATTGGTGATATCATGTCAGTCTACGGGCCAATTAAAGGGATATTCTGGTGTAGAATTAATTTACACCAGACCACTTGCTTCTCTAGTTATACCAACTTTAGTAACGACCGCACAATAGCAATACACAGCGGACTAAGGAGCCATACACAAACCTCAACCAAAACGCCACTCTATAGCCATAAATAATGCTCAGAACAGCACCTTCATCAACAATATTGGGTCCCAGCCACAGCACTAGCCACCAAACATCTTTTTAACTTTGCCTGATTTCTTTAGCAAAGAGACTAAACACAACTCACCTACTCTCTTCCAGCAGCCACTTGTTTGTAGGGAGACCTCAGGCCAGTCCATTACGGACTGCAGCGGGGTGACGCAGCTCAAGGAAGAACATTTATGATCTGTATCTCCCCGCTGAAGTCCGTAATGGACTGGCCCAAGGTCTTGCAACAAACAAGCGGCTGCTGGAGGAGAGTGGGTGAGTTGTGTTTAGTCTCTTTGCTAAAGAAATCAGGCAAAGTTAAAAAGATGTTTGGTGGCAAGTACTGTGGCTGGGATCCTATATGTACTGTTGATGAAGTTAGGTGCTGTTCTGAGCATTATTTGTGGTTATACAGTGGCGTTTTGGTTGAGGTTTGTTTATGGCTCCTCAGACTGCTGTGTATTGCTATCCTGCGGTCGTTACTAAAGTTGGTATAACTAGTGAAGCAAGCAGTCAGCAACAATCATCTCTTGAGGGGGTGTCTAACTCAGTGTTCGACCCTAAATTAATTTTTACGCTGGAATATCCCTTTAAGGTTTGATAACATGCAAGTTTTATACTGGAGGTGTTAGTACTGCCAATCAAGTTTGATAAAATAGCATCCAACATTCAGTTCAACTCACTGAATTTAAAAACAGCTCTTACTTTTCTCCTATTGTAGCTTTAACAATCAATAAAACATCACTATAGGGAATATTTACTTATTCAAAACAAGTTTCCAGTTGCTCGAATGCTCAAATTTGTTGTCTGACAGGCTGGCGGACTTTCCAGCTTGCTGTCTGGCTTCACACTGCTAGTGTAATTCATTACTCCTGAACTTCAGTGGGCACCCACTCTGACTCAGCCAGGCATCAAAGAGCCAACAGAGAGAGACACTGAGACAGACACAGGCGTAAGACTGTGAATCCCCCCATGGCCCAGTATTACAGACGAATGTTAAGTAGCTAGAAGCCCCAGACAGGCTCATCAACGTCTGAGAGTGCTAGCTAGGCCTCCAGCTATCTTTATTCTGTTAATGCCTCCACACACAGAAAAGCAGTGTGTTCTCCCAGCCTTTTGTTGGCTTACATCTCAGCATCTTACTGCTGAAAGGAAAAAGAGGGCTAATTTAATTAGCTGGGAGGAACCAGAAGATGGAGGAGTCTAGCAGTGCCAATGGCTCAGCTCCAACAAGAGCACACACACATACACAAACACACGTACTAACACCCCCTATCCTTCGCTTGCCAACTACTACAGAACAATATCCAGCAGAGCTTTTCTCTCAGCAGCCAGATCCAGGAGTTTCACCTCCCCCTCTCTTCCTTTTCCTCCCTCTTTTACCTCTCCCCCTCCTTCAGACTCATCCTTGAGCGTGCACACACATGCAGAATGCATATTAGTGTTTCTGCCTGACTGTGTTTGACTCATTTATTTGTGTGTTTGCACATGTGTGTATGTGGCTGCTGCATTTGCACATGTGTGCATTCATGTGTGCATATGATTATATGAATTATGTAGCAGTGGGTGGGGGAGTTACAACCTTTGACTGCAGATTGTGTGTTGAGTTAATAGGCTGTTTCCATGTCTTCAGCTTTACAATAAATGCATCTGAATGCAGTCTGGCCGGCCTGTAAAGCAGGGAGGACTTACCTGGCGATGTGGCGTTTTCCAAGGAATCTGAAGTGCTGCAGACACAGGCTGGAAAAATAAAAAGCAAAAATATGTGGGTGAAAGGTAAAGGTTTGTTTGTTCTGTTTTTTTTTTTTTTGTGATTAAAACATCAGATAAATGTAGTCCATGTGAAAAAATAAAAGAGAAACGCTGCAGTCTAGATGCAAACAGGAAACACAGGCGGCTAATTAACTGAGCTGCTCACTGAATCAGAAGCTCTCATTGGATTTACCCCTTTTTTTTCTTCCCTCTCTCTGCCTTTGTCTTTACTTTTATCTCCTTCCTTCTGGCTTCATCTACCCATTTCTACTCCTTGCATGCTGCTGTCTCCCTCCCTGTCTGCCTGTCTGTCTCACACACGGCATTGCCAGTCAGCCCACAAGGAGCTGTTGTAGCACTCTATGATGAAGAAACAAAAACACTCACTCCAGGATGTTAAAGAAGTCTGAGATCTCTTGGTGGATGGCCCGGTGCCAGTAGGACACAAGCACATCTGGAAACAGGTAACAAATGACAGCATGTCAGACCTTACGGCACATTTGAAAAGGTTCGAGCCAAATTTCAGTAAAAACTGGGTCAGATTTGGTTTAAACAGACCAATTTGTACGGCTTTAGAGTCTTTTAATACCAGAGAAAACCTCAATCTTCTGGGAAAACACAATAATGCAAATGCAGCATAACTGTGAATATATAAATCAATAATAGTGCTCAACCCTTCAGGGACTGCGTGAGTTTTTTTCGTGCATACTTTTTTAAATGTTTCCTACCTTCAGAAATGGTTTTCATGATGTGCAGGAAACACATGAGGAGGCTGCGGGTCTCTGCCTGGTCCAGCTTGTCACAACGAGATCCATAACCTATGAGGGATTGGGGCCGAGCGAACTACGGAAACACACGCAGACAAAAATACAGCTGAGTCAGTAAAGTCAGGTATGAGTCTCAGGAAACTATCTTCAAAAATATCTTTGGTAATTTTCTGTGAATTTAAGGGTTCCAGTATTATGATTTAATGGGCATTTTACAAGCAAGTAGAATATTTCAGGTTAAATTTTACTGCTTTAGGGCCAATAAATAATACATGAATAAAGTTTTAGCAGTTTCCTTAAAAATATTACAAGACTATGAGGGAAAAAGTCTGGAAACATCATTAATTTCTTTAATTTAGGAAACACATTTTATAGACAGTTTACTTTATATAAAAAAGAGAAGCCAATGGGTGTTTTCTGCCAAAACCTTTAATACAATCTATTAAAAATGACACAATAAAAATGTGCTTGTTATAGTAAAAATATATCAAAATGTCCCCCAACAATTCAGTTTTTCTGCTCTTAGTCCTAAATAAGAATCTGGTGGTTTCTTTCTCAAGATTAAAATAACAGTTTCCTCTCTTTCCTCACCTTCTCACATCCGTCCATTTTCTCACTGTTCCTGTCGCTGTTACTCGGGTTGGAATCCACACTGATCAGAGATCCCCGAGAGTCGGTCTGGTTACCCGAGGCAACGGCCAAAGAAGAGAAGGCTGGTGGAGAGGTGGGGGGGTGTCAGTACGAATGTGTTTATTCACACCTTTTAATGTAGACTCTGTTTTTGAGAGTTGCATGCCGCACAATTCTACCTGTGATGGAGTTGAGTACTTCTTTGGAAAAGGAGGCGTCTACAGAGTTTCCATGGCGGGTAACAGGATTCACCCCTGCAGCCACTCCCCCGCCTACGCTGAGGTCGTCTCGAGAGCCCTGGTAGGGGGCAGAGATGGGAGAGGAACTCTTGAAAGGAAAAAAATGTTTGTTGATGTTTAAAAACTGCAGGAATCTGCATAAACGCCTAGACTTCGGCGTAGATTTTGACATGGTAGTTAATGTAATTTTAATCGATCATCTCTTGGACTTAGCTGGTTTCACTCTTACCTTTTAGATTGAACCTTTGCTGTCACCCCCTTAACCAATAACATTGCATTTGGTGTACTCCAAGGTTCAGTTTTAGGCCTGATGTTATTTTCTACCTGGCCAAATAATTCAGCCCCACAGACTCTCCTTTCATTGTTATGCAGATGACACACAGATAAACTTCTCTCTGAGCCCTGAGGACCCTTGAAGACTAACTACTGTCTCAGTGATATTAGCGATATTCTTTGTGATGGTTTTTAAAAAATGTGTAAATCAAGTTAGTATTTCTCTTACCTGGTCACTTGAAGTGAAGTAAATGGGGAAGAGGTCCCTGAGGAAGAATCGAGGCATGTTGTCGAGGATCAGGCCGTACAGCGGCAGGTAGAGAGAGGCGATTCTTGCCTGCTTCTCCTGGAAAGGAAAACCGTAAAACAGACGTCATATTTTATGTGTTTGTGTGTATTCCAAAGGTAGTCATTATGTTATTTACACCTGAACACATCAGCAAGCGCAGTACTTTTAATGTGTTTCCCCTTATGCAAGAGAGACTACCAATAAAAGCATCTCTCTCTAGAGAGCCATCGACTGTATAATTCATGCTGCGTTCATGGTTTGATTGTCTGCATTTTATGAGGAGTTCTGGTAAATAGAAATGTCGATTCACTTACACATTACCTGAAATACACTACCGTAAACACGTCTGGACTTGTATGAAACATGACTTTATTTGGTCTCCGCACACATTCACTTTTGCCTCTTTTGCCTCTTTTGACCACAGCCCTGCACTTGTGTTGTTGTTGGCACAGTTTGGTGAAGTTTAAATGAGGGCACATTACAAGCATGATCCGATCTGCTGCTTACAGCTGCTTTGAACAATCACACAACTCAATCAGAGCGCTTGTGTGAGTCACAAAAGACGAAATTTCTGCTGAAAGACTCATGACTCATTCTACCAGTTTCCCACTGCGTGAACATGTGTCCAGGCTACCTTGGTGGCATAGCGTGCATCCAGCGAGTGTTTGGCCATCAGGGTCTTCAGGGTGGCAAGGGCGAGGTGCCTCAGGTCCTGCTCGTCCTGGAGCGCCAGCCCCAGTTCCCGTAGCAACAGGCCGGTGAGGAAGTGCTTCCTGCAGAACTCTCCAGTCAGGTTATACTCTGGCACTGAAACTGAAATAAGACAGCATGAAGAGGATTAAGCGTTGACTCCTGAACTTCAGTACAAATACGTGGTAAACCACATCCTCTCACAGTAATTCTCTGTGATTCACTGTGAAGCAAATCAAAATGTAATGAACACAAGTTACATCTAGTTTGAAGACCATGTAAAAAGTTTACATTCTGATATTTGGACTTTAAACCTCTAAAATTTAGAGAATATTGAAATTTCCATCATTGGATCTAAAACGTTTAACAAGAAGCTTTTAATGTATCCATCTTCTGTCAGTTTCCCTTTTTTTGACTGACTCCTGATCACTTTTTGGTCCTTTTTTTCATTTTGCTTAAATTTTTGCCTGAAAATAAACATGTATTATAATTTTAATAGTGTTAAAAAAAAAATGTTGGTTTAAAAATAATCTACATTCAAATGGAAATGATCTGTCATACTTTAAATTATCCTTGTGCCAGTATTTGCTTTCCATCGGGGAACTAATTAAAACATTCCCAAACAAAAACCTTGTTACATTGAGCAAATGGAGCGCCCAATTTCCCGTGAATTTCATTATCGTCCTACTACAGCGGCACACACACATATATGCACATTAAAAGGAATGAGTATTTACCATGAGTACTTTGAGGCTCTGGGGATGCATGGTCTGACGTAAACAAACGGAGATGACAGAGAGAGAGAGACAGACAGAGACAGTGTTAAAGACAAATGAAGGTTGGATTGCGATGAATGATTGTTAACACATTAAACAACAGCGTCGCTGAATGACAGGCGGAAACCAAGACTCGGACTGTACCTGTGATGCGAGCGGAGGGTAGGGGTAGACTCAGAGGGATGTAGTGTTCATGGTTACACACCTCTCGCAAGAATTCAAACTTGAGCTCGCACAGGACCTGTTAGACACACAGAAAATCATGTTTTTTCACGCTTGATTTACTCCGAAGAAGAAAATATGCTGAGAGAAATTTCTTCTTTTTTTTTAACCTTGCTGTCAGTCGCAGTGATCATGTTTATGTAGTTGCTGATGAGTTTAAATGTGAAGCCTCTGTCCATGAGAGTAAAGCAACGCTGCAAAGAGAGGCACATAAGACATAAGGGATTAGAAACAATATCAGATTGACTTGATATGTCTTATAACTTCACCCTTTATCAGAATCAAATCCTGTTAAGATCTTGTTCCTACCTTCACAAAAGCTGCAACAGCTGAGTTGGCACTGCGGGTCTCCTCCCCCAGGTCTTTGTTTTTCCAGAAGATGTGTTCAGACACCGTCTCCACCAGTGTCTCCACGCGGCTCAGGTACGATGAGGGGAAACGCTGAGGCCTGGGGAGCTGTGGGAACATAAGAAACTTTACTTCCAGATGCACCGTGTCCTGGGTATGATTATAGGAAAAATGCTGAACCGAGTATTAAAAGCGCTTGATAAATGTGATGATGTGTAGGAATGTGTGACCTGAGACCAATGTAGAGTGAGCTGCCCTACCTTTAACTTTTCAGAGTCGACCAAATGTTGAGCCATGGACTTGACGATCAGCTCAAAGAAGAACCAGGAGAACTGAAACCAGACGGGGTCAAAGTAAGATCATTTCATTTTGCAACGTCAGATCAGTCTCCTGCTTTAAAGCATGAGAGGATTTTTGTCCAAACTTTTGTCAGAACTTTAAAAATTATGCCTTTACTCCCTGTCTCTAATCTGAAGAGTAATCGTGATACAAACCTTCAGGACATTTCTCACTGCTGCTTGCTCGTTGCTCTTCAGGTCGAAGGTCATTCCTTTAGCCAGCTCTTCATGAACTGTCCTAAAGCCGTGGGCCTCTGATTTGAACACGTACTATGTGAGAGAAAGAGAGGGCAACATAAAAAAGGTATGATAGTTTCAGAGCTTCAAAAATGAGATTTGTGGTTTTCTTTTCTTACTTCAAAGAGACTCTAATATTGGAGAGTTTTCAGTGGTTTGTCGTACAAATCACAATATGAAAACAAGACCTGAAATTTTCAGTATTTCTAGATATTTTTGAAGACAATGAAATAATAAGATGTGTCTTGCAGCATTTTTTTGTATCATTTAACCAATTAACCCCTATCAATAAAAGTAAATTATGTAAAACAGACTCTTAACACAATAGGAGGCTTGAATAAGGTGCAAATGTTTGAGGGATGAACAAGGTGTAAAAAAGGAGATTTTAAATAAAAAAATAAAAATTACATTACTGCCAAAGTCATTCATCTAACTATCTAAGATCCAAAATCAGACGACTGAAAAAAGGTACTGTCCACTGCAGCAAATGTAACAAAACTGCTACATGAAGAATAAAATCCTAAAAGTAAGTGTCGACTTGGATTCATGTCATTTCACTACCTACAACTGCTGTTGCTACGCTGAATTAGTCCCGCCTTCGTCATGACTGTGTGGACGTTTGCACGATCACACACACTCAGCAGTTTAAACCGAGCACCATGCCAATCTGTTACCATGGCAACCCCACTTCCATTAGCCAGCCTCGTCCTCTTCTCTCCAGCCTCTCATCATTTGTCTCTGCCGTTGCCTCTCCCAGCACTGCACTTTTCCTTCACTGTGGCCAACACGAAGCAGGTCTTGTGGTTTTCTCTCTCTCTTTCTCTCTCCCACTGATTTTTCCCCCCTAAACAAACACACCCTGTGTCTCTGATGAAGCACCCTTTATTCATCCTCTCTCCCTCTACTCTCCTTGCTCCTCTGTGTGTGTTTGCACATAGCTCTCGGCACGAGGCTCCACGTATACCACACTCCTGCTGGTCCAAACACACACTCACACGCAAACACAAAAAAAGCCCCTTTCTCTCTTTTTCGATTCACTCACCTTCCAGAAATGAAATAGTCTGTGCAGGGTCCCCCACCCTTTTATCGAAAACAAAGGCCTTTCAAACGATCATATGATATTCCTTGCACTCATTCATTATGCATTTAGAAATATACTGTATGCAAATGCACACTTTGGGTCTGCATGGTTTTTGCAGCTGCTAAATCTGCGCAAATGAGCAAAAAGGCCTGGCCTTATTCACAAATCATGCAAAAGGGTTAAACGCTGCACGAACCACACAAAGCTAATAGCATCTCTGAGCACCAGAGCTGTTAACATGCATTTGTATGAGCTATTATGTATTCATTTTAACAAAATATGACCCTTTCAATGCAAATAAGCCTCACAGAAAATAAAAAAACCTCCTTCTTCACTTACACTGGTGCTAAAGAGAGCTGATTCTAACTGTGTGTGAGTATAAGCAGTGATCATAACAATAACTCCACCTTTGAATGACCTAAAGCTAATATATCTGTACATTTAATCCCACAATATTACTTTGACATTACTACTCTCACTCGCAGGTACCTTGATATAGGAGTGCAGGTAGTGAACCAGGTTTTCTTCATGGCACTTTGCAACTATGTGGACCAGGACTCTGCAGACGCAAAATGAGAGAGAAGAGTTTTATGATTTCGACACGGTCTCTGAGCTTGTGACTTTACGCTTTCTTGAGCATGTGATTAATACAATTTGAGTATCTTGATTTACAAACAAGAGACTGCAAAGTGTAAAAATGAAACATCTAAACTTAATTTATAAAAACTAAAATAAAAATTAATACAAGAAATGCATGAGATACAAAAAAACTGTCATTTAAAGCCCTATTTGCTCACCTACTTGAGTGCCTGTTTCCACATAAATCAGTTCCCCTCACTCATTCATACACACACCAGCCCACTAACCCAGATATGAATCCAGCAGTTGAGGAGGTTGTAGTACCAGTGCCTACCTGGTGGTGGCAGTAGTGACCTCGTCATTGTCATTCTGAGTCAGGACCTTGAACAGCTGGTTGAAGAGCACTGGCAGAAATCGAATGATCACTGGGATCCTCTCCATACTGAGGAGACCCTGAGGGAGGGTGGAACAAAGGCGTAGGAGGATGGAAATAAATAAGAAACATAAAAACCAAAAAGAAAGACAAAAAAAAAAAAAAACACAACGATGGATACAAAATATGTTAGCCCTGATGTTGCAGCCGAGGTCCTGCTCTCAATAAATGTAAATTGGGGTAATAGAGCGTCTTTCCTCTGACCTTCAGGCAGTTGAGGAAGTTGGAGGTAGGAGGTAGCGAGAGGTCCAGCTCTCTCTTCTGGCACTGCTGGAAGAATCGGTTCAGGTGGGGGTCCTGGCACAGGGAGACAAATCAGAGAGCATCTGCGGTAAGACTTAGAGGACTGGATTCTTTTAGGTTATAGTGCATCTTTAAGTCAGAACTCAGCAGTTTGTATAGAGGGGAAAAAAATAATAAACGTTCTTATAAAACTCGCTGGTTCTCTCTGTAAGTTTAGTTGCTGTTTGTGCTGGAAAGAGTCAGTTTTACTGCAAAAATTAGACACTCTCAACAAACTTAAGTTTATTTCTAATCACTATTGCTACTTTTTAATTATTGTCACTGGTAATATTATTTTTTGTAATAGCTTTCCTACTTCTACTCCTACTCTTTCAATCTTTTGCTTTAACTTCTTAACTGTCTGTCTGTCTGTTTACCACACATCAAAATCAACCGTTTCCTCAGTCTTTTCGAGAGTTTATATGCAGGAGTGTTAATAAAAGAAACAAGAGACAGACTCAAGTATTAGCGGTAATATCATCTGCATTTAGAATATATAAAAAAGTCATAAAATGGTAAATTCTCTCAGATTATATTGGTCTTAGATGATCTCAATCCAAACAACACAGGATCCCCTGGTTTATAAATAAACAACAAAGCAAAAAATCGCCTCTCCGGTGCTCTACACGCCCCCCACTGTCTAAACTATAAATGTCTTCCCCACCCTAGATATGAGGAGACTGGAACTTAAACCATCCACTAACACTTGATTAGACAGTTTCTGCTCCATTTCTGTTTGCTTCACACTTTAAATGCTTCATAATTTGTTTAGAGACACTAAAATGACATTTGAGGTCCATTACAGTTTCTCACTGTCTGCACAGCGAGTTGACTTGGTGGAAGAAGCAAAGATGGAGCAGAACAGAGAGGAAAAATGGCCTGTTACATCTTTTTGAGATAAGATGTCTGCTGAAGATTTGAGCACTCTCTTCATAGTCGGGTTTCACAAGGATGTAGCTGCCATCTATACATCCATCATCCGACCATTTCCATCCTGTTGGGGGTTTTGGTCTATCCCAGCAACCCAGCCTTGGATAACCCCAGAGAAAGCCATTTGACCTGCAGTAACCCAGCTGATGGTGTGACCTACCTGAGTGTAAACTGTGGAGACGACATGAGTGGACACTTTAAAGATAGCTTTTCCTCCGTCGACCCACTTCACATCTGCTCCATTCTGTAAATCAGAGCAAGAGGAGATTCAACAAATCCACGTCCAAAACCTTTAACTTCTCACAAACTACAACTCTACACCTCTCTTCTCAACTAAATTACTCTTTTCATAATTCATTACAATTTTTTAATATTCATGCCCCATCCCTTCCTCTCCCCTTTCCCTTCATTCCTCACTCTCACCTTGGTGTTGCCGGCTTCCTTAATGGCCAGGTATCCAGGCGGCAGGTTACAGGAGACAGAGACGCTGAACTCCTGAGATACCAGTCGACCTTCTTTGAGGAGGGGGAGCCAAGAGTACCCCACTAAAAAGGAAAAGACCAACATCAAAAGAAGCTGCTACAAATATTTCACTAACCTACAGCTCTAGATTCACCTCAAACTCACCGGGGGTCTCCAGGGTTTCTTTCCTCTTGGAATTGGTCTTGGCGTTGATGTCGCAGGTGACATGGTAAAAGGAGAAAAGAAGGTGGTGCTTTTCATGTAGCTGAGTGGGGAGCTCAATCTTCACCTGAAGAAGAGACAGAGAAGAGATTTAATTTGACATATTATAGCAGTAGAACATGTGCTTTTCTTCATGGTTTGTATGAATCTTACTACTCTTCACCTCATCATAGAAGTCAGGGTTCTGGGAGTGGTGCAGAACAGTGGAGCAGGCTGCTGTGGTAAAAACTGGACCTCCCGCCTTGCCGTAGATGCACTTAAAAATAAAGAAAAAGAAAAATAGATTCAAAATTAAGCCGTATCCAGCTCCTTTTTTTCAGGATACAAGCTTTGAATTGAGCCCTAATGTCTCATTAGCATGTTTTTTTTTTACCTTTAAAGGTTTGGCAACTTCTTCATCCGAACTGCGGAACTCCACATACACTGCAATGTTACGAGCCTGGAAACAAGAGGAGCATTGTAGTTTTAATGACTGCAACAATTCAAAGACACACAGCGAAATCGGCCCTACTAGAAACAAGCAAAATATTCTTATATTCAATCAAATAATCTTGTATCAAGCAAAAAAATCTGCCAATGGGGTAAGCTTTTTTTGCTTGACAATAATTTTCAAAATAAGAACAAATTTCTTGGCCCTGACAGACTCAAATGAAACTTAAAACTAAACAGAAAATCTTATATGAATCTTTTTTTTTTCTACAGCAAGCAATGAAAAATGAAGATGAAGTTACTTAAAATTAGCATTTTAGTCTCTTGAATAAATGAACTTCAAGAAAATACACCTTTATCTAGGATTATTAATAAGCATGACAGTAGTTCAAATAAGACATAATTTCTTAAAACAGCATAGCAAATATAAGTGATGTTGTCTTAAATCAAGATACCAAAACATTCTCATTAAATATATATTTTTTATTCCACAAGCAAGCATGTGGAAAACAAACATGTTCTTTGTTGTTCTTTGTTGTTTTCATCTTGTCATTGTATTATGTTGTGTGTTGTACAGACTAGCCTACTGACATCTTTATATGTCAGATAATGTATGAGGCAGCAGATTCTGTCAGGTTCAGATGACCTGCAATGGAAACCTTCATAAAAGAATCAACTGTTCTTGTTTCATGGCATTCTTAAATTGAGAAGTTGTACATATGTCTCACTCTTTAAATGAGACGAATGATCATGTTGCTCCACTGGATTTTATTGTAAAAAAAAATTCTACTCTATTTCTGGTTCATTCTATCTCAAAATTAGCTGGAATATCTAATCAAGAAAAAAGTTAGCCATTTTCTCTTAAAATTTGATAATTTTTTTAATGCCAAACATGCTTGACAAGATTAATATTCTTTGTGTACAAAAAATGAGACTTATTTCCTTAATACGGGGCTGTTTTCCTTTCTTGAAATTCCTTTTTTTGCAGTGCATGGTGTGTTAATGAAAACAAAAATTTTTGGTGCTTTGGATTTAAATCAGTCCTTGCATAAACCTGCTTTTTTGTCATAACTTCTGCGGTGTGTGTCGTGTACCTTTGCAAAGCTCTTCTGGCTGTCGTATTTGAGATGCTTAGGGTAGACGTAGATGTGGTTTGTGTAGACACGGTGTGGTTGGGTGAACTTGGTGCTGTCCTGGACAAACTCTTCCATCTCAACAGTTGGCTGATGTTTGCTCAGCTCCTCAAAGGGTTTCACCGGTACGTAAGAGGAGGTGACGCAGTCTGGGCACAAACAGAGACAGAGCTCAAGCACATGACATGAAAAGAGAGAGGAATGTGTTACTAGCTGCACAAAAAAGGACATACTGGGATGCTCCATTGGAACGTAGTCCACTGCTACATCCAGCGTTCCAGGAATAGTCTGCAGTTTGCTGTTTTTTTCAGCCCTGCAGACAAACAAGAGTTAAATGTTTCAAAAAGAGGTGAATTCGACCTCAAAGAAGCTTCAGTCTAAAGTCTGCAGTAAATCTCACCTCCTGTACTCGGATATCATCTTCATCAGGTCATCAGTGGAAATCTTGTTGCTCTCCTGCTTGAAGAGAGGAGAGAAACGAGACTCTCTGTCCAGCGCTCCATGGTTGTCCTTAAACACTGGCCTGTAATGTATAGAAACACATCAGGATCAAGCTCACAAAAAGGGAAAACTTTAGAGATTTTAAAGATGTTAAGATAACCCTCCAATCAGCAGCACTGACCTGACAGACCAGGCAAACGGCATCCTGTACTTCCCCAGCTTACTGCAGAACTGCTTGTTGGATTTCAGTATCTTCTGAACAGTCTGTACAACACATGAGCCGGGGGGGAAAGGACAGAGAGGCTTGTTAGCATAACGCCACAGCTGATTTTTTTTTAAAGACAAGCAGACATGCTAAGCCTTGAATGCAAGTTGACAGAGTGACAGACTAAATCAGAGGTTGTCCGTTACAGTAACTCTGGCAGCAGGTTGGACGTCTGCTGATTCATTTAGCCTTTTCAACAAGGACCGCATGGAAGACTGCCAATGGGAAAGCCAGGAAACGTCTTGGAAAGGGTTTAGGGGAAAAAAAAACAACAACAACCTAATTAACAAACTATCTAACCGGACTGGCATTCAGTGATGGAGATAAGCGCTTTGCTGTACAGGAAAGCCATTTTGTAAATGTCATGTTTTAAACTGTTTGAGTCGATTAGGCAATTTCCTTAACAATAATCACCTAAACAACATCGATCATGAGTCATTTTTCCAGCTGGTCTTAGAAGATAAGAAGCTGTAAGAGGTACTGGTACTGGTACTGCCAAATAAAAACAAGTTCTCTCTCATTCAGACCTTTAGAAAGTGATTCATGCATTCATCTTCTCAACACCTGAGTACTGCAACTCACTGAAACCAACAACAACAACACACACAAAAAAAAACAATCTCATGCCTCCAACTTTAACAGACTTCAGCAGCTCAGTTTCTCACTGGTGTTAACAGATCACATCCCCCTGATTTAGCATCCCTCCACGGCTTTGGATGCGATTTTAAGATTCCACTCAACACTTTGATGATCTCCATCTTTTTTTATCATCCTAATGCTTTTCTCTCTCTCTCTTTGTGTTGCGTTTTCCTCACGCTGTTACTTTAACCATCTTTTTCTGCTTTATTTCTTTATAGTTTTTAGATCCTCTTTGTCATTTCCTTCCTTTTTATTACTTAATCCTATCACGTCATTGTTGTTGTTGTTTTTTTCACCTGTGGGTTCTCATGCTTTGTTCATAGGTATCTCTGTCTGTATGCCAAAGCACTATGTAAACCCTCGTATTTAAAGGTGCTTATTATCAATATTACGGTTCAATGTTGGAAAGAAATGTGAGTTAGTGAGTAAGTTAATATCAAACCAAAATTTCCAGTTAGAAATCGAGTGGAAAAGTGACTTTCTCACCTTGCTGGAGTCGGTATTCTTGATATAAGGTTCTGTCCCACAAGCAATATTTCCCATCAGCACCTTTTCCACTCTTGCCACCATCACTATATCCGTGTGAGGGTTTGTCACAGAGAAGATGGCCTGCAATAAAAAGCACATAAGGGTCATCCTGTAGGTTTGATTCAAAGTAAAAGATGGGAACGTCCATGAAACAGTTTCTAGGAGTGGGATCCTTGTACCTGTTTGGGAAAGCGGAGCCAGTGATCCAGGTCCAGGCTGAGGTTACAGTCCCCTGGCTTCTTCTCAGTAGGAGAACACAGGCCGTTTTCCTGACCCCCGACCCCTGACCCCAGAACGCCTGTTCCATTGCTGCAGCCTCCGAGCATCTGGCGCACCGTTTCATGGTTCAGGTCCACATGGAAGTCTGCAGAGACTTTTCTCCCTTCTCGGACGTCCATCAGAGCCAGCGACACAAAGAAGGGTTCAATCTAGAGGAGCAGATTCAGCTTAGTCATTCCCCTGTGTGAAATTGACTGTTTATTGTGCCTTTTAAAGCACACCATGGATTCCCTTTTCTTAAGATTCAGACATAAAAGTAAAAATGATCGTTTGAATTTAACTGCATCAGATTACTTATCTTTGAATAACTAGTCTCAAGTGTAAAGGGCATATATTTCAAAGCCTCACATTAGTGACGGGTCCAGTTTCACTCTCGTTGATGCAGCCCTGCAGCATTAAGTTGAGTGATCGACACGTAATCATGAACCTTCTGCCCAGTTTCTCCTCAAACGGACGCACAGCTCCGCTCTCCACTGATGAATGCTCACTCTTTGGGCTCCTCAGAACCTGGGGTTGATAAAACAAAAGTTAAGACTTTGCTGTACAAAAATAAGAAATATTAGAATATTTGAAATTTTATTCTTTCAGGACTGATATTTACAGGAGTGTCAGGGTCCAAGGAAAACAGATTCAACCTCTCTTCTCTCCTGGCTGAGCGGATTCCTTCATCTGTCTCTGAGATATACTACAAAAGAAAAGATGAAGATAAGAAATCACTTACTTTAAACCATCATTAAATCGTTTATTGGGACAGCTGCAAAAATAATGAAGTAGCAGCAGCATTTTATAAGGTTCAAGGTAACTATATTGATACCCGTAGGTATTCTTTTGATCGTGGTCAAGAGACTAAAATCAATAAATAGTATAAACAAAATAAACAAAAGTCGTTGGATATCACTAAAATGCCAGTATGACCCTGTTAAGAGCATGCTAAAAACATAAAAGCATGATACAAAGGACAGTAACTATTAATAAATGAAATAATAAATACAATAAATAAGTTAAGTTAACGTTGACACACCTTTGCTAGCTCTGGATTAATGCCGTTCTCAGCCGTCGTATCTTCATTCTCCTGCAAACAGCAGTCACCGAGCGACAGGTCAAAGACGTCTGAAAAGAAAACATAAATACAATCACACGTCATGAGAGGTACTTCTCAATAAGTGATGCCTGCAGGCAATGGGTGGATGAGATTGTTAATCCAAGTGCTCCATTTCCCTGTAGGTTAAAGCCCATATAACATTATCTTTAATAGGTTCAGCAGTGCACTAAATAAACACTAACCAGCATCTGTGAACATATATTCTTTTCAGTGTAAAATATGACTCCATGCTCGGTATTTATGGGTAATAAGGCAGGCGGGCTTCTGCAGAAATATAACCTTCATGTGCCTTGAGCAATTCTTCCCAAAGGCCACGCTGAACAAAATGGCTCATTAATGGTAGGTCACCACATGCTGCTTGCAGCCTGATTTAAAGGCATGCTAACAGACCGCAGAGCCATGACGGCTAAGGCTATTACATCATCACCTCGCCACTTTTCGCTGGGCCAAGTCTCAGAGCTCCATCAGGGTGTGTTATGTTACAGGCTATGGTCCATTACTGAAGCTCTGGCAGAGTTGGCACATGAGATGAAGGTTTTTATTAAGTTTTTAAAATAAAAAGTAGAACGTATTAAACAAAGGTGGAGTCCCTGGTCGGTGTCTGGTCTCATTTCCTGATTGTGATGTTATGAACAAGACCTCGAAGAAGCAGAATTCCCCTTTCAAGGGTTTGCAAGTTATCATTGTTAGGCGAGTCAGACAGAGAGGGAAAGGTTACATTGTGCTGACGCTGACTATAAAACCGTTTCTCTCTTGAGGGCACCATGATTTATACATGTGTTGAAATTATGCTAAAATATCCTCCTTCTCTCACTTTAAATACCCCTTTCACCTCCAAATTACCACTTTTTCTTCTTCCCCTTTTGCTCATTCCAACTATTTTTCACCCCCTTACAACCCCCTCTACATCCATCATAAGTAAACTTTGTGTAAGTAATTCTCCCCAGAAAACAGAGCCAGTCTCACCCTGCCGGTGGTCTGTGAGGTCCAAACTTTTGCGGTCAGGAGCCGGGCCTTCATGAGGACTGATCTGCAAGATGCGGGTCAATGTGCTGATCCACTCCTCCATGTCCTGTTCGCTCTCCGCGGCCAGCACGAAGTACGTAACCTCGTTCATCTTCAGCTCAAAAGCGTGTTTCCTCAGGCGGTTATTCTTTGGAGGAAGGGATGAAAGGATGGATAAGATTATGTGGTCGCCCAACAAAACCAAAACTGGTTTGGTTTGTGGAAAATTGTACTCCTTTTTGAGTTTAGAGGGTTCTCAAATCAGAACTAGGTTAAGCTGAGTTAACTTTCCAAATGTCTTATTGATTAAACAACCCTTTTAAATGCTATTTTACTAAGAATGACTTACTGAATTATGAGGATAAAGAGATCGGTTTGGGCGCGGTTAACATGAACCTTCAAAGTGAAACTTGTCTTTACTTTTTAACTTCAACTTCAGCTGTAGAGGAATTTCATAAAGATAAATACAAGACTGCATAAGAATACTTTTAAACAGCAGACGATAAAAGTATAACAGTCCTAAAAAACCACAACGAATATCACTGTGGTTGTTAAAAGAGGGAGGAAGCCACAACTTCCAAACCCTCATGAAGTGCATTACGAACATGCAATTATGTTCTTTAAGTGGAACGACGAGTCTGTCTGTCTGTCTTTCTGCTTAATGCAGACAATAACATCCACGACATCCCAGAGGTGGCCCTAACAGCTACTTACAACGTTTTTAAAAAAAGTTAATTATCCCCCTTTAGAGGCAGACGATGATATATTGGCCAAGACATGTCATATTATAATGCTATGATCGCACATCTCAAGTCAACTATCAAATCTGAAATAAGAAAATTTGATCCACAGAGATGAAAATTTCTTATAATAATCCAGGACCTTCTTTTTGTGGTGTTCTGTATCTTTCCTCTGAGAGCTGTTTCTTCTGTCCTGACTTCCCAAGTCTGTATTTTCGTAGGTTTTATATATGTCACAGTCTGTGATTGCTTTAAAACTCACCTGTACAACACCGGTGCACGAGTCCAGAAAGATGCAACCTTTCGGCTCCTTGGAGATCTTTTCATCTTTGTAGAAGTTCATGATGTAGGAATTATCTGTCAGCTGGGTGAGCTGGAAATATCTCCTCTTGAATGACTGAGGAGATATAATGAGATACAGGTTCATTATACTGGTGTAAGGATACAGTCAGAGCTAAATAAGGTTTACAGGATTATTTTCAAATATCTATGATGAAGGAGATCTGAGGATCGGGGTGAATGTGTGCATGAAAAGGGAGAGCATCAGATGTTTCCTCACCCGGACAGTGATGCTATTGTTGACGGTGCTGTTGAAGTTCCCTTTGTAGAGCCAGCCTGACCTAAACACACCGATCCCTCCTCCTCCACTACCTCCTCCTCCACCTCCCCCTCCTCCTTTGGACGAGGACAGTGAGGTGGTATCCTGTAGAGCACAAATGCAGTCAGTTATTGATACATTAGCTCTCCATTACCCCAGGAATGGAGTCGAGGGTGATCAATACAGAAAAGGGGACTTTTTAGGGATAGCTGTCAGTAGAATTATGTTCATAAAAATGTCCTGCTGACCTTCAGTGCGCTAACTCCCTGTGCAAAGTATACTCTAACAGCTTTGAGGCAGAGATAAACTAATTTAAACATGGACCTCAGGATGTGTCCGGCATGTAATGCATTCATTGTAAAAGCATTTGTCAGAAGACGATCATCACTGACCTCATCCTTGTCCATGTCCTCATAGTCGATCTCAAAAGAATGGGATGGCAGCTTCTCTGCTTTGTACAGTTTCCTGTGAGGAGACGAAGGAAGAAGGAGAGAGGATTAATGTGAAAGCTCGATAATGAAATATAGTGACAGAGAGAGAAATGATTTCAGGAATTTAATTAGTCCTCCTTCTGACTGTGGGTGGCTGACTTCACTCCATCGTTCTCTGTCAGGAGGCAACAATAGGTGAGTCCTCGTCCAACCTCGCTTCACTGATTTCACAGGCCCACCACCTTTGTGGGTGAGCCACTGGGATAAAATGCTTTTGTGAGTGTGCTCTGAGTTACAGACAGCTCAGCCGCAGTCTGGGGAGGAAAACACTGGAACCACCCTAGTGTTAAAAGTCAGAGCTGTAAAAAGCCGTCTTATAAAACGTCTTTAGGGACTCCGTTTAGAGGATTTTAAGTGATTGCCGGCTGGCCAAAGGAATGCAAATATTGGGTATCACTTCATTCAATCATAATGACAACCACACATGTAGGCTCTCAGCTGGATTTTCATGACCTTAGAGGTTTCCTTGTTTCTCTCCACAAACCCATGGAAAGTTACAGTTAGCTCACTTGTCAGCTGTATTTACTTTCTGGTTTAAAAGGGGCAATATGACAACACGAGTCAGAAACGCTGCAACTAGTTATCTGTAGAAACACAAAAAGTAACTTCTCTTATTAAACTGACTGTTCATTTTGGTTGTGTTTGGTTGGCTTATTTTCCCATCGTTCTATCACTTCCTCCCTTTGTTTCTTTCTGGGCCTGGTGCTTATTGTTTTCACCTGTGAGTCTGATCAGTCTCACCTGTCCTTGATTACTCCCACTGTATTGAGTCTTTGTCTTCCTGTTGTTGTTTTTAAAAAAATATTTTTGGCTTCTTTGTTTCTTAAACCCTGTTCCTTGTGTGGATAAGTTTCTCTTGTGGTTATTTCTTTGCTGGAGTTTGTTGTTTTTATTTTCCTTTGGACATTTTCTATCCTGTTTACTTTAAACTCTTTTCACTGCATCTCTGTCTTCTCCCTTTGTGACATACGTACCAAACTTAATAGCTGGCTTGCCATGAAAACAAACACTGTAAAAATAGTGTATGTGAGTTCATGCTGATTCCCCAGCTGAAATGAAGTTGAGACAATTGATGCTTTAAGTCATGTTTCAGCTTTAAAGTTAATCCCGGTTGTGGGAGGTCATGTGAACCGATGGAAAGAATACAGTGGACACCCATGAGACTAAAGAGTGACATTCCTGTGGTTGGGAGCAGTAACTGTAGAGCTGCTCTGGGTCAGCCTCAGTGGGACTGACAAAACACCACTTGACTGACTGACAGCCTGATTTAAATAAATGACTGACTGACTGAGTAAACCGGTGTCTGATGGGTGAGTGACGTTTATGAAAGGGATGGAGGGAGCGCTGAGTGTAAACACGCGTCAGAGAGGAATGCTCTCAGTCTTCCTCTCTGACTTCCCTCTCAGTCAACACCTTCCACCATCTTGTTATTGTTAATGACCTCCCAGCTTACTGTAACACATTGTGGTTATACCCAACCTCAGCAGACTTTACTTCTGAGTCTGATTGTTTGTGAGAATAAAAATTCATTACCTCTTTTATCAAGCCAGTGAGTCAAACAAATCAGACTTCTCATTTTTATACCAGTGTTCAACACAGAGTTATGTATCAAATGAAGCAGCTGTACATGTTTGAAAATGCCTTATTAATGTTCATGATGCTGAAACAGTAAAGGAAAAACCTTTGTGAACCTTGTGTTAAAAGTTTTTGGTTTAAGAGGTAATTTCCATTTGGTACCTTTTCAGCAGCACATTTTCCAAGTGTTATGGAGTAAGAGGTAACACTTTACAATAACCATAACTTATAAATGGTAAATAGACCATTTATAAATGGTTAACAGATGGTTTATTAATGTTTAACCATCAACCATCTAAGTAATGTATATAGGTGGTTTATAAACCACTTATTAGACATTTACAAAGTATTACAAACATCAGTTGCAACTTTACAATAACCATATAAGTAATGTTTATAGGTGGTTTATGAACCAAATATCAACCATTTACAAAGTGCTACTGACACACATTTTAATCTAGATGCTTTACAACCAATATTTAAACCCTATAATAAATAGTCCATTAATAATTAATGAAAGTTTATCATAATTTCATTGCTTTTTAATGGTAAAGTAACTTTTAACTTACATTAATAAACTATCTATTTGTCATTTATAAATTATGGTTATTGTTAAGTGTTACCAAATAAGAAAATAGATGAGGTCATATCAATACAAGCTCAGGGGAGAATTAATGGTTGAAGAGATGGTGTACCCATTTTGAAATCACATCAATTCAAAATACAGAAATATACATTAAAAAATTTCCCCAATAGAAGGCTTGAGATTAAGTAACATCCAATAGCTGGCTCACTCGCCTCCAAAAGTAACAGCATGCATCTTTAATGTTTATCAAATTAGACCCTGTATAATATTGATTAAATACTCTGAAAAGTCAATCTATATTAATTGAATACAATTTTAGTCTTGTGTGACTAATTCACATTAACATTTCTGTCATTGAATAAATTGAGTCCACTGGTTATCTGCTGAGTTTCTGTTGACTACAAGACTCCTGAAAGGGACTGTGCCTTATCTGGCAAACAAAGCAAGATTAAAGTGTGTAAAACTGCAGCTCTTTAAATGGCTACCTCAGGATGACTCCAAAAGGCAATCTCAATAAAACACTACCATATTTTTATATCTTTACATCAGAAATAAACACATATGTGTCCTGTTAAAAAAAGAAACAGTTTTGGTTTCTGTAACTCATTTTTCCAGAGATAATGACTCCACATGAGTCATATTTTACTCAACTAAGAAATGATGATGGTCAATAGACATGGTTGGCTTTAGCACAGGACTAAAAATTGTTGCTTACTTTTCATCACATGAATGGACAAACTAGAGGACCAGTACTTTTAGAAAAATTCCCTACATTCCCCAACCAAAGTTTTATTATAAAATACATATCTCTGGTCAGCTGGAACCAAATTTAGAACTTCATACTGCCTGAAACTCTGTCATTAACAATCTCATTAGCCAGCTAATGAATTAGCCTTGAGCCCTGACTGTATCACTGCATGACTTTCTTCTGCTTCATTTTTTTCATGGATATTGAGTTACTTCTGGCTACAAACAAACTTTCAAACACAATTTTTAAATCTGATAGTTTACAAAGCACAACTTGGCTGAGTATAGTTATTGTACACAGTCCATGTTTGACAGAGAAGTAGTCTGACAAGCACACAGAACCTGAGCCAGCTGTTCGTCTCAAACTTAAACCAAGCTAACCATCTCTTGGTAGAAGTTTTCTAGAATATGCATACAGAGTGTGTTTCACATTATGATAAGTAAACATCTCAATCCATACAGTAAACAGACATTCAGAGCCTTGTCAAAGTGCGTTACCTGGGCAGCAGGCGGTATTCTCCGGCGTAGTCATCGAACTTGAACTGGACCACATTCAGCTCCGAGTTGTAATACTGACAGGCCTGGAAGAGAAGATGGAGATTAAATATTAACTTTCTAAAATGATGGCCTCCTCTTCTCTTCCGAAAGTGCACCTGGAGCAGCTGAAAAGTGTACAGACAAGGAAGAGAGCTGTGAGAGTCAAGTCAGACAGGCTGGGATTCATCATGAGATTATTTAAATTATAAAGGAAGTGAATTAAAACTCTGTCCCCCGAGGAACAAATAGACTGTACAAATAGAGACATCTTAACATCTTGATAGATCACTTCATTGGTTCTCTCAACACCAAGTTCCTGTCCTCTTATGTCTCTCTTGTTAAGAAAGATCCTCATCTTTGGTAAACACTGTCAAAAATTTTAAACAGGCCAAACATATCAGCCGCAGAGTGAGAGTGAGACCCAAACACAAATTCCGAATGAAATTATACTGTTCTTGTCCACTCTGATATTATTAGGACCAGGTTAGGACCAGTTGACCCAGAATTAGCTCTAATGGCAGTTGCCTTTGCAGATAGTTCATGATAGGCGCACACATCTGGTTCTTTGTGGAGTCATTGCTATGGTGATGGTCTACATCAAGAGCAGCCTGAAGTGAGAAAAAACCACCACCAACTGAAACCCTTTCCGACCAAACCACAGCGGCTTTGGTTAAGCCCTGCACGTGCATTGAAACTCACCTGTCTGACCAGCAGACATTCAGCCTGTAGCTCCGCCCCCTCTGGAACAGTTGACTTGAGAGTCCGACTCTCCTGAGGCACAGTGGATACCTAAAGGGGAAAACAGTAAAATGAAAGATCCTGAATATGTTTTTTTCAGATTTCAGTCACCTCACTAAAAGCAAAAAAAGAGCGGAGATCATATCATATTCAATGAGTGTGAATGTTTACAGGGCTGCTGTAACCAAACTGAATTCAAATGAGATACGTGAGTAACAGAGGCCTGTTAGACCATAAATCCTGACTAAATATATAACAGCTCTATGAGAAATAAGTGGAGTGAGCATTGTGTGGTTATTTTTACTTCTGCTTTAGAACCTGTAGAGCACAAAACGACACCTATCCACAATTTGAATAAACAAAAACACACAAAAAGCCTCCGCTGTTTAAAAAAGAAAGAGGGGAAACTTAAAAAAACGGGTCAAAGTCATCATCAAGCATGTGCAGACATTCAAAGTGAACATTTTACACTAATTTTTGATGAACGTAGCGTCGTCTAAATAACCACGAGAAAAGAGTAAACAACACTGAAGGAGGAGGGTGTTTTACCCGTGAACAGGAAAGCCATTCATGTGGCTTGAGGTAGCTCGTTCAACATGTTGGCACTAAAGTTCATGTTGTTATTTCCTTTGTGTTATCTATAGAGTTTAAACGATCAGTGCAAAAAAAAAATCATGCTTCTCTCAAAATCAACAAACAAAAGTGGGATTCAAAAGCTGCTGTCTTAGCGCTTAAATGATATGATGCTCTAAATCAAAATAAGAATGCTAACATGCTAAACTAGGATTGTGTGGTTGGTACACTGTGCCTGCTCAACACCCACTTTGTCAAGTAATACACTCTTCTTACACAGGTCTATACGAGCAGTGAGTGCAGCACCTATAGACTGTTGAAAACATGGATGTGGTCTCAGCACATTAACACACGTCAAACTGTTGATCAGTCCAGGGTTTAGACCCACGACTATAATAACCATTGCATGTAAATCCAACAGCTTTAATACATGAGATGTTTTTTCTAAAAGAAATGAAAACAAGTCAGCACTGCAGATGATTGTGTGCAAACACAGACAGACTTTGATTTACACATCCAAATCAGCTGGCTCTGAGCGCTGAGCTCGTGAACCAACTGGCAATGAAGCAAATCTAGTAAATGCCTTTTGTGCATTAGCAGTACCCTGCCAAGCCACTTTCACTTACAATTATGGAAATTGACTGTGGGCTGCGGAGACAAAGAAAAATCAGAGAAGATTGTGCGTTTGAGGCCAGACGGAGCTTGAAACCAGCAGGATCGTGCATTAAAGCTACAACTTCAGGGTCCACGAGCGAATGTTTCTCTTTACAACGAGCAGCTATTAGGTCATCTTCATGTGCAGCGGATTCGCATCTGTAGAAACGCATTAGCTCGGTAATGAAAGCAATAATAAACAAAGAGCTGAGGGGAGCCGAAGACAATAAATAGTTGACGTTAATGAAAAGACCCTAATGATGAACATGCGTGATTAAAGTGAAGAAGTGTGTCACGCAGGAGTGGAGGAAATCTTTCCCATGTCGTATGTTTAATAACAATACATCTTCATCAAATTAGACACAGCATGGACTGTATTCAGATCAAATCTGAGCTTCTACTGTGAAATAATCCTCCATATAAACACAAGAGGCATGTCCATCCATGTTATGTTTACATCTATACAATGATACATGCATTATGGGATGGGATCAGTCACTGCGTTGTCCTAAACCAGAAGTCCCTCCTCAGAATTAACTGAACTGAAATGTGCAGCATGAAGAAAACGTTGGAGTGATTATTGTTGATTAATACAGATCTGCATGGTACAACTTTTTCAATACTTTCTTGTAATATAGCAGGATTTAAACAAGGGTCTGGTTGTTTCTGCGACTCTTGTTTTAACTATAAGAAGCCAAGCGTGGCGGCTGCAGTGTGCTCTAGCTTGACGTAATGTTATGACAGATGTGGAGGGACTTTCTGGCACTCTAATCAAACCACAAATCATCATTGCAGACAGGCTGAGTGAAACTCAACACCTGCGCTCCTGATAAAAAGTATCATGTCTCTTTGCATAAAAGAAAAAGGAGAAAAGTATGTTTTGACGGTAGCTGTGGTTATAAATAGCGAGCCCTTTGCAACTTATCTGTTGACATTTAAAATAATAATTGATGCTTAAAATGATCTTGGTTAGATAAAAGTTTTAGATTTATATCCAACTTCGTTATATAATATGGTTGAGTCTTGACTGAGCTCAGATTGAAACACCAACTCACCGAGAAATCATTTTCAGGGAACAGGAGCAAGTCTCTGAGAGGGTCCTCCTTCAACTCGTCTCCCAGTTCAGAGATCACTGTCTCATAGTCGAGAGGATCGATCACCTTCGGCTTTTCCTGCTGCGAATGAAAACAGAAACATCCAGTCAGTTTTCACATGATGTGTTTGGTATTTGACATAAATACTATGTAAAATTATAATAAAACAGTAAAATATTTCATTACAAAGGATTGAAAAGTAGTGGCAAGTATTGTAAGCTGACTATAAAAGCTTGCAGACAACACTTGGAAAACTGAATTTTTGTCAGGTTTACAACACAAAACTTGAACTGTCATTATAAATACATGTAGAGTAATACGGTATTATGTAACAACAACAAAAATTGAGCTTTAGAGACTTAAAGCTCCTTAATTCGTATCTCAAATCAATTCTGAGAGATTTTGACAGCAGGTAATAAAGCAATATAAAGTACATTTGTCATTTGTCAAAGACAGAAGCACTTCCTGTGTTTTACCATGACATCACCAGGACCTGAAATAACCATGAAGGAAGTCTCTGGACAGCTTCAACAGTGAAGCTTCAACACACCCCACAGAGTTTCATTTAACCAACTTACAACCCAGAAGCTATATGAAAACTTCAACTTGTGACAAGGCCCTGAATTTACTGACATTTCTAAACCTCAAACACACAAAGGTTGCTTCTAAATGTGGACACCTGTTCTCGTGCTGTCCTCCAAACCCGGTTTAGACACCTTTAGTGCATAAAAACCACTAGCGCTGAACTCATACGACACTGTTGCATTGCAGACCAAACAATCTAATACGCACTTACTTTCCTTTTTTATTTCAGGCGTCTAATAAATTGTTGAAAGATTATGTAACCTGTCAATGAGTCACCCTCCGAAAACATCATTTTAGATTTGTGAAACACGCAACGTGGACTGGTGGATCACTTTGTCATTCAGGCAACAGCAAGCGAAACAGCAGCGAAGTAAGAGCTTGAAGCAGGCTGCGGTGAGGAAGTAATGATCTCTGGTTTTAGTTCACACGCACACACTGCAGGCCGGAGCTTTTACACACCACAGCTACACTAACAGAAAAAACAGGTCTGCTGGAACGCAACCAAGAGGGAAACGAGAATGTAACTCAGACGCTGTCTGTTTCAGAGCAACCTTTTGTTTATGCACCACTGCTACTCTCCATACTGTTCAAGTTTACCACCATGCAGTAGGCCTATACAAGGTCGACGAGATTCATCTGGGTTTTACAAGATAAGCATCTGGAGTTCATGTCAAGTTTTTGTTCCTTATTTCTTAGTGGTAAAACTTTCACGCACTGATGGACTTAATTTGACAATGTAAGAATAAGAAATTGACAAAAAATGCAAAAAATTGTAACGTTTAACTTCTCATTCAACCATATTTGTTCCTTTTGCTTGTTATTTAGTGTAAACTAGATATCTTTATGTTTTTGGCTCCTCCTCATGTGAGGAGTTTATTTATGTTTGTAAAATAAACTGAAATTTATACTCAAGTCTTTAAACGAGTAGCCAAAAACAAACAAGATCATCAGGAGCAAGATTGACAATTTGTGTATTATATTTTTGATGCGACGCAGATGCCGAAAAGCTGAAAAAAGCTAATTTTTTTTTTACAATTTTCACATCAAGTAGTCACAAGAAATGATACATATGACTGGCACTTGATGCTACTTAAACTTTAAAACACAAACCAACCAAACCAAAAGTTCCTTACAGGAGCTTTAATTTAGACTAAACATGCAGGATGAAGGTGTCTGATTTTATAATAAGTGTTTTTTTTATAAGCTATATCTAACATCATATCCCCGGACTATCAATCTGCATGTCACAATACACATTTGAGTGATGAATTATGTATGTACTGAATCAAAATAAGAAGCTTCGTAACAAACTCTCACACCAAAAAAGTTTGCTTTTCCGGGAAACAGTAATGTAAGTACAGTAGATGACAAGATTAAATGTGAGGTTGGAAAGGTCAGACCAGGCCATGAGATACAGTTTGGGGTTTCCAAAGATTCCCTGTGACTCTGCTCTAACCTATGTGACATCAGTGAAAACATTACAGGAGAAAGTTTGGTTTTCCCCACATGAGCTGAAAAGTGAGCAACTTTAATACACAAATAATTAGATTTCACAAAGTCATGTTCAATGGGGGGAAACGGCCATATCTTTAGATGTGAAAGATCTCATATTTTAAGAGCTGAATGAATCATTAAGACGATGACTGACAGTATGTGTGCAACTCATAGTAAGCCATAGCCATGTGACAGTCTATAAGTAATAGTTTAGAGAGTAAAGCACCAGATATGTGACTTGACATTGTGATAAAAAAATTTAAAAAATAAAAATAAAAATACATACGATGCTCAGTCGGGTGAAATCCGATCTCACTCGTTTGCTCTTTAGTCTCTTCCTGAAGGTGATTTTACTCCTGAAGCTCATTGCAAAACTCAAAGGTGTACAGAAAACAAACAGCAACACTTCACCTTTTCAACTTTACATTTACCGCTAATACAAAACTGATCTTCACAAATCGCACATCGCAGGCATGTGCCCTAAACAGAAACAGAAGTAACACTGAGCGGCTTTGTGAGTGTGTGTCGGCACACGTGGATGTAGAGGAAGTTGGTGTTTGGTGTCCGACTCACACTTGAGCACACACACAACCACACAAACAGAAAATCCCCAGCAGAGGAGCAACGAACCAATGAGGTGCTTTATTCTCTACACATCATACCATCAAAGTCTTTCGCTTTCTGAGTTCAGCACAGCAAGACCAGACTCTGTTATCTCCAACAAACAAATACAGTTAACATCTTTCGGCCCCCAGTAAACTTAAAGTGCAAACACATCCCCTTCTCTGTTAATCACTATCATGAACCAGCACACCCTCAGTGTGACCCTCAGCACCTTATCTGCTCATGTCCAATATTATCAACGGCACACTGTCAACTCACACACACAAATATGAGCGTGCAAACTATGGACTTCCTGTTCAAAAGCTGGCCTGTCTTATACAGGTAGTCACATCATAAAACTGTGGAAAATGAAATAAATATGCTTTCATAGATGTTGTTTTTCTCACTTATTAAAAAAACCACATTAAAACATCACAGATTTACAAAAATCAACAAAATGTTTGGCCTGTACACATTTACTGTATATACTCACTTCCCCCAGCACTAACCTTAGAGCAGAACAGAGATCTCTACAAGAGGAAACAAAACTCTGATGGTACAACAAACTCTTTTACCTATGAACACAAAACTTCAAGTGCCATTTGAAGTTCTTTCAAACACTGATGGATTAACGCAATGATCCCCCACCGGGGACTCTCTCTGACTAATGCCAGTTTCTCTGAATCTTCTGCAGGTCCCAGGGGTGAAATATCTTGCTGCTACTGTGGGAAGAAATCCTAATCCTGACGAAATGCTGTTGCAGGGAGGTAGGCAGAATGACTGTTACGTAGCCAAGAATATAGACTATGTTTTTATGTGTTTGTATATCAAATTCACCATTACACTTGTTGCAAATATGCAACAGTATGTGACAACTTGGTATCATGCGAGTGCAAAAATCTTGACTTATAAATAGTTCAAGTTATAAGTTACAAAAAATGATGCTTCAGTGTTTTCAAGAACAACCAGGATGGCAGCTGCTGCTTGTTAAAACTCTATTAAACGAACCTCATGATTTATTTCGTCCTAACAAGACTGAAAAAGTGGATGTAGATAGTTAATCTGGGAGAAAAGTACTTTTCTTTTCCTCTGCATGCCGCTGTCTTTTCACATCACTATTGCTGTTTGTTTCATCACATGCCATGCTGCGGTATTCTGATTGGTTGCAGGTCTGTACGATCGCTTCCAGCACTCACTTTCGTCAGTGACTGCTGCTAAGGCACCCCCAGGAAAACAGAATAAACTGGGCAATGTCAGGCCTAAATCTGTTTAATCTGTTAAAAACAACTAAATAAAGAAACCCAAATAATAATAATAATAATAATAATAATAAATTTTATTTAGAGCGCCTTTCATGTCACTCAAGGACACTTTACAGAACATATAAAACAATGATAACAAAACACTATTAACAATTAAAATCATCAAAACAGTTAAAATCAACAAAGCAGCATAAACAACAGCAAAGGAATAAATACAGAAATAAATAATAACAATTAATCACCTTATAGAGGGCTAAATAAGGAAAATGTTGTTTCAATTTCATGTCTGTGTTGTTTTCAATGTGTTGCTTGTGCTTACTGAGTATTTGAGATAACTAAAATGTGGGAAAGTCTTCTGTGTCGAAAGGTCACATTATTTGTATTATTCTATTTAAGGGTTATACTCAATCACCTGGATCAAATTTTAGACGCATTTGAGGTTTAGGTGCAAAGACGGTACGACGCCTCATGGAAAGTTTCTTGTGGCTTTAAAAGTGTGAGTTGCAGACGTTTTCCTGAGATAGCATCTTGATGTTTGTGAGAGTTTATGAGTGAAATGAGACTGCTCTGTAACACCATAATTCATTACTGTCTCTCAGATGTTCAAGAGACGGTAAAACAGTAACACGGCGTAATAAACCTCCAAGCACAGACACTTCTAAGTAACTCATTAATCTTAATCTGCTGAATGTTTTCCTAATCTTATAACGTTAATGAGCCTTTGATGGTTGGCACTGCACTCCTTCAAGTTTATCTAATGTAAGCAGCGATCCCTCTTTCATTCTCTCCCTCCTCTCTTTTGCTCCAGCTGCCTCAGCTGGCCCCATCCCTCCATTTGTCCTCCCTCCTATCACCACATCCCACTCCTTTATTTCTTCATCCTTTGATTCCCTCTGTCTCTCTTCTGCTCCCTTGTTCTCATCCGGTTAAACACCCCTTTTTAACATCTCTATGTCAGTCCAGGGTCTCTCTGTTTTCCTTCTCCCTCCCTTTAAGCAGGGGTGAGAAAAAGAGTGGGCGATGATGTTGGTAAACTACGGCTGTGTGGAGTGCGCAAATAGAGCACTAGACTGGCCGCTCACAGCGTGACTGTGAACATGGACGTGGGACAATGGGGGAGCAGGGAGGGTCTGCTGAATTAGTCAGGAGAAAAGAAGAGCAGGAAAGATGGAGAAAAAGACGGAGAGAAATCACAGAGTTTGACTATTTCCACAAGCTGCTCTGTATCCGAGGGCTTATCATCCTGTTAATAGATGTGAGGAAAGTGTGACAAAAACAAAGTGAGTGGGAAGTGTGGAAGAAGAAGAAAAAGAGTGTGACAGATTGATCGAGGGACAAAGGAGAGTAGAGAAGTGGGAAGAGGAGGACAGCTGAGACAGCAGAGGGGAGAAGAAACTAGACAGAAACCATCTGCTTTGAATCATTAAAGCGATACAGGGTTTGCAGAGAGACACAGTGGGACTAATAGGGATCATACTTCTGAGCAAAGTCTCCTCCTCTGATCTCGACTTTTAGAGGTTCAATTTGACGTGGTGAGGTGAAGAGCCATGAAACCTGTTTGTAACTTCTTCTAACAAGAAAACGACACACCTGCATGTTGCCTGCTCACTTCACACATCTCCTTCAATCTGTTTACTCCACTGATGGTTCTCCAAACTCTCAGAAACCCAGATGGAAAATAGCAGAAATCCAAAATTCTTGTCCGTGACTGATTAACTAGACAAAAACATATTTTCAAATGTCACTCAAGAAGTTTTCAGGGGTCAACAGCGGCGAGGACTGACAGTGGCAAAAGAGAAAGTGAAGTATCTGCATTCTTTCGCTGACCACAGTGTCAGTGTCAGTGACAGGAGAACAGACAGAGTGTCAAGTTTAGAGGGGGTGATGGATGGAGACGGACAGTGAACTACAATGTCTGACAGCCAGGGAACAAGGACTTATTGAGTGTGCATTAGATCTTGCCCTTTTGGTTTGTGGTTTGTAATTCCACCTGTGTCCCTACTTTTTACAGTCAAACATAATAAAAATGAGATAAAGTTTACAGATTTCTGGAGTTTTACTTGATTCCAACAGCTACACTGGTAGTATTTTTGGTCCGATTGTCACATTCCGGAGCCAAACAAACAGAAAAAGGGCACAACTGCAGAACAAAAAGTGGTTTAATGAAAAAATAACTAAATAAAAAGCAACAAAAACTTACTTGAAAAATATTCAACTCAAAAACCCAAAAGGGCAAAAACCAACAGAAAGCACTGGGGGGAAATCCACAAGACTGGAGACACTAAGACATACATGCAGAGGCATGGACCGACAAAGAAAGAGGGGAAGACTATGGCTGTGTTCGAAATGAATCAATCCCTAACCCCTAATCCCCATATGGGGTTTCACTATATAGCTGACTATGTAGTGAGCTCAATTACTGGAGGTTTCGGACACTACATGGCAAGACGTAATGCATGACGGGATGCCCACCACCGGTGAGTGACCATCGGATGGTCACTACATTTTGCAATGCTCTATGGGAAATTTTGAGTCGCCTATATGGGGCACTGGAATTGATCACTCACACTCAGGTTTCGAACACCCCTCAAAATGACCCCCATATAGTCGCCTATATAAGGGTTAGGGATCCATTTCGGACATAGCCAAGGACTATATATGCACACAGGGAAACGAGCAACGAGAGGCAGGTGAGACACAGAGACACAAGATCAGACAATTACTGAGGAGGGAAAACTGAGGAAGTAAAACAAGACTAGAAACACAGGGAATAAACTACCTCAAAATAAAACAGGAAACACTGATAAGGAATAAAACACTGAGAACATGAGGGAAGTGGGATCAGACACAAATTGAAAACTCAAGACAAGACTACAGGGGAACAGAAACACTAGGAAGCACAAAGAAAATATACTCTGATAACCAAAACTAGGGGAAAACTAAATACCAGAACATATATCATGACACCAATTTCTTCTGACCAAGGAAGTTGCAAATGATTACAGCACTGATACCACAGAATGACAGCTAATTCAGTGGAAATTACATAATCGTTATGTCATGCAGAATACTGTGTGTGTGTATTTACACATAGAGACAAACTTAGACAGAGATGTCTTAACCTAATGTTGGTTTCATAGTTGCCAGGGCCGCCTTTGACCTTTGGAGTTCCCCAAGGCTCTGTACTCGAGCCTCTGTTGTTCTCTGTCTTTTTGCTGCTGTGTGGTAGTATTTCTCAGATTTCATTTTTATGCTGTTTTTTTATTTTTTTTGCTTGATTCTTTAACCTGGCTTTCTTAAAGAGTGTGTAAATCATCACTAATGAATCACACATTGGACCTCTGCCTTGAACATAAAACTGTGCTGCAGAAACCTGCTGCTATTGAGAACAGTGCCATTTCTGTTCTTCAAGAAGTTGGGGTTACTAATTCGAGGTTCAAAAACTACCTCCAACATTTCCACACCATTAAGTTGTTTCAGCTCGGAGAAGTGTAAAAAAAGTTGGCATTGTTGTGCTAATAAATCTCCTGCTCTCAAAAAAGAAACTATAGCACGCTACATCAGCAGAAAGTGGAGTTGGTGCGCTAGTTTTCAGCAGAGACTGGCCTGAATACAACGGCACACATTCTTATGCTTGCATTGCAGGAATCAGCATGCAAACATGACTTTGCAAGTTAAACTTATGATTCTGCTTCGCCAGAGAGGCCAGAAAATCAGGCAAGAGGACAGACATGAAAGGTTAATGGGGGGAGGGAAAAAAAGGGAGACAAAAAGGGCGACTGTAAAAATCCCACCCTGCCAAAACTCGAACATTTTTTCCACTGGGCTTTCAGAAACCAGGGTCTTTCTGGGAATAAAACCTCCAGCCAACACTAATGGATACAGATACCAAACAGATGGCTCACATGCATCACTTCACTGAAAGAGAAGTCATGAACGGGAAGCACACATGTACACTGATATATTTCATTCATCCAGCCTTACATTATATGTCTTTATTCATTCACTTACAAGCTCGGTCCCTCTGCATCTTATTCATGGGTCTGTTTGAACTGCTATTTTTATCATCTTCTCTGTGAGCCATATGCAGAGAAAGAGGATTTTTCCCACAGAAACTAAATTCCTCATGTCTGACCCCACCATCCCCCTCCATTCTCCTCTCTCCATTTCCGTCCTTCTGCTTCTCAGCTGTGATGGGTGACAACCAGACCCCATTGGCTCATCGATCATACTGCAGCCTCGGCAATACGGGAAAAGAAAGCCGCAGAAAGTTAAAGAGGGTAAGGTGGGGATGTAGAAGGCAATGGAAGGATGCAGGAATTTGACTATTACGTTTATACGTGAAGTTCTGCTTCAAATTTATGGTTCATGAATCCATCAATCATTAGAAGCTGAAACGTACGGAGCTATTTATTCATGCACATTCAAGTTTTGCGCACAAACACTGCAAAAACACACACTGTAGACCCTTCTACCTGCAGACACATGCACTAAGTTGTCAGGCTTTGGAAATCAGCAGGTTGCAGCAGCAGCATTGCTAGTTACCATGACAATGATGGTCAGAGGTGAGGTGGTACTGGTGTAACCCTCAAGGGTGGGAGTTGCAGCATCCAATGATATCTGGTCCTGTCTCGAACACATGTGACCGCAGTCAGCCCCGCCTACTGAACGAAGAAGAAGGACCACACTTGCCGAACAACCCATAATCCACTGCTGTCACCCCCTGATCCAGCCTGATCCCCGGGCTTCCCCTGGACTGCAGTTCCTGGTTTATCCTAGTTAACCTGAACTCAACAATCTGCTTCAGTCAGGTCCAATCAGCCCCTGGTCCAGCCAGTGGTGCCGTGCTGTGTTCAGGCGCTCTAGGAAAACTGAGGCTTCACTTCATCCTTGTCAACTATCCTGGTCCTACTTTGCAAGCTCTCTGTGTGTACCGCCACTCTTCAGCCTCCAGCTCCTAATGTTGCTTTCGCTGAGCTTCCACACTGGCAGCCTTACACGGCTCTCTCTCCCTCCCTCTCTCTCTCTTCCTCTAGTACACACACACACACACTGGCTGCAGCTGTGCGTGGTTCAGCCCAGCCCGGCTCACCCTACAAATCAATGTCTGCAATAGCTGTCAGCTGACCAGAACCAGCTGCTTCACACACACACTGACAAACACACACTGACAAACACACACTCAAACCTACATGATTTTTTCTGATTTCCATGCCGCTGCCGCCGCTGCACTCTCCCTCTCCATTTTTCTTCCAATCACAGCAGTCCTTTCAAGTCTGAGTTCTGCTTGGCCCGGCTTGCGCTTTTGTGGTTTGTGCATTGAAAACAAGATGTAAAGTGCAGACACGCTAACCCACACTCTGATTTTGTAAAATAAACTGTCGCTTTTAAAAGAGAAAAAGAGTCTAAAAAAGAGCATGTGTTTATGCATATACAATGTTCGCTACGGTAACTTCAGCCTAATGGCTCTGGGGAGAGTTGTTGGGTAGTGGTAAGAGAGGCTATTGAATGGAAAGTGGATGAAAAATGGGAGGTGAGTGGTTTTAAACAAGAAGCATGCCAGAAGAGTTATGGGACTGTAGAGCTACACTGGGACTTCTCTGACTTTTGCTGAGCACATTGTAACGCAGATGAACTCTAGGTAGGTCTAAAAAAAGAGCTTTAAGTTTTTCGAACTCTGCTTTAGTTCTGACGACCCGCTCTAATCGCTTTAATTGTTCTCATGTCACCGAAACATCTGGTTCTGCCTTGTTTTAAGCGCTCCACTTTCAATGTGTGTGGCTACCCAGAAAGAAAATATGAGCGTTCTGAGCACAAAATGGTTTTCATATGTTTGCAGCGATTCGAAATTCTCCTCATTGTTAAATTCTCCTTGTTCTTTCTGGCAGATCCGGAGTTGATCCAAAATATAGATTTTTTTTCAAAACTTTTTGAAGCTTGGATTTCACTTTGCTGTTGTTTGCCCTCTTTGTCAGTCACTGATGCCCAGAAACCTTTAAAGTGCCTCATGAGGAGGAGATGGGGTCAGATGAAGTAAACAAGAAAAACAAAGCAGAATGTCTTACACTGACTACTGTGAATCAGTGGACCGATGTTTAAATTACGCTTCCCCTTGCTGCCGTAATATCTTACATTCTATGTCAAAATACAACATGCCACTATGACAATCATGAGAGGAAGTGAAACTACCTCCAGACTCTGATTCTAAAACCATAAATAAAGTCAGAAGTCATCGACTATTTCAAAAGAGAGAAGTCAGATGTTTTTTTTTTTCCACTTAAGTGACATGGTGAATAAATGAATGCATGCTTAAGACCACATGGCTTCATGGTGGCAGTTACATCAGCAGTTTCATTCCACTTTTATGGATCCGTCTTACATTCTCAGCTTGAGTCTGCTGTCTTCAGATTAAAGTAGATCCCCTCCATAAGGTTTGAACATTTAAAATATTTTCACTGACTTTACTCACTGAAAACTCTCAGGGAAATAAAAAAGTACATTTAAAATCCATCATGAAATTCAGTAAAGTAAAAGGGGTCTCCAAATCTTGTGGTGTTAGGAATATTGGACCAAAGTTCTTACATCTCTCAGGAGGAACTTTAAGCTTATTGTGATATTGATGTCTCCTGTAACCAAAACCATCAAAAACATTATGACAGTTTTGCATAATGTTTAATGCTTGTAACCACTGCCACCAGGTGTCAGAAGAAGTTGATGACAGCATGCTTGCACATGTGCATGATAATATGAGACAAGAGATAAGGGGCACAGCTTAGTCTAGAGGGGTCATCAGTATAAACCAGATAATTTAAAACTGCAACACAACCACTCCTAGAAAGTGAAACATAAATGTTTTGAGCTCCCCCTGGTGACTAGCTGTGGGTTTAATCCTTTCTCACAATGTAAAAAGATAGAGGCATGATGTCCATTGTAAGAGCCAAAATATTTGTTTAGGATATGATTTATGATTCTAGGTATGTCACATCCAGGGATTCTCACTGAGGGGTATGGTTTTGGGATGTTCGGCGGGTTATTTAAATCTCACCGGTGTAGTCAGACAACAGGTTGTGGTAAGCTCTGATAATTTTCTGTTGACCGTTTGTCACCGTTTCACTCATCCTGTTTCAGCCTCATCACAGCATATCACTTTTTTCATTTGAAGGCAAAGGTTTTAGACCTGGATCAGTGTATTTTCTTTCCTTTTTTGAACAATAAATTATTTTTTTAACACTCAAACCGGACTGATAATTGAACGAGTCACAGATGCAAGTGAACCTAAACCCCAGTGGCCTTTTTTGTTGAAAGAAAGCAGTCTCTACATCCATATTTAAATATAATCAATGAAATAAATGTACAATATAAACAAACCATAAATTCCTTACAGGAGCTTTAGACATGTTGACTACAAAGGGTTATAATAATGTCATACACTTAAAGCTCCTATGGGAAGTTTTTTGATGTTAATAAAAAAGACGGAAATTTATACAGTTGCCTCTTCATAAGACCCAAAACCATCAGTGACAACACTGACTATTTTTATTTTCTAATTTTTCATGCCTGGAACTTGTGTGAAGGGGTAGGTGTTAGCCACGCATGGTCAAAAGTCAATACTCAAACATGTTCAGGGTAATTAGGCAAAGACGGCTTTTCCACAGGGGGCAACAAAATTGACAAACTGAAAGATCCCCTCAGGAGCTTTAACTGTCCTCTAAGGAAAATGGACTGCCTCCACAAAAGTAGCCGTAAATAAAACAAACAAAACAACATTGATATCCAACAAGACCTACAATGCAAACAGAGACACATGTTAAGCAACAAAGATGAGGATGTAAATGCAGTTATGAATGCATCTCTAGAAACAGCCACTTACCCAATCACAGGGCAATGTAAGAGATAATTTTACATATTTTTTCCAACACAATCCATCTCCATGCATGCATTGTTTTCACAAGCTGTTGGTAAACGTGTAATTTAGTGACACGTAAAGTACAGTCCCGGGCACCCTCACACTCTTAACTCCCGGCAGAGAGTAGGAGGTAACCATGGTGATGCAACGAGGTCATGATTAAGGTCATTAGCGTCGATGTCTGTATGACAGACTATCCTGCCCACCACCCACAGAAACATTCATTATTACAACCCTTTACATCGCTATATATAAACAACACAGAGAGAGACTCACTTCAGCCTGTGCAAATACCAGAGTGCCATTCCTCTCCCACAGTGTACAAACAATAATGTGCCCCTCTTATGTAGACTATATGACAGTGCATATGTCCGTTGCAGTATGCAGTACGAAGCAGAGAGGCAGACATTAACCAAACCCACTGCCACCATCACAATCACAATCACCACCCTCCTCCCCAACACCTCTGAATCCATCTCACTGAACTCTCTTCAGTGTAACATGCATGAAAGCACATAGAAATCCACAGTGATGGGCTTTGTTTGTGTGCCAGGCCTCCACAATGGTCCTGTCATGCAATTATGCCCACACACACATGCCCTGTAGATGCCACCAGAGTCCCAATGTTACACAGCTTGCCTGGAGTTGTGCTCCAGTTACAGATTACATCTCCACACAGGCTGTCGCATGTATGTTTCCCTCTGCAAATCTATCAAGAGTTGCGTAAACTAATTGAATATTGATTATGTTTGCAGTCTATGACATGCAAATATGTACAGGAGAGGATAAGATGATTAAAAAGACAGTCATAAATGTGTAATCAAGGGATAATTAATATTAAAGAAAAGCAGATTTTCTTAGCCGATACATATAGTGATACTTTTCTTTTTTTAACCTTTAATATTTTACATATTATGTTTTTTGGGATTGTGGTTTTTAACAGTGGGAGGCAGTAGTGTGCAGGAGATTTGGTTAAAATGCTGTAAATACAAAAGAAGGTAAAGCATGAACAGGTCCTGCTACTCTAAAATGATCTATTTAAATCTTACTTTATCTCTTCATAACAAAACCACTTTTCCTTGTGCTTCATTTCTTTTTTAAAGCTGAAGCAGGAGGAGAGAGGATCCAAAACAAAACACCCAAGGCAACTTTCGGCAAATGAGGCGCCGAGTATTGAATAAGAGATGAGGACCTCACACTTCCAAGGAAAAGAGATGAAGAGGACGGCACACCCTCTGCGGTTTGCAGCCAGAGAAAGAGCTCATGTTTGTCTCTCTGGTCTCTTGTCCTTGTGTTTTAGCTCGTTCACTATTAATAAAACAGATGATAAAATGTGAGATGAAAGTATCACCTCATGAAAAACCACAAACACCTGTAACTGCTCTTTGGTTCTTTGTACTTTCGCACATTTTCCTTTGTCACTTCACTCAGTATTAACCTACCGCATACATTCAATTTCATGATTTTCTTGTCCACAAAATAAACCCCATGTTTAATAATGTTTTATTTAGTAGTTTATTATTATTATGGGCCACATATTTTCAGAAAATTTCCTAAATATCAGGTGATTTGAAAATATATTTAACACATTCTTTGGTAAGTACAATGAAACCTTGAGATACTAAGTAAGTGCTAAACTGGTACACTATGTAGGTCCTGCACCAGCTTTAGATTTCAGTAAAGGGAAATCTTATTTATTTTATAGTCTGTATACGAAAATACAAAAAAGAGCATAATAGAGCTTTGAAGTGGCTCTTTGTTCTCAGAGATATTTCAAAGTGAGAAAATTTGAATATTAGTGATTTAAAAAGAATGAGTCATTGTTTAAAATCATCCACATTAAAGATTTACAGTCAGTGTTCAGAATTAGTTGGAGTTTTTTCCCCCCTCTTTGGTCCGGAAATAACTTTGAAGGCAAGATAAGATCCACTGGAGGCACCAAAATCAGACTAAACCAACTCAAAGTTCCTCACAGGAGCCTTTAAACTTCAGGCTGTTGATGAGTGATTAAAAGGATGTTGTCCATATTCTCGGTTTTTATCCACTTTTGCTGACGTCAACTTATTTTATAGCATAATTCATTACAGTGCAATGTCAGAGGAGCAACTGATCGGAGCGTCTCCTCTCCTTACGGTGTAGGACGGAGCACTTTAGGAGATCATTCATTCCTGCTGCTATTCGTTCTCATAATGATCATTGTTGATTTAAATGTGTGGGGGGTTTAGTCGTGGGCTCGAAGAGTGTTTATATATAGATTTATTGTCTTTCTTCATCTGAAATTGCTGCTGAACGACAAGTGAATTTCCCCCTCGTGGGGATTAATAAAGTATCTATCTATCTATCTATCTATCTTTGCATTGAGCTAATCCTTTATCTTAAGCACTGAAAAACTTAAAAAGAAGATTAAAATCAAGCATGTTGTACTTTAATGTACTTTCACTTTATTGTCTATTGGAATTTTATTCTATGGTGTTGTTGGAGTGATGTGTGCACATGTTACTGCTGACTGCAAAGGGAATTATTTTCCACACGGATAACGAAGAAAATCCTGAACCTGGATTTATGGTTTGGATTGACTTCATGTAATATAAATAAAGTCATTAGCGTTCAGCTTTCATGTGCACCTTTGCTGATGTGTCTCCCCTCTGCCTGTGTGACCATGGTTCATCTGTGTGTAGTCTGAACTTGTGCAGAGGATGACATCACTTGGTTGCACAGGGCAGTATGCTGCCCTCATTTGTTCACTTAATATTTTCCAGATGTACAGTCTCCGTCTTTGTAATCCTTCTGTTGCAGCTCAAAAGTGCTGGAGGTGACAATGTAGCGGTTATTAAGAACATCAGATCTACGGGAGTTTCATGCATGTGTATGATTGCACGTTGCGAACGCATGTAGGTTAACTATTTAAACAAAATACAAACACAAGGCATTTTAACTGACTTCACAAACCTCAGCCAACTAGGCCAAGTAGGAAACCACAGTCCATTAAAGTCCTGCACACTGCCTTGTAAGCAGTTAGCCGGGCTATAGTTAGGTTCCCTGTAGAGCGGCGGGCTGACTCACGGCAGCGCTGTTTGATGTGGTGCAGAGCTTCGCTCGGTTTACTTGGGAAAACACTCTCCTGTTCCCATGGTGACCACAACAGGAAGGATGCTGTCATTCATTGGAGCCAGGTTTTCAGCAAACTACAGCTCAGCCCTCGGGCGCAACATGAGGGACACAGGGTCAACTTCCTTCACCTCATCCAGCAGCAAACATACAGCACGCTTTCAGAGCATGAAGTCAGAAATAAAAACTACAAAATCTTTAAGAGTTAAAGAAATGCAAATGATAGAGAGAACATTTCTCTTTGCAGGGACTGTAGTATCAAACCCTGTGATGGTGATGCCGATCTGAAACTCATCCTAATGTGAGCTTCTTGGTAAAACCTCAGTCTGCAGATGCAGCACCACCACAGCACATGCAAAAACAGGAAGACAAACGAGGCGAAGTTCGAAACAGAAGATTTTTTTTAACCTGAGGTACTGAACCACTCTTGCAGTCTATTAAGATATTCAAAATTAAAACAGTAATTGAACTTGTCTTGCTACTGACCAATAACAATCATAGGTTAAGCTGCAGAAATGCTTCAAGTACTAGTCAAGACTGATTATCACAATGCATTAATCAGTGTGAGGTATTTGTATGTACTGAAAGTGGTATGCAGGAAAAAGCAATATGTGAGCCTAATATAAGCCTCTCTCTGGCACAGTTTAAGTCTGAACTTTAGGGGCTTTCTTGCATCTGATTAGGGCCCGAGCGTAGCTGCTAAGCAGCTGCGAGAGCCCTCTTGTTCCTGATGGATTCTTCTTTCGTTATTTTTCCTCCGCTTTAAACTGGAAAATGGTCCACTTCCCACTGGTGAAAACTCAGGAAATTTGGCAGGACGACCGGGCCTGGTGAAAAATTCGATATTCTGAAGTCGCCCAAACAAAAAAATGAAAAATGGCTCCATAGCGCCCCCTATGGTGAAAACTCACCTGACGCCTGTACGCTTTGTCAAAATGACACAAAATTTGACACACATGTGTATCTCAATAACATCTACAAAAAAGTCAGTGCGGGCGTATCTGTCAAATGTACCGTTAAAGGGCTATTTCGCATTTGTTGCCGATCCGCACACATTGGAATTTCGCTAACTCCTCCGAAGGCTTTCGTTCCACCGGCAACAAATTTGCTCAGGACAATCTACACCCCATGGCCATTAAAAGTTGTACAAATCATGACGCTGCACCCCACGGTTTACATTCTAGGGGGCGCCAAAGATAACCCAAAAATCCACAGTCTTAAAAGTCTTATAACTTTTTATTTTTGTCCTCACTGGCCTCCAAGTTTTCTAGGATGATGCAATGTCCAGCCATCAACACATTTGTGAAGAAATTTTTACTCCCCAAAAGAGCGCCCCCCCATGGCAGGAGAAAAAAGTCCATTTTTTCTTGTCCCGTAAGGTGAAAATACACATTGTTGAGTGTCACGCCTGAACGCTTTGTCATATTGACACAAAATTTGACACACACGTGTATCTCAATAAGATCTACGAAAAAGTCAAAGAGCACGTATCTGTATAATGTACGGTTAAAGGGCTATTTCGCATTTTTTGCGATTTTTTTTTTGCGATTTGATTTTTTTACTGTTTAACTGATCCCTGTTGGAACTTATTCACCATTTTTTACACACAGCTCCTAACCAGAAGGGGTTTAATTATGCATACAGGCGGCCAATCACTTGTATTATTCCACCGCTTGTTATTTCATCTGTATCCGGCGTTTGATTTTTTTGGAGGTTGTTGGCGATAATTAAAGGCCAGTGAAGTGTTTTATTCCAAATAATGCAGCTGCGAGAGCCCTCTTGTTCCTGATGGATTCTTCTTTCGTTATTTTTCCTCCGCTTTAAACTGGAAAATGGTCCACTTCCCACTGGTGAAAACTCAGGAAATTTGGCAGGACGACCGGGCCTGGTGAAAAATTCGATATTCTGAAGTCGCCCAAACAAAAAAATGAAAAATGGCTCCATAGCGCCCCCTATGGTGAAAACTCACCTGACGCCTGTACGCTTTGTCAAAATGACACAAAATTTGACACACATGTGTATCTCAATAACATCTACAAAAAAGTCAGTGCGGGCGTATCTGTCAAATGTACCGTTAAAGGGCTATTTCGCATTTTTTGCCGATCCGCACACATTGGAATTTCGCTAACTCCTCCGAAGGCTTTCGTTCCACCGGCACCAAATTTGCTCAGGCCAATCTACACCCCATGGCCATTAAAAGTTGTACAAATCATGACGCTGCACCCCACGGTTTAGGTTCTAGGGGGCGCCAAAGATAACCCAAAAATCCACATTCTTAAAAGTCTTATAACTTTTTCTTTTTGTCCTCACTGGCCTCCAAGTTTTCTAGGATGATGCAATGTCCAGCCATCAACACATTTGTGAAGGAATTTTTACTCCCCAAAAGAGCGCCCCCCCATGGCAGGAGAAAAAAGTCCATTTTTTCTTGTCCCGTAAGGTGAAAATACACATTGTTGAGTGTCACGCCTGAACGCTTTGTCATATTGACACAAAATTTGACACACACGTGTATCTCAATAAGATCTACGAAAAAGTCAAAGAGCACGTATCTGTATAATGTACGGTTAAAGGGCTATTTCGCATTTTTTGCCGATCCGCACACATTGGAATTTCGCTAACTCCTCCGAAGGCTTTCGTTCCACCGGCACCAAATTTGCTCAGGCCAATCTACACCCCATGGCCATTAAAAGTTGTACAAATCATGACGCTGCACCCCACGGTTTAGGTTCTAGGGGGCGCCAAAGATAACCCAAAAATCCACATTCTTAAAAGTCTTATAACTTTTTCTTTTTGTCCTCACTGGCCTCCAAGTTTTCTAGGATGATGCAATGTCCAGCCATCAACACATTTGTGAAGGAATTTTTACTCCCCAAAAGAGCGCCCCCCCATGGCAGGAGAAAAAAGTCCATTTTTTCTTGTCCCGTAAGGTGAAAATACACATTGTTGAGTGTCACGCCTGAACGCTTTGTCATATTGACACAAAATTTGACACACACGTGTATCTCAATAAGATCTACGAAAAAGTCAAAGAGCACGTATCTGTATAATGTACGGTTAAAGGGCTATTTCGCATTTTTTGCCGATCCGCACACATTGGAATTTCGCTAACTCCTCCGAAGGCTTTCGTTCCACCGGCACCAAATTTGCTCAGGCCAATCTACACCCCATGGCCATTAAAAGTTGTACAAATCATGACGCTGCACCCCACGGTTTAGGTTCTAGGGGGCGCCAAAGATAACCCAAAAATCCACATTCTTAAAAGTCTTATAACTTTTTCTTTTTGTCCTCACTGGCCTCCAAGTTTTCTAGGATGATGCAATGTCCAGCCATCAACACATTTGTGAAGGAATTTTTACTCCCCAAAAGAGCGCCCCCCCATGGCAGGAGAAAAAAGTCCATTTTTTCTTGTCCCATAAGGTGAAAATACACATTGTTGAGTGTCACGCCTGTACGCTTTGTCAAAATGACACAAAATTTGACAATCACGTGTATCTCAATAAGATCTATGAAAAAGTCAATGCGCAAATATCTGTAAAATGTACGGCTAAAGGGCTATTTTGCATTTTTTGCCGATTTGCACACATTGGAATGTGGCTAACTCCTCCTAAGGCTTTCGTCCCACTGACACCAAATTTGCTCAGGCCAATCTACACCCCATGGCCATTCAAAGTTGTAAAAATCATGACGCTGCACCCCACGGTTTACGTTCTAGGGGGCGCCAAAGATGACCCAAATATCCACATTCTTAAAAGAATCCACATTCCCCCCCTCCCCCCATGGCAGGAGAAAAAGTCCTGCCCATCGCTCAACGGCTCAATCGCATCGCTCTCTCGGCAAAAGCGAAAGGAGGAGCAACTTGCCATTTGGATATATCCTAGCTGTGTTTGTGCCCTCACTCATGGTCCAGACTTTTTTCAAATAGGACATGTAGTTTGTCTGCAGCGAGTGTTTTGGTAGAAACTGCGCCTCCCATTCATTATAATGGGAAATGACCACAGACAAGTGCGCACTCCATCTTTGGACCTTGAGTGTGACGCGATCGGGAGGTGGAGGCGGTCGCGCTGGGGGCGGCGCGACGCGGCTCGGGCCCGACAGTGCCCCACCGGGGCCCTAGTTTCTGTTTGTTTTTGCTTTTCTGCTCTTCAATAGCTCCTCCTTTCTTTCTTTTTTTACTCCTTTCTCTCTGTTTTTGTGCCAGAATTGTGCTGCAGCAGATGTCTTTTTATGTGTTGAAGAGACTTAACAGTAGAATTAAAAGTTCTTAGTTAAATCAAACAATTTTTTCTTACAATAGCAAATGAGACTCAACACAGTACTTGATATGAATATTGTGCAATCTTACTGCAACAAGTTTACACTGTGAACCTGAACACAGACTGTGAGGAATGTCTGACTCAGTTTTATCTGGCCCTGAGTCCAGCTCGTCCCCGGAGGAGGTAACAGGAAGAAGAAGCGAGTTCAGAATCACAGCACACTGCCAATGCCATCTAGTGCTGAGAGCTCCACACAGCAGGCCTTGCAGATGATAAGAGAGAGCGAGCCAGTCCCCACACCTCCTCTCTCTCTCTCACCGCCACATCTTTAATGAGTGACCTCCAGGAGGCGCCCTGTGCCAGAGATACTATCTGGTCCTCTGGCAGCTGGTTTGTTTAGAAAAGGAAGCTATTAAAATGTCTTTAACTGAGAAGTAATGTCCTGAGGCATAAGGGATGATGGGGGGAGGGAGGGTGGGATTGAGATGAGGTGGAGAGAGAGAGGAAGTTAGGGAGAAAGAAAGAGCCAGGAAGGGGGGACATTGTTAAAAATTTTCCATTCATTCACCCAAGACTCACCTCCCTCTTAAAACTCACCCATCTACCTCAACTTACAATCCACCTCACCTTTTTTTCCACATTTGTCGGCGTTACCTGACCATTACAGACCATTCTAATAAATGATCTGGAGTATCATAAGACTCTCTTCAGTGGGCGTATATTTGAGAAATAGGTACAATACTTAGATGTGTATCACCTTAGCAGTGATCAATCTTGTGTTACGGTCAGTGCCGACCTTATAGTCAGTTTTCACTGTTTTTTCAAGATGTCTTTGGTGAAATAGTTTCTTTTAGGTACCACTTTATTTGACGCCTATCTCTGTAGCACATCATAAATATATTCATAATGCAGTATAATTACGTTAAAGCACTGTTTGACTTTAGTTATAAACACTCATAAATTATCATAATGCTTTATAGCAATAATCATAACACATTATAAAGCATTTTATTGTGACTTATGAGGTCGGGTATGATAATGTGTTATAACTGTTAACATCAGTTGCATTGCATTATCTCTGTGGACATTGTCAGTGAGTTGTTAACAGTTACAACATATTATAATACCTGACCTTTTAAGTCACAATAAAATGCTTTATAATGTGTTATGATTATTGCTATAAAGCATTATGATCAATTTATGAGTGTTTATAACTATAGTTATAAAGTGCTATAATGTGGTTATAACGTATTATACATATATTTATAACGCGTTATAGAGATAGACATCAAACAAAGTGTTACTGCATATTCAAATAGATCTTAATTCTTTTAAATGTTTTTATTTGATTCTCACCCAGAATCAATGGTTAGAATGGTTAGACGTCTGTGGAGTTGTTTTGGATTCAGGTGAGTTTAATTACAGTCTCTTTTTGAACACTCTCTCTGGAAAATTCTGCAAAACAAGCCCCAGCTGGACTGCGATGTTGCATTTTAAACTTGGACTGAAACAGTATCTTTTATAAGACAGTATCTCAGACCTCAACCAGTCCGTCCACCTCCTCTCATTAAAACAGCCCATTGTTAACCTTCATATCTAAACGCATGCATTACAGCGGGGAAATCTGGCCTGTCTCATTTAGCTGTCATTCAGCAGCTACACACTCGGCTACTGTACGGTCACAGAGCTGGTGCCTCATTAATTCACTCTCCCACGTGGCATCTCTCCACGTCTCCCTGCTGTCCCCACCTTCCCTCCTCTTCTACGCAGTAGTATCAGGCCTTAGCGAGCGAGCGCCGGCAGCTGAGGTCTCTGGCTCCAACTGCACTCTGTGATAAATATTTGCTATTAAACCCATCCTTCTGCAAATACAACAAGCAGTGAGAGGCTTTGGGCTTTGCTCAGTATACTTTTAAACTGGGATATAGAACTGGTAATGATGGCTTTAGTAAGAAACGTATTACAGGGAAAAGCAGAGAAAGAGCTGCTTCTTTTTAAACCAAGCATTTTCCATCCCAGACAGAGAGGCACATTAATTAGAAACAGAGAGAGCTTCACTGCAAAGAGAGGGAAGGTTTAGCCAGCATTAATCCGCCCGTCAAAACCTGATATAACCAGAAAGAACCCTGCGAGGTAATAAAAACCAGTCCAGAACAGTGGTCATGATTACTCTCGCAGCACTGCCATGTATTCGTTGTTTCATTTTACACAGCTGTCAGGCCTGTCCTGTTTCCCGTCCAGGTAGCAGTGTCTTCAATCAATAACACATTTCACCAACTCCTTCATGCGAGCCAAGTCAAACTCTATAACACTCCTAAGTCTCCTCTTCTTCCCCTGCACGTTTGAGTCTCTGACACTCGGAAACCGTAACTGCTCCTTGAGCAATCATCCCTAATGATTTCTGTTTCCTGTAATTCTGCGAGCTTGAAAAATCTGTCCCAATTCCGAACCCGCCATGTTCTTCTTAAATCAGGCCCAAGGCAATATTTACTTTCATGCAGACATGCCAGAAATACATACACACACAATGGATACCATGCTTATGAATGGTTATATCAGTCTCGTTCCAGCCTGAGTGAATAAATCTTAAGACTTTATGCCAACCCCCAATCTACACCCTCACAGTACAGAAAAAGGCCCACTAGGATGCCTGGTTTGCAATAAATCATTCAGTCATAACGCCTACATGACACCAACACAAAGCCTACATGTAACCTCTGTGTAACCTCCACGCCAGTGCTGACTATCTACCAGACGCCCACTCAGCACAGCTCCCTTCTCCCAGAGGTCCCAGTTTAGACAGAGAGACGCAGCTGTTCGAGAGACTTTTCCTCATGTGTTTTCATATGTATTATCCTCCCTTACCTTTCCCCCCAATTTAGGGACCTAAAATCCCCCCTCTGTCTCCCTCTCTGGCAGATGATTTTTTCCCCTCCCTTATTTCTTTTGCAGATCTCCTTTCAGCCCCTTGGCTGACGTTTGAGGCGCACAAAATTGATGAATGCACACAGACAGATTCGGAGTCTGACATACGCTGAGCCTTAGCAGACTCATAGAAAGACCTTAAATCCACAAGGATGACAGACAATCATTGGTCTGAGTAATGTATTCTCACCTCTTCTCGCTTCTCTTATTGAACGTTTTCGCTTCAGGCTCTGTTTCCAGGCTCTGTTTTCATCTTCTATGAGTAAGTGAGCATGAATAGCAATGAATGGAGCTGGCATGTTTGAGTCAAATCTATCTGTCCTTCTGCTATTTAGAAGTTTAACAAAAAAAAGAGCTCAGACTGACACAAAAGTTAAACAAGAGATATAGAAATTGTGTTGTGTAGCATTGTAGTGCCAGGAGTTGAGTTACCCCTGGAGGAAGACAATAAATACAGTACACACCAATTTTGATACAGAAGGAAACAACATGAACAAATAGCTAAATTAGATTCAAATAAAAACCAAGTGTAAAAACTGCTTAAAATCCATGAAACCAACCTAAAAGCGCCCTGGAAAGCACACTTAAATTTGCTTGTCATCAGCAAAGGTTGCCACACCTTCAAAACCAGCCATTTATAACTTAACATGAAAGCTATTGTTCATTCAAATTTAAAGAAAAGATAATCACAGTGGGGAGGCAGTAGCTCAGGAGGTAGAGCAGTCGTCCAATGACTGGAAGGTTGGCGATTCGATTCCCCCCTATCCCTAGTCTGTCTGTCGTGTCCTTGGGCACTTAACCCACCTTGCTCCCAGTGTGTGTCTTCTACTGGTGTATGACTGTGAGTGTTGTGTGGTAGTGATCGGAGAGGCTGTAGGCGCAAACTGGCAGCCACGTCTCCGTCAGTCTGCCTCAGAGCAGCTGATGTATCCAATGTAAAAGCGCTTTAAGGGTCTCTGATAAAGCGCTATAAAAATCTGATGCATCATTACTGTTAGGTTACTTTTGTTTACTTTGCACCTCTTTAACTTGGCTCCAGTTGTTATGCAAATCTCGGCTTCTTCAGTTCTCTTTTTGAGGTGATGTAGTGAGGTTGTTTCATGAACTAACTCACCGTGAAATGTAATTATGTTCCTGACGTATCTTTCTAAAGCTATATTAAACAAACCCCATAATAATATAATGTATCTGGTTGAGGTTGGTTCAGTCAGCTTACACCATCATCAACTTTTGTTCTTCTTTAAAGTTGTGCGTTTAAACATCGGGCCTTATAGGGATTTGCTCATTTTTGGAGACAGCCTCAAGTGGCTGATTGAGGAACTGCATTTTGGCTTCAATTTTTCAGCCCTTGAAGGTTGCACTTGGTCTCTCATGACCAACTAAAATCAGCACGAGTAAGCTAAGGTCTTTGAGATAGTGTTTGGATTTAGATACATTTTGCAGTGCTTAGATAAGAGGTGTAAAAAGATTATGAAAATGTCACGGTAGAAATTTTTGGATCAGAAATAATCATGCTGACAGCAGCTGTATTTTGGGGGCTAAGGTCAGTTATGCATGCTGTATCTTATTGTACTCTAGTCTTATAAGACATAACATCAACATTAAATAAAACTATGTGGATTTTTTTATTATCAGGGGTCCAGGCTCTGCAGACATAATAACATTTGAGCCTCTATATTTTTGTAAAACTCTTCATGGATGTGGATAATTCTGTTGGCTCCTGGTGGAGAGACATTTATAGTCGCTGCCTGTTTCTCTCTCTTTCTGATGTTCCTCCTGACAGCAGGGCAGAAAGGGCGGATTTGATCAGACAGGATTATTGGTGGGTCAGCCGGGGTTGATCAAAGCCAGCAGGAAACAGTTTGGCAGGCAGAGCAGGAAGAGACAAAAGACCCAAACGAATTCAACCACAGAACCAAAATTCTCTTTTAAGATTTATAGACTTTGAGGGTGGGTTGTAAAAGACGGGGAAGACACGCTTTCTTTACATCCAGCCAATTTGTTGCTTAATTAGATCACCCCTGTGCCGTTTCACAGGATCCTGCCAGTGAAGAGAGTTAATGAGGGAAAGTCCACATCACGTATAAGTGCCACACAGAGTGTTTAAGTGTGTATGAATACAAGAGGGCGAGGGCAGCGGGGCACGGGGTCGGACGGTAATGGCAGCAGCATATTCAGGCCTCCTACTCTGGAATGCAGAGTGAGGGAGAGACACAACACTTCAATTCACTCGCAGAGAGCGGCTGAACTATTCTTAGGCCAGTATGTGAAGTGGACCCCCTCCTCTCCCTCTCCCTAGGGGCCATGCAAAGAGTCTAGATGGAGAGAAGTGGACATGGTGTCTATTAAGGTACGGGGCAGGATGGTGAGGCTTTAGAGAAGAAGTGAGAGGATAAAAAGTTAAGCTCCAGTGAGGCAAAGCTTGGTCAGCTCAGTGTGAATGGAGCAGTTCACTGGCTGTGAAGCCTCTGCAAAGAGCCTTTTGTAAACCTACATTGGCACAATGCATGGAGCCCCAGGGACTCTCGCCTCCTCTCATGTGACTTTTCACAAGTGGTGTACAGAGAGCACACATTCTTTTATCTTTCTACTTTCTTTAACTCGACTAAACAGGCGCTATATGCCTCCAAACACAATATAACACCTTACAGTACAACCCTATAAAAGGTTAAATAATTGCAAGTTAAAAATAAATAAATAAATAAATGTCCTGTGAGCCTCACATGCCCAGCAGAGACGCAACTGAGATCACTGCTGCATCACACAGAGTTCAAACAGTGGGGGGATTCAGCTGGAGACAGTGTCACTGCTGACAGTGACAGGCTCAGATTTTTTCTCTCCACTGTGTTCTCATCTCTTTTGCTTTTATATCTCCATCCTGTCTGAATGAGTCATTGAGAAGATCAGGCAGCAGACGCACACCAAGGCCCTGGCAGTGCACGGTCCTACTGTTATCAGGCAAACATGGCCGAGTCGTCTGCAGCTCAGTCATAACAAATGTCAAAGAGCTATTCATCTCCTCTAATCCCTTTCTCTATTCTCCTGCATTTACACACACACCAATGACACCAGAGGCATTTGCTCAAACCAACAAGGAGAGCTGAAAAAGCAGGGCGAACGCAACCCAGTTCATTTTTAGGACAGGCAAATAGAGTACAGGAGTGTAGGCGATGAGGAGGTTTACCTAAAAAATTGATCAGAGCAAAGAGAAGAAGAAGAGGGTAAAAGATTTAAAGGAGGTATGCAGATGCAAGGAAATAAGAGAAGACAGCAGAGTGTCCCCCTCCTGATGAAATCTCCAGAGTCATATGTACACACAAACTAAAGGTGCACTGCATGACACAGGTTTGTAAAAGAGTACACAGCAGGGATTCTTGGTGAAAGCTGCGTGCTGCATGGTGCAGAAACACAAACTGAACTGGCGTGAAAGAGCGACAGAGTGAGCATGACATCCTGTCCCCCACATGTTCAAGGTGAAGACAAAGGTTCACACCGTGGTTCAACACATTTAGAGTGTGAGGTTTGAAATAGATGCAAGCTGAAGCAGAAAAGGGCTGGTGCAGCATGAAGTGCCTCCACAGAGGTAAATGCATGACTCATCACATACATCCACTGCAAAAGGTAATGCGACTTGTTTTAATGGTGCATGTTTGGCTACCTGCCTCTTTAGAATAGATTTTAAGGTTGTTTCATTGGATTTTAAAGCTCTTAATGATTTTGGTTCTTCTTATCCAATCTGCTTTTACCTTGTAAGCCAGGTAGAGTCCTCAGGTCTTCAGGAAGTTCTTTGTTAGCATTACCTAAAGTTTAAATCAAGACATACAGTGAGGCATCTTTTTATTACTACGGCCCCTGTCTATGGAACAGCTTACCTGAAGACCTGAGGACTGAAACTAATCTAAATGATTTCAAAAGCAAACTGAAAACTTACCTTTTTAGTCTTGCTTTTAACTAAATTTTATATCATTAACTTTGTTTAAGTGTTTTAACATTTATCTCTTTCTGGTTTTAATGACAGGATCGTCTTTTATTGAGCTATTTTGGTGCTCTTATTTTAGTATCTTTTATTGTTGTTTTTATTTCATTTTATTTATTATATTTCATTCTATGTTACTTTGTTTTCAGATTTTAACCTAAACCTCCAGTGTTTATCTAATCTTATGTTGAGTTTTAAAATGACGTTTCCTCAGTTTGCACATTCCTGTTTCCACAAAATCGAGCCCTGTTTAAGTTAATGCGTTAATACTGTTTCTGTTGCATTTAGATCATGGAGTGGAAATGAAGGGTTGGCCTGCGGTAGATTTGGGTATTCTTTGTTTCTTTTATTCCTTTTTCTGTGTAAAGCACTTTGTGCTACATGGCCGTGTATTAAAAGTGCTATAAAGATAGAGACATTGTTTGATTGATTGATGTTTGCTGTGCATGATTAAAGCCATATAGTGCAATGTTTCATAATAGCAAAATTGATCTTTGACATAATCAACCTATGCTGAGAGTTGTTAAGACTTCTTCAAGACTGTAATACTTTTATGAATAACGACTAATACCAGAATTACTTTTGTTTTTGTTTTTTTAGTTAAACTGTACATAGAGCCCAGTAATACACAATTAAACACTCAAACACAGGGGTGTTTATATCAGGGCAAATTATCTGCAGCGGAGCCTCAGCGTGGACTCCTCTGGGAGGTGAGACAGATCTAACCTTACCCTCCCACCCTTGTATTTTTGTTGGTCTTCCCCCTCTTTATGGTCCAGCTCCCTGTGCTGATAAGACTGTTGATGTCTGACTCAATTATAAGCCTGAATTTTGAGCCAGCGTCGTTCTGCTCCTGCCTTACCCTGTCCGTATGTAACAAGAAGCATGTGATAGAAATAATCAGAATCTCCACATGGTCCAGGTTTGTTATCTGCTACAGTTAAAGGGGCTAAGTCAGAAATAAGAGGCTACAAACCAGCAATTAGATTTATGAAACACATGGCAGCGTGGGAACAGGAGGGCCACAGATGAGATGAAATAAGATACACAAGAGAGGAATGGGAGTGATATGAGGGGAGATAGAGGAGGAGCACTTCCTGTTAGAATTCCATCCCAATTGACCTTTCTCTGTTGCCTTGGTAACACAGGAACGGCTATGGGAGGAGTGGGCTAATTATTACTGTTAATCTAACCAGTTTTTCTCCTCTGGGAGAACTGGTTTTCAGCATGATAAGTTTGACTAAAACACATATTATGTTTATCTTAGCAGGACACAACTACAATAAACTGCAATTTCAACATCGCAAGAGTGTGTATCAGTTATTGTCAGATTAACTGACACCAATTAAGGAATGATAAATACTCTTAACATATACTTTTGGATTGAAGAGTGATACATTATGAGCACAGGTACTGAGAAATATCAATTTTAATCTGCGTGACCTTTAGAGTGTTTGGTCAAGTGCAGCCATTAGGGGGCAAACTCTACTTCCTATCACATTGTTGCCATATGATAGAGAGATAACCTGAGCAAATCAAAAGAGCTGAATGAAAAGAACAGTGAATATTGATGCAAAAGAAGAGTGACTGAAGACTTTGATCGACCCTGCTTCAAGTCCTGCCACAGCACTGCAAGAGCCACAATTGTCCAACAAGCTGTCTGCCATTTTAACATTTTTCGACGCTAAAATTACTATTTGAAAGAAAATGAATATTGCAATATAGAAATCAGCATGATAAGAACTAAAACACAAACTGTTTGTTCGACAAGTATCTTAATTTCACAGTGTGGCCCATGCCCCATCTGTTAACATGTACAGACAAGTTACGTTACACTGCACACCACAGATAGACAAAGAAACACTGAGCTAGGGCTGGGCGATAAAACGATAATGATATGTATCAAAAATTAATTTCCTTTGATATTGATATGAAACATGGTAAACATGCTTTTCGATAGCCGTCATTCTGCCATGTTTCACTATACGATGAAAGCCAATGACAAGGGGAGTTGCTCCGGGTCTACTTCTCACTGAACCAATCATGTGCTGAATTAGAACCAAATAGTAAACAACTGCGTAGTAGCAGGCTGCAGCTACACGCAACCATAGCACTTAAAGAAAAAAAAAAGAAAATGAGTGCTACTCCCAGCAGAAATGCAGATGAAGACTCAACAGATGATGACATCGTCGACAACATGGGCACGAAATCGTCGTTGGTGTGGAGGTATATTGTTTTTTTGAAGTGGGACATGAAGCAGAGTAATGTGAACTGCAAATGATGTCAAGTTCATGTTAAATTTCATTTGAGAGTAACAGGGAACATTGGAGATTGACAAGAGATTTTTTAATATCGTGATATATATCAATATTGACTGATATGAAAAAAAATATCATTATAAACTTTTTTCCTAATCACCCAGCCCTACACTGAGCTATGCTAATAATCGTACTTAAATATCAGTTTATCAGATGTATTCATACCCCAAACTAAGTGATTTTTCTCTGATAGCGTTTTGTCCTTATATCGTGCAGACCCAGAAACAACAGTCTCTGAAGGACAGCACAAAGCCCTGTGCTCAAATCAAGCTAAAATCTCGCTCATCTAAGACATTTACACTCATGTTGCAAGATTTATAAGAAGCCAAAATGCATTTGCATTGTACAGGTCAGCACTCATACACAGTGCAACCCAGGCAGTCGACATGATGTGAGCGAAAGCAGAGTCAGACTGACAGCATGTCTCCAAACCACCCCACTGCACCCGCAACATATCACTGGGGCATGCTGGGTAGACGCAGACACCCCCTGCCCCCCGCCAACAACTGCCTGCTCCACACTGTCTGACACACATTTTAGCTCCAGACAGACACACAGACATGCCCAGAAGTGGTATTTTACTCGAAAAGCAGACACACAGTCAGAGAACAGGACTAGTACACACCCAGACAAAGAAATAAAGGCTGTTGTACATGCAGATTCAGAGGAGGGAGAAAACATTAATGTAATGTAATGAGACAGGAAAAAGACTGTCCAGTCTCCAGAGAGAAGAAAAGGAGAAAGAAGATCTGAAAACCAATTCTCCTTTCTCCTTTTGTCTTTACTGCCAAGTTCGAGGTAAGATGGGTTGGATAACTAATAGCGTTTAAACCTGAAAGTTGAATCAAATGGGAGTCAGTGACTTCTGGAAACCTTTACTGAAATTTGAGAAAACCCAAAGAGAGTTTTGGATTTAGACCTTTAAAAAAATCAGCAATGAAAAGTACTTGAACTTGAACCAAAAAGGGACTCTCTTCAAAGCTAACATGCACATTCACATCTATTGTTGAGGGCCAAGATACACACCACTCCCCAATGATTAGGCAAAGAGACTAAGGGGATGAACATGAGCATGGAGGTGGACCACAGTGGTTGAAGATAACAAAGAGGCAGCAACAAACTTGCCATGCAACACTGCAACATCTTGGATCTATATGTTACTCTGTTGTGAAGTTTATCACTTTAGAAAGTTTTCTTTTCGCCAGATGAAGTGAGGGTTTTGCCTCAGGGACTTGTGATGGTCATTTCCATAATTTCCTTGCCTTGACAGCAATCAATAATCATGAAGTTCAACTATAAGTTCACTGTCAAGATAACTAGCAGATGATTCATAGTGATTAACAAATGTGATTCTAAGCAGCATGGACCAGACATTAAAGACTTGCATGGAAGAAGTAGGCAGCTGTTTTTGTCCTTGCATTGAAAAATAATAAACAGCAAGAATGATGCTATGTCATGCTAATAAATCAGTAAAAAACAAAGACAGGGCCCCCTTTTTACCTCGACAACAAATACTAGTGTGCAACAAATGGAAAATTCCCGCTTGAATATGGGATGGGGCACTAAAAATTGCCAATATGTGATCAGGCGTGAGGATAGCACCATAAGGGCACTTGGGATGCCAAGTGCAAGGAGTGGCCTTATCTTGAGCCAAAGGACAGATAAGGCCAGGGTGAAATAGCACCAAACATAAGGATACAGAGTGGAAAATGCAGGAGCAGGCATATGGCCCTGAGCAACCACGGTTAGTGACTACATACAGGCAACCTTGTGCTACTGGGCAAATAAAGCCTGAGCTGCAGAGGGGTGCCAGAGTGGGCAAGTTGGCCCTGGTCACTGGCTGTGTGGTGAGTGAGGCTGGCATCCTCAAGGCATGGCATGACATGTGGTTCATCCCAGCAGGCAGCCAGAGTCAATACAAGAATGACACTTGTGTCTACACAGCTATGCTGCTCACTTTTGCTAAGAGGCATAATAAACACACTTCACTTTCTGTTACTGCAGTAATGAGATTAGCAGTAATATATCTAATCCTATTCATTATACATCTGACACCTCAGTTATGTATCTCCTTTACATTTTCATCAGTTTTTTTAATAGCAAACGTTGTCGTATTGTGGTGTTGGGCAGCTCAGAGCCAAAAGGAGGCATAAATAAGATGTAATGGAAAAGATCCTTTGGTCACTGAAGCAACAAACTTTCCCTTTTTTCAGAAACCAAAACTAAACCGCCATTACATTCTCTGTTCTTGTATCTGTCTACTTCCATGCTGCTTGCATATTTGAGGACGGGTGGGCTGACCACTGTGAGAAACAGAGCAGCAGTCAGAGAGCAGTGATTGCTTTCACAGAGCACTTCATCAGGGGGAAAATGCAGCACGCATCAGGGGGATTTACCAGGTATCATGTATGCAACACACAGGAAAACACACACACACACACACACACACACAAGCTTCAGAAACTATTCTAACTGAACTGGGGATCCATGCACAGCAGCAGGGCACTGAAAAAGGGTCAGGACTTGACTATAGAAGAATCAGTATTAGCACTGAGGGATGGGAGGAGAAGTCAATGGAGGGAGGGGGCAGCTTTAAGTGAATGAGGAAAAAACTGGCTACTATGAAAAAGAGAAGGGGTCAATGGGAGAGAAAGAGGCTCACGCTCCAATGAGTGTTGTGCCATAGGGCCTGATTCTGCTGACCTGGTTTCTTTCACCAACAAAGGCCATGCATTAACACACACAAAAAAGTCCACACATACACATGTTCACAATGCCTATGGACATTTACACACCAACTTAAGCTAAGCCTGGGTAAACATTTACACTCATGCTTACTCTCGCGTCCTCCTGGTCCTCTATCTCTACCTGTTCACATGTCTGTATCTGATCTGAACATAAAAGTTTCAAATGTACACCCCACAGAAATGATGACGAACTGAAACTAAACTGTCTGTTTCACTGGAGGAAGACTTTTTGCGGCCGCTGATATGGATCAATGTGCGAGTCACTTTTTCCATTTCAGTTCACACCATTACGAGAATCAACTTCACACTTTTTTATGAGATGGTGTGATCTGGTAAATTCTGCACAGGGGAAGGGGTGGGACTCAAAACGCATATGTAGAACAAGCTAACATGCCATCCATTTTTTAAGGCTATAATGTTGATATATTTTGTGTATGTGTAAGGCTTTTGTGAGCCACTACTTTTGAATACAACCCTTAATCAGACTTTGTTTTGGTTGAAGCTATTCTTTTAAGAGTTGCTTTCACTGACATATAAGCGATTCATGCTTAAGCCTTTCCCAAAGCAGCTACTCTAACCTACCACTGGGACAATGGCACAGGTGTCAACCATTGACTGTACATAGAATGGACAATGTGCGTTCATTTCTACCCATTGTGAGTTTTCTAACCAAAGTTCTGCCCCTCTATAGATGCTGACATACTGAGCTGGTGAAGCCAAGGGATGTGCAAGAGTAACGATATCTGATGAAGCGGCAGGACTTGCATCAGACCCCTCTTCCTTACTGAAACATGAATCACACATCTCTTAAGACAGAACAGATTCTTGTGTTGATATCAAGCGAATTCTCACAGTAATAGGAAGTTAAACGAACCTTAAGTTAGTACTTTTTCACTCACCAGTCCTTCTCTACCCCACTCTACAAAACAGAACTGTCAATGATATTCAGTCAAAGTTGTGGTTTAGCGTCAAATAACCAATTAAACCAACTTCCTCTCAACAGAAGAACACTTGCAAATAAATCAACATGATAGGATTGTACTACATTGAAAGAAAGCTTGTTTATGAAACATGTATTTGATTCTTTTAGTTTGACCCATGTTCGATCTGTTCATAGAAGACCTACACTGTTGCCAGTCACTTGGAGAAGCATGAAAAATCATGGTTTCACACTGAATGGCTGTGGTCCTGACCATTCTGCACAAAGTCAATGGTGTTAACCTATCATTATCAACAGCTCCAGTTTTTAACAGCCTGAATTATTCCTGCAACACACGGTATAAATGAATACCTTTACGTAGCTTAAGTGCCTCTACTGTCAGGCTGAGTTGCAGGTTCTCACTTCTTGACAACCACCCGCCTCTTCCTCATTTCTGTTTCATGTCTCTTTTTAAAAATGTGTCACTTGCTTGTCAGGTCTGTGCTTGAAAGCTGCTGCAGACTTAATGTGACTCCTACTGCAGGGCTTTTAGGCAAGGCATTGAAGCTAAGTGTGCTGTTACCGCAGTGCAACATGTGTATCTGTGTCCTAAATGATGCCAACACAAGGTGACCCACCAGTCAATTTCTACATGCAACAAGGCAATCGATAACGCTACTCTGCTGTACTCGATTTGACAAATGCATCCTGTCAGGGAACCTTTACTCTCTCAAGGCTCGGGCTATTTTCTGATCTACTCGGCTGTTCAGGTGCTTAAAGAAAATTTCTGTTTATCACAGAGGAAAATGTGGAAAAATGACGCTTTTATTCTCATTCTTTCCCGGCTGAATCTTACCCTGCATTCTGCAATTTTTCCTCTTTATTCTAATCAATTCTCACTCCCCACTCACTGTAATGCCTGTGTCCCACTGACACACTAACACCACAGTGATGAGGATGTAGAGTAGCAGCAAAGAGACTCGAGTGGAGTGACCTTTCTCTATGCTAATCTCCACAAAATGGACACGCAAACACACACATACACTCACACTCACATATACGCTGAGGTAGAGGATTTGTCCTCTAACCACATGAATGAAAAGGACATCATCACAACACAAATCCCTCTCCTTGTGCGCGTGCACGTAAGAGGGTGGCTGCTTTTAGTTTTTTTTTTTTTTTTTCCACGGATTCCCCCTCCTCCCACTATCTTATGTGTCAGTCAGAGCCTCTTATTATACCGCCTGACACACCCACGGGAGAATACATTTCACAATTCACTACATTTAAAACAGCATGATAATAGAATTAGTCGTAAATCAAACCCAAGTAGTCGGATTTTTCTGCACCCCCCTGCTCCTCCCTCCATCTTTTCCTGCTGTTTGTGCGCCGCTGTGCAGATGCAAACCGCTGCCTCGCTCATGCCGCATCCCACGACCCAACTACAACCACCAATTTATCCTGCTGCAATTCATTCACTTCATCCCCAGACACACTGGAATAAACTCCAACCCACAGGGGGAGAGGATATGGTAGGCTCTACGACTTTGCAGCCACATAACAAGCTAATAAGCGTGATCTCTGAGCAAATTCTGCACCTTATTATCAGCATTAAATGTATTGAATTGTTCCTTTCTGCATGATCAATAGACAGAGGCTGGGCAGTACTGCTACACTCTGCAATTTCAGCTCATCCATTGCAAGGAAAGATGCAACATGAATGCCAATGTCAGGTCCACGATGCAGTGGTGCAGATCATATCCAGTCTAATTTCCTCCAGATGAATAAAGCGAAAGAAAAGGGTGAAAGAGAAGAAGAAGAGAAAGGATAAGAAGATATTCTTATCTTGGGCCCACAGGTGGTGATGCATTTTTCCACAACCACCATGTTTTTACTATTCATAGGGCTCCACTCACCGTCACTGCGGAGTGTCTGACTGCGTTGCATGCCGTCTGCCGGATCTCGGCCGCGCTCCCCGGTTTCAGAAGGTTCTTGGTGAATCTCCGGGTCGACTCGGCTGCCATCTCCTCATCTGAGCGGTCCCCCCCGGTTTACCCTCGGTTCAGCCTGCTGTTTTCCCCCCGCTCTGCAGTCAGACCTGGTCCGCCTCGCTCCTATCATGAGCCGACCGAGCTGTGTTTACACACACACACATACACACTCACACGTGCACACGCTTTACACACGCTGTCCGCCCGTACACACGTAGAGTAAGGAGTGTTAAAGGATGCCTGTGCGCTCAAAGCAGCGTTAAACGTTACAGAATGACAAATTTAACTTCCGGTGAAAACTTTCAAAATAAAACGACTGTGGCGAGCTCATGGGGATTGATCTTTAACCAAGAGTGAGGCTTTAATTTTGAAGGAAACACGCATCAATCCCTCAATCTTTTATGGTAACTCGACATTTAGAAAAAAACTAGATTTTTTTCTGAGCCTAATTGTATTTCCCCTATTCTCAGTTTAATCAACATCTATTTCCCACAGTAAAGTATGGAAGTCAATCTGTGCCATCTGATTTTCAATTTGAATTTCTAAAGTTGAATTTGTTTGTACCAAAATCAGACTTTGAATTTCAAAACCATTGAATTTTGAAGCGCACATTTTTATTTCTTACACTATTTTTTTTCCCCCCAATGATGAAATAAATTCAGTGTAAAAAAAAATTGCTCTCAAAATATTCTTGCAGTAAAAATTTGACTTAAAAAATTTCAACATAAAAAAATTTCAGTGTCAAATATTTTAGTGTAAAACAGAGTGACTCAACATTCAGGTAACCAGGGAGAAGCAATCAATTCCTGGCTCAATCAGTCATCGTAATGCCAGATTTGTCATGTGGCATCAACCCCAGTGGAAGATTGAAGAATCAATTGCTTCTCCCTGGTTACCCAGATGTTGAGTCAGTCTGTTTTACACTAAATTATTTGACACTGAATTTTTTTTTTACACAACTTTTTTTAGTTGAATATTACTACACGAATATTTTGAGAGACCGATTTTTTTCCCAAAAATTTATTTCATTATAGTGAAAAAATAAGTGTTGGAAATAAAAATGATTTTGATGCAGAAATATTCAGCTTTAGAAATTCAAATTCAAAATCAGATGGCACAGATTTACTTCCACATCGAGTCGGTCTGTTATACACTGAATTTTTTGACATTGGATTTTTGACACTGAAATTTTTTTTAATGTTGAAATTTTTAAATGACATTTTTACTAAACAAATGTTTTAAGAGACAGATTTTTTTTTCACTGAATTTATTTCATTATTGTGAAAAAATTAGTGTCAGAAATAAAAATGCATGCTTGTAATTCAATAGTTTCGAAATTCAAAGTCTGATTTTGATGCAAAAATATTCCGCTTTAGAAATTCAAATTCATAATCAGATGGCACAGATTTACTTCCATAATAAAGCCCATCATGAGAAAGCCAGAATACCCCTGCAGCCTGCAGATCCATTCAGCATTCACCGGTAGTCTAGCAGACTAAACTGCTGACATTGATTTGACCAGGGTGTTTAAGGCTACACTGTATACATTATGCATCTCAAGGGGAGCTCTGAAATGTCAGCTACTAATCAACACTCTAGTCACGACCTCGAGAGAGTGGAGCAGCATTTACAGTGAATGTTACAGGATGCTGCAGACATATATGCCAACAGCGACACTCAGTGGTAAGATATGGTTATGACATTGACTTATTATATCTATTTCTATTATCATCAGTATTACCTGTTATAATTTGATTATCATTGTTGATATTGCCTTTTATATATATACTATCCTGCTTCTGCTTTCGACCTCCCTTTTAATTGCATTTTCTTTTTTCTTAACTATTTTATGTTTTTATTTTTGTCCTCATGGTCTTATTTAAGTTGCATGGTTCTTGTAATGTCTGGGTTCCTTATGACATGAAATTGGCCTTCAATTCTGTTTTAACTGAGATCTTTGTTTTTATCTGTCTTTTTCCATGTGCTCTATCACTATATGTCAAAGCACTTTGTAAAATTCTGTTTTTTTAAAGTGTTATACCAATAAAGTTATTATTATTATTATCATTAGTAGTAGTAGTAGTAGTAATAGTAGTAGTATTGATGGTGCTCTTCTGCAGCCATGTCTTCACTTTGCTCAAATCCTCCGAAGATTGTAAACATTGTGCTCTGCCTCCCTCTTGTGTACATAAGCAGAACTATAAAGTTAAAATGTGATTTTAAACTGGCAGCAATAGCAAAGCAAGAAGACCCGGATGAAACAAAACAAGCCATTCAATCCAAACTAATTCATTAAGGTAAAATTATGACTACGATTGTAGATAGGAGAAATAAAAGGTTAGTTTTATTTCTTGGAAGAAGTCTATTGCAAACAGCTTCATCTAAAATAGGCTATCCACTGGACAGGATCTGAGTAATGTTTAGGATAAATCTGAGACTGAAAGCCCAATACACATGAATGGCCAAAGTTACACGCTGCGGATATGTTACGGCATTTTCCCTCTTCTCACCTGTTTAAAATATTCAGCCTACAAACAGTAGTTTTAGGCGGGAAATATCATAAACCCCGCCCCCTGATACGTAATCAATTTAAACCTGTGCAATGGCGCCACTCTCCAGTAATTATCCGGAGCCCTTTTCTTCAAGTGGACAACTTGTGAAATTTACAAAGTTACTCTGAAGGTACACAGGCCCAGTTGTAAATGAAAAGTTGTCTCAGCAGAAAGACTATAAAACTGACGACGAATTAAGCCCCTGTCTTGCCCCTCAAACAAGACATTACCTGTTTAAGTTGGGTCAGTGAGACAATCCTTGAGTTAGGTGACCTCCACTGTTGGCGGCATCGAAACTGAATGAACAGGCCCGAAGCCCAATGTTTGTACTCGACGGTAAACCAACACTGATGGATTGAGGAGGTTAACGCTGAACAACACCAAACAACAACTGAAAAATGGCCCTTACCTCATGCCAGGAGAGTCGCGCCTTTCAGCTGGTTTGCCAACCACCAAGAAGGAAAAAGAAGAAGAAATCAGGTGAGTCATAAACACTATTTTCTTCCTCTGCGGTTCCCCCTTTCGCTTGCTGATTTCCTGAGCTTTTATTTGGCTGTTTTTTCTTTTAAGTCCTAAATTCTTGACTGTTGTGGTGTTATGAAGATAAGCTTTCATCTTGGTGTGTCCTCTGCATTGCCTGGACAATATGGATGTTGTGTCCCTTTCTATTTAGGCAAGTGTTGATGTAGGCCAAGGCCTACCTGTTGGTTTTATTTTTGAACAAGTTGCTTAATGCTTGCTAGTTGCATGGGAGGATTTGCATCTTGTGTTTGTTGGTTTGTTGGTTGGTTAGTTGGTTTAAATGTTGTGGGTTTGAAGCCTGAACAGTTTTGTTGCCTGACAGGCCAAGTTGTCTTATGTTTGTAAGGGGGCATTCTTGACCCAGCAGATACTCATGTTTGTTTGGTGTTTGGTATCCCCTTTTATAGCCCACATTAATGCCCATGTGGGCTCTTACACTGACCTATTTAAAAGTCAGCTCTGACTGTCTTAAATGAAAACCTATCTAACACAGTTAAGCTCGTCTAAGCCTTTCTTGGATGGGCTGGGTTGTGGTGGTTTCCAAATGCCAAGTCAATGTAATATCTTTTAGACTGCAAACATGTTGTTGCTGATACAGTATGGTGACAACAAGCAATTTTGAGATCTGTCAGTGTTTTTCTTTTTGCATATTCCTTCAAATGTTTGCATGTACTTGCAGAAGCATAGTTACACAGCACATGTCTTGTTTATGTGTGTCAGGTAGCATTGTTTTTTAAAATGCATGAAATTTACCCTGTAGTTTACTAATAACTCTGTAATGTGGCCTATTTTATGACATATGGTTCCAATACAAATGATTTGTTCCCTTTTTTGACCAAATCAGAAATAGGTCTTGCTATAAACTTATATCTTCAGATTACCTTTTAAGCTTGGGATATGCTGAGCTCCACTTAATGAGCACCTTTTTCAAGGTTTATTTACTTGTTTTGCCTTTTATAAAGTAAAGTTTCCCCAGTTAAACCCTTGTTTCTTTATCATTACTTTTGTTCTTTTGGATTGAATAGCTCCTACCTACCAAAGAATATCACATCAAAGTCATAATTAAGTGCAGATTTGTGTCTTTTAACTTTGGAGTCTAAGTCATCATCAACTGCACCCTTGATGATTAAAATGCAGAACTTGAAATGAATTTGTTTAGATTGGATTGCACTTGTATATTTCTATAGGTGTACCATGCTGCTGTACGTTCATCTGCAATACTCATTCTGGTCTCAGGATGGCAGTAACACATAAGATATAGTAGGAGATGGCTATTCAAGCCATAAAAACATCAATATGGTTTTTATGCAAATTCTTATTTTGTCTTACTTGCTCTATGTTGTGTAATCAGAGGAAATGTGATATCCCTCTCTGCTTGCAACACAACAACACAAATAAAAAAGTGGTCCGGCAAAATTATGAAGGTGTTTCTGAAGACATATGGTGTAGAAGTGTAGCATCTGACTAAAGACGTGGACGTGACTTTTTTAACTCTAAAGCTGTGTTATGTCTTTTTAGATTAGAGTGGTTATAATTTGAAGTACCCAAACTGAGATCTCAAGTCTACCTCATGTTTATATGTTTTCAGCAGGATCAGGAACATTATTCCAGCACTTAATGTGACATTTCTCAAATTAATGGAGACCATTAAAATATCTTTTTTTGTTGCAAGGAATATATTAGGTTCCTTTTAGATAGATAACTGTTTGCATAGTGACTGGATCTGTTAGAAAGTTCCAGAAGTGTCTGGAACTGACCGCTCAACAGATACTTGAAAACTAAGACAACTCCTGATGAACCAGAAAGCCACGTCACCCTTTCTCGGCTTGTTAACTTAGTGAAGTGATTCACCTTTTTTGAGGCTGTGTGAAGCTTGACTTTGAAATGGACAGGCTAAATGCTGTAAATGCCTCGAGCTAAGATAGTTTTTTATTGCTTTCAGAGGCCTCAGCATCTTTATGTGATGACCTGCAGGTATTTGAGCTTGTTTGAGTGATTACTTTTATCCACATCCAAAACATAAAAATTGATTTGCACATCGACCTAGTCCAACAGTTCTGCTCTGTGGGCAAATCATTCCTCCTCCATAGTACTTTTATGTTAAACTAATAAGGTGGCCACAGAATATACTGTAGAAACTCCTTTTGGCTACATAACAAAGTCCTGTGTGGTTTGAAAGACATCCAGACTCACCTCAGAGCAGCAGACAGATGTAGCCAGAGCAGGAGGGGTGGATAAAGAGGGGATAAAGGGAAAAGAGCAGAAATGGAGAAGACAAGTAGAGTAGCCAAGAAATAAGTGCTGGTCTACTCTTAAGTGATAAATTTATCCCAAAATGCGTCAGCCAAACAGTTATGAATGCATTGTGAGTTCTACCCTAATCCCAGCCCTGTACGGCTGACAGTAAAGGTTAACTGAGAGGTGAAAGTGAAATGCAGGATATGGAAAACAGAGCAAATAGAGAAAATAGAGCAGCCAAGATAAAAAATAAAAGAGTGAAGAAGGTTCATGAAATGCTGAATCTCCTCTGGCAGAGGTTGGACACAGTGCAGCTTTAGGCAGTCTATTTTTCTTGTCAGATCCTTCGATTTAATAACAAGATAGCACTCTCCAGTGTCCGCAGGTTCTTCAATTCAAGACTATCTTGAGGACAGAGAAAGAAAAAGGCCATCTGAGACCTTCGGGGAGAGCAGTGGGATCACATTTCTACAGGCCAAGCTTTGCCTGAGTGTCTAATTCTAATTTCTCTTTCACAACCACACACAAAGGGCGTGCATGTCCATCTGCAACAGGGTTCCCCACTGAGAAATAGAAGAATTATGTGCAGGGCTATGCTGTTGAGAGTGTGTGCAGGATTATTTAAAAAAAACAGATATGGTGTGCAGGAGACCGGAATTGTGTAAGGTTAGAGAGTGTATGGGAAATGAGAGCTTTTGCCAATGGAGGACAGGCTAACAGTTGATATACAACCACAGAGAGAGAGACTTGGATGGAGGTAATATGCAGTGATATTAGAAAGTCTGGGAAGAGGCAAAATGGAGAAAAATGAAAGTAGAACATTTGCAAATAACATATGGACAGTAGAGAGTTTTGAACATATGGGCTTTCAACTATGGAGGAAAGTGAATGTCAAGGGGACTGTAAAGCTTCAGTGAAACGTTTTAAATTCTGAACACGTCAGGCATTCAGGCAGCAGGTATTTACCTCTTTCATCCAGTTTTATTTAATTGTATTTCTCTCACCGCAGATGTAGGCACCGCAAATGATGACGCTTTTAAGTTTCAAATCTGACATCCAAGTAAATTCATCCTCATACCTTAGTGACTGAGTGGGTTGACATTGTAGGACATGACCCAGCATACAAGATAAATTCATAAACATGTGTTAACACTCCGGCGGGTTAAGGCACCAAAAATACTTGGCATTTTATTGACTTAATGATCAAATGTTGTTACCATAAACTGTATAAAGAATGGACAGAGTCTGCCTCCTGGCTTGGTGAAGCCACTCCGGGAACAGCACCCTCTGTTGACGGGCTGCAGTATAGGTCATAAATCCTGCCTCCTCCAGCAAAGCTTGTGGAGCTGTGGACAAACTTTAGAAATTTATTACACAGAACATAAATTTTTCTCCCCCCTGCTTGCGGCGTTGACATGTAGTTACAGTGACACTTGTTTGTGTTCAAGTCCTTTTTTCTGTGAAGCTCCATTTTTAAAAGTTTTTAGGGGGTTCATATTTTCCATGATTGACACCTGATACAGCCTCTTGGCGTTCAGGGATTGTGTAGCTCACCTGGGGGATACGCTCTTTAAACCGAGCGTTATCACAGCAACTCTCGGCGACTCTCCTGCCGAATGCGCACAATGCTACTGCGCAATGCTGGTTTCAAGAAATGAAGAAAAATTACGGAAATAATGAGAGCTTTTTGGCTTCAAATCTGTATACTAGCGGGAGGCGGAACCAAGTGGTCCATTGTCTGTGGTCGTTACCCTCACCAGTTATACTAAACAAATCAGTACTATATTTATGTTCTAAATGCAAATCATATGCAGTTTAAGCTGTAGCACACCCACCTGCCATTAGCTGGGATTGATGACGGTATTGGGGTCATTGACATGACGCCTGAATTTTCTGTCCAGTTGCATTTCTTGTAATTAAAAAAAGGTTTAAATATATGAAAATATACCTAATACACGTACTTGGCACCTCTCCTGTGAACCTACCTACTTGAACTTTTCCAAAAGAATACTTTTTGATAATTTTTCTGATACTCAATATGTCAGAATAGCATGAGGTGCATCTGTCCACCCCTTCCTAATGTTTAGAAAACTTTTTTTGACTTATATTTCTTTTATTCCACCTAATTTTGTCCCGATTTATCTTTCGCCTTTTCTGCCATCACTTTCAAAGTGTTTTGTTCTTGTGTGTACATTTTTAGAAAATTTGTATTCATATCTAGATCGTAATATTCACATACTTTATGAAATGTCATATGGTGCAGTATTGGTGTTTAGAAAAAGTAAATGTGCCAGCAGTGACTTTTGTTTGGGCATTAACACCTAATGCTTGGTAAATGATCTATCTACCAATTTTGTCAATTGATTAATCAATCAGTTTATCTTTTGGATGCTCTGCTTATAAATTAGCACATTTACAGCAGTTTGGAAATTTCCCACTCTTGAACTTATGTACACAAGAGAGAAAAGTTTCATCACTTTTTCTTTTTCATAATGTGAGAATTGCAAAGTAGCCATCAAATGCAAATCCAGTCAACAGTGAGTTGATATTGTTGATGCGTTTGCCAAAGATGAATCAGCTCATAAAAAGCGGCACAGTTTAAAATGTTGAGTGCAGAATCTCTTCCAAACCTCAGCTGTTTGACAAATTACACTCTCTGCTTTTCTTCTGTTCGGTACTTTTACTCCTACACATAAAAACACGTGTGTGAGAAAGAACATGCACGTCTTCTATGTTATTTCAAGAGCGCAATAAAGGAAAGAAAGAGTAGTGCGTATTTGTTACTCATTGAAAGTTATTTTGCCTCATTGTCAGACATTTATTTTCTCAAAAATGAGTCATCCTAAAGGTCAAGAAAGTCATATATGCACGTATTAAAGTATAACTATGAAGTCTAGTTAGAGACTGGGCGTGTTTTGTTTAGAAGTCAGGGGAAAGAAAAGTATTGAGGTTCAGAAATGAGAGGATGGGATTACAAGTTCGATAAGTAGTCGTATAATATAGTCCAACATGATGACACCTAATGGATGCTTTGTATTTGACCATGTAGATTTACAAGGTGATGTGAACGTGTGCACGTACCATACAGACTGTGGTTAATATGTGCTGCACATCTCACCTCAGTATCTGCCACAGGGCAAAACTTTACCCAGCTCTCATCCGCTGGTTTTCTGTCTCTGCCTTTTTGTTTCTTTTTAAAAGCTGGAGTTTTACAAAGTCAACCAGATATGTGAAACGTCACTTTGAGTCCAATACAGACTCTCAGATACCAGATGACATGCCCTTTTTTATTTGTTTTGTACTCTTACTTTCTAGCTTTTTCTTTGTGTTCTTTAATAAATGAATAGCGTTCACACTCCTTTATCCTGCGCTCATTCACTCACTCTCTGTGTGTGTATATGTGTGTGTGTGTTAGCGAAGAGTGTCTGGTGCCTGGGGTGAAATCAGGCAGATAAAAGGCAATGATGAGGTCTGGATCGTCAGCATCCTGACAGCTGTAGATTAAATTAAAGAACTTCTGACAAATCAAACAGATTTCTCTCTCTATCTCTCACTCTCTTTCCCTCCATCGCTCCTCTTTCTCTCCCTCTTCACCCCCAGAGCCCTCATCAGGCAAGCTGGGTGCGGAACTTGAAACAAAATGGATTTCATCTTTAAGGGCTTGGCCAGGCTTTGAAACAGCACCAGCTGCCGGGCCTGCTTGTCTCTCTTTCTTTCTCTCTCTCTTTTTTTTTTTTTTTTGGACTCGTTGGCTGCTTTTTTCCCCTCACATACTTCAACAAACTTGAGCCATATTGTGACAGATAAAGGTAGAACATCAGAACTTCAAACCCTGACAGTAATTGAGAGATGAAACAGACACATTTCCCAGGTTCTGAGAGGCCCGCTCCGAAAGGCACATCAAACGCTCCCACTCGGGATTCCAGGGAAAGGTAGAGAGCGGCGCTCCTCTCCCACTGGATCTAAATGCCGCCGTAATAAGATGTTAGTACTTTCTAATGCGGTCTATTGGCAGTTAAACCCACTCTGATATGAAAATTCAAGTCAAATAGGCCCACTGCTGATCCCAGTGAAGCATGCTCACACATACACACACAGACAGGCCTTAAAAAGTAGCTACCACCACCCTGACAGTGTGTCTGTCATTGAAATATGGCCCCCTCATGTGTGGCCCTCAGTCTAACATTACACAGATGTATAATGAAGCCTAATTCAGACACATGCTGCCACACAAAGAGAATAACTGACAGCTGTCTGTGATAAAAGATTTTTTTTCTCTCTCACTCTGTCACATTATCAGGTTTATATCTAATTATGATAATTTCTTATATTTTTTATTGATGTCAGTTTAAAGCGATTATATGAATGGTTAAGATCCTTTGAGAGGAGTTTTTAACCGGCTATAAAACTGATTAAAATTAATGCTGATGGTTTTTATGACCAGACCGTCACCCACAAGAGTGGCTATTTCTATATTGTAATTTTATACATATAAAAACGCTGATATAGCTCAGGGATACCAGTGTAGCTTAACGTTTAAAGCTGCACCACATGAACAGAGGGGTCCTCGTCACTACAGTCGCTGGTCTGGCTCCTACATTTCCTGATGCTCTTCAGCTGTCCTGTGCAATAAAAGTAAAGCGGCCACCAAAAAACATAAAGAGAAATAACAGCCTTTTTATTCCATTAAAATTTCTGCTGCAACCATTTACAGTAAGTGACTGCCAAAGACTTTTTTAGGCAACAATACTCGAGTATTTACGGGAGAAAATCATCAGAGAGATAAAATGTCCTATTTTGCCAAGGGGGGAACCGAAATAAACACAAACTGAAAGTCACTCATAGGAGCATTAAGGCTGTAGCAGTCTTCAAAAATATGAAGTTCTCATCACTAACATAAGGTCAACACTATAATTCAGACTAATACAGCTTAATATACTACCTCTACGTTGTCTACATATTACAAAGTTCATTCTTTAAAAAGTAAGCTGCCTCCTTCACACAGTTGCAGCCAGAATACCAGAATCAAGTACGGAGAGTGGTGTTATATTGTGTCACAGTATTTTGCCCAGAAGATGGCGCTCAATGATCCAAGTGGCCACTCGGTTGGTAGATAGATGGAGAAGAGGACTAGTCCAGCAGTGCCACCTCCTTATCATGCTTTTTTTTTTAAATCTTTTAAAAACTGTGTTTAAAAGACTCTTTTAACAAGTCTGTCTGTACCCAACATCTAGCTCCACCAGCTCCACCAGTGTAGTGGTAGCTTGGCCATTGAAAAACTGATATTGGTTAACCACTACTTGATAGTATAACACAGTGGTTCTCAACTGGTCTCACTGTGGGCCCCACGTTTTCCCGTGGTCCTTAAGTCGCAACCCAATTTTATAGAATTCAAACCAAGCAAATCTTTAACATAAATCCACTTGTTTTATTGAGTAAAGTGCATTTCAGAGCACATGAAGGAGACAACATAAATATGACAACTACTGAAGTTGCATATACAGAAAATATATGTAATATCTAACAAATATCACACTAAATATTTACTTTTTTGACCAGCTCTTCGTGACCCATCCAGAATGTGTCCGCAACCTACTTGTGGGTCGGGACCCACCAGTTGAGAACCACTCGTGTAACAGATATTACTAAGGGCTACACAGCTGCACAGAAACCATACATTGCTGAACTTAGCTGTAGCAGGTCTTCTCAATGGGAAACAGTTTAATTTTTTCCCTCATACACACTGATGTGACCTGTCTTCCACCTTTTACAGTATTTATCATATATGACCTATTAATACATATTACAAATAGGGTGCCTGCTCCATCCACTGCCTAGTCCTCTGGACTGTCAAAGTTAATGGTTAGTTATATTTTGCCAGAAAAAAAGGATTCTTATTAAATTGTTGATTTTGACTGTTTCTTTGTTGCATAAAAACTTACAGGGAAGGATAAGGTTACCTTTTAAATTTGTAATACTGTTGATTAGTTTAATTTAAAAGTATTGTAGTAGAATTAGCATAAAAAAATTACATATGTATGTTTAAGGAGTGCAAAGTAAAAGTACACCTCAAATACTGGACCACTGAACAACCTAAGGATACTTTCGGTCACTAGAGAGCAGTATTGGGCAACGATGAGAAGAGCTTATGGTGTGTGTGTGTGTGTGTGTGTGTG